CCATTCTCCACCTCCAGTGCTCCCAACATCCCTCCAACCCCCCCATCCCACCCCGCCTCTGTGGCAGGGCATTCCCTTTTGTTCTCTCTCTCCTTTTGGGTGCTGTGGTCTGCAAAAGAGGCATTGGGTGGCAATCGTGTTCGGTCTATAGTCTACTTTCAGCATGCTTCTCCCATCCTGGGAGGATCCTCCCAACACCCTTTACTTGAACACCTATAATTTAAAGGCAGGTTCCTTGCCATGCAAGTTTGCATGGGGTGAACAGCAGGGCGCCGTGGAGACGGGGGTTCTGGGAATGGGCACATAGGGGCGTGGGCAGGGATGTCGAATATAAACCTGGCTTTATTTGCAGAGCTTTGGCTTAGACACGAGCAAACAGCTTGTCTCCCAAAGCCTCCAAACATTTGTGTTTCAAAATCCAGGTGAGAGTCCAAACGCTTTCAAGTTCTGCGAGAGACGTTTTGTTTGAGTCCATCGTCCCACAGGGGAGCATGACAGCCAGCCCCGAAATATTCTGAAGCTACCACTATGGCAAAGCAATGAACAAGCGGTCACTAAAACCAGACCTCCTACCTGGATGCTTTGCCTGTGTGAGAGACCCTGGGCTTGTGGGCAAGCACTACACAATAATAATAATAACACAATTATAATAATAATAACAATTCCTCCACTACCCAGCTGCCGCCACACTCTATGACGCTTTCCGGACCAGCACATTATTATTATTATTATTATTATTTATTTATTTATTTTGCTTTTTTGGGTCATACCTGGCGACGCACATGGGGTTATACTCCTGGCTCTGCACTCAGGAATCACCCCTGGCAGTGCTCAGGGGACCCTATGGGATGCTGGGAATCGAACCTGGGTTGGCCGCGTGCAAGGCAAACGCCTTCCTTGATGTATTACTGCTCCAGCCCTTGTATCACCTTGTAAACACCATGATACTTTGTATCACCCATTAAACACTATGATACTTTGTATCACCTTCAAAACACTATGACACTTTGTATCACTTTGTCTTTTTTTTTTTCCTTTTTGGGACACACCCTGAGATGCACAAGGGCTACTCCTGGCACATGCACCCAGGAATCACTCCTGGCGGTGCTCGGGGGACCCTATGGGATGCTGGGGATCGAACCTGGGTTGGCCGCGTGCAAGGCAAACGCCTTCCTTGATGTATTATTGCTCCAGCCCTTGTATCACCTTGTAAACACCATGATACTTTGTATCACCCATTAAACACTATGATACTTTGTATCACCTTCAAAACACTATGACACTTTGTATCACTTTGTCTTTTTTTTTTCCTTTTTGGGACACACCCTGAGATGCACAAGGGCTACTCCTGGCACATGCACCCAGGAATCACTCCTGGCGGTGCTCGGGGGACCCTATGGGATGCTGGGAATCGAACCTGGGTTGGCCGCGTGCAAGGCAAACGCCTTCCTTGATGTATTATTGCTCCAGCCCTTGTATCACCTTGTAAACACCATGATACTTTGTATCACCCATTAAACACTATGATACTTTGTATCACCTTCAAAACACTATGACACTTTGTATCACTTTGTCTTTTTTTTTTCCTTTTTGGGACACACCCTGAGATGCACAAGGGCTACTCCTGGCACATGCACCCAGGAATCACTCCTGGCGGTGCTCGGGGGACCCTATGGGATGCTGGGGATCGAACCTGGGTTGGCCGCGTGCAAGGCAAACGCCCTCCCCGCTGTGCTATCACTCCAGCCCCCAGACCGGCACATTATAAGACACTTAATACCCATCTTCCAGAATTGCCGCACCATATTTGATAGGGTTCAAATATGGTTGGAACCATGGGAACACCTACAAGGGCGATTAGAGGCCGCCCCAAAAGTCTCCATCCCTCTCGGAGAGCCTGGCAAGCTAACCGTTGTGTATTCGATATGCCCAAACCAGTAATTACAATGGGTCTCATTCCCCTGACCCTGAAGGCATCACCAATATGGCAGCTTTGAGAAGGATGAGTAATAATAATAATAGTAACAATAATAATTGGCCCAGAGTGATAGCACAGCGGGGAGGCGTTTTCCTTGCACGTAGCTCACCCGGGTTCAATTCCCGGCATCCCATAGGGTCCCCTGAGCACCACCAGGAGTGATTCCTGAGTGCATGAGCCAGGAGGACCCCCTGTGCATTGCTGGGTACAATGCAATAACAATAATAATGCAATAATAATAATTTTAGTATCAAGAGGAGTGCTCCTTTTGAACACCTCCAGGGGGCACTATTAAAGTGGGTTTTTCTTTTGATATCTGCTATGAAAACCCTTGTAGCTAAGTCCACGCCTGCCCTGGGTAAGAGAAAGAACTTTACAGGCAGGGGGCAGGGTGGGGTCACATTCTGCGGTGCTCACAGACCCCTCCTGTCTCTGTGCTTGGGGGTCCCTCCCCGTGGGGCCCAGGGGACCCTACGTGGGGTGTTTCGCGCAAGTGAGCCCTTTAACCCTGTACTATCTCTCTGATCCCTTAAACGTTAAAGTGTGTGTTTTCCTTTCTCTTTTTTTTGAGGGGGGGGAAGGTCACACCTGGCAGTGCTCAGGGGTTCCTCCTGGCTCATGCACTCAGGAATCACTCCTGGCGGTGCTTGGAGGACCCTATGGGATGCTGGGGATTGAACCCGGGTCGGCCGTGTGCAAGGCAAACACCCTCCCCGCTGTGCTATCGCTCTGGCCCAGTTTTTGTGGTTTTCTATTTGTGTTTTTTTTTTTTTTTTGTGGGTGGGATAAGGTAAAGGTAAAGGCCCTCCCGTTGATCGTCGATTTGCTCGAGCGGGCCCAGTAACGTCTCCATTGGAGACTTTGTTGTTACTGTGTCTGGCATATCGAATACTCTCGGTAGCTTGCCGGGCTCTCCGAGAGGGGCGGAGGAATCGAACTCGGGTCGGCCATGTTGGCCGCGTGTAAGGCGAACGCCCTACCCACTGTGCTATCGTTGAAGCTATTTAGGTCATACCCAGCAGAACCAAAGGCTACTCCTAATTCTGTGCTCAGGGGCCACTCCTGGCAGTGCTAGGGATCAAACTAGGGACGGCCACTTGCAAGAAAGTGCCTTCCCCACCTTCCCCTAAAACAGGCCCACCCCAGAGCATCTTCTGGTGTCAGCCATTTTTTTTTGGCTTTTGGGGTCACACCCAGTGATGCACAGGGGTACTCCTGGCTCTGCACTCAGGAGTTACTCCTGGCGGTGCTCAGGGGACCATATAGGATGCTGGGAATCGAACCCGGGTCGGCTGCGTGCAAGGCAAACGCCCTACCCACTGTGCTATCTCTCCAGCCCTGATTCTTTTTTGTTTTGTTATGTTATGTGGTTTTTTTTTTGGCTTTTGGGGTCCCATCCGACGATGCTCAGGGGTTCCTCTTGGCTCTGCACTCAGGAATCACTCCTGGCGGTGCTTAGGGGACCATGTGGGATGCTGGAAATCGAACCCAGGTTGGCTGTGTGCAAGGCAAATGTCCTACCTGCTGTATTATCATTCCAGCCCCTCAATTGTTTTTTAAAGACCCTTGTGACGCCCGGCAGGTGCTATAACGGTTTGTAAGCACTGGATTCTCACACCATGACCAACCGTCTTTGTATTTTAGCAGCTGGTTACTCAACTCTTCCTTCTCCAAGCCTCCTGCCTGCACCGCCAAGAGATCTGGGCAGATGTTGACTTTGTTTTGTTGATACCTGAGGCTTTCAGTGACTTACAGTCATCTGGGATTCCTTAGCAGGGGAGTCTCTGGACTCCGGGGGGCGTATCAAGGGGGCATGAACTGGATTTTTGTGGGGTTCTTTCAGGTGACACCTCAGGACTCTGCCCCGAGCCAGATTTGTGTTTCGAAATCCAGGTTAGGGTTCAGACGCTTTCAGGCTCTGCGTGAGTCCACTGTGTTTTGTTTGAGTCCACTGTGCCTGCCTCAAGGGAATTTAACAGGCAACCGTAAAGTATTCAGAACTATCGCCACCTTCTGGGGAAAACCCGAAGCCATAGGCAGAAAAACGGCGAAGGAGGGGAAAGCGGGCAGAGGCAGAAAACTGGGCAGTCTTGATGGCCAAGGAACTGTGGTCACACCAGAGTGCCCTTAACCGCATACTTTAAAGCTGACCACTTCAAACATTTTTTGGTGGAGCTATTTGACCACACTTTTTTTTTGGGGGGGGTGTATACTGGGGATCAAAACAGGACCTATGCCAAATTTACCCAGCCCTCTTATCCCTAAGGAAAAAGCAACAACAACAACAACATAAGAGAGAGAAAAACAAAACAAAACAAAAAAAAAAAAGCTAAAAAGCAACAACTCAGTTTGCATAATGGGTTATATTGGTTAGAGATATTACAAGAGATATTACAGCAGTAAGGCCTTAGGGCTGGAGCGATAGCACAGTGGGGAGAGCATTTGCCTTGCACGCAGCCGACCAGGGTTCGATCCCCGACGTCCCATAGCATTACCCAAGCACCGCCAAGAGTGATTCCTGAGTACAGAGCCAGGAGTCAGCCCTGTGTATTGCTGGGTGGGACCCAGACAAGCAAAGCAAAATAAAATAAAATAAAATAAAGGTGCTTGTGTAAATGAAATGTCTAGAGGTGATTCACGAAGCCATGAATTTAAAATGATTCGTAATATCATGTTGGAATTTTAATTTTAGCAGATCACGCTTGCATTTATTTGCTTTTTTTTTTTTGCTCTTTTTTTTGGGGGGGGGTCACACCTGGCGATACACAGGGGTTCCTCCTGGTTCTGCACTCAGGGATCACTCCTGGCGGAGCTCAGGGGACCATATGGGATGCTGGGAATCGAACCCAGGTCGGCCGCGTGCAAGGCAAACGCCCTACCTGCTGTGCTATCACTCCAGTCCCACGCTTGCGTTATGAATGTTGCGATGAATGATACATTAATAACCTCTCTGTGTTCACCTCCTCCTCCTCCTCTTGTCAACCTTAATCAAAACCCTTTAGGCAGAAATACTGCTTGAGGGCTTGGAGAGACAGGACAGAGGGTTAGGTGCTTACTGTGCACATTGCTATCGTTGGTTCGATCCCTGGCATCGCATAGGATGCCTCAAGCCCTGCCAGGAGTGATCCTTGGGCACAGAGCCCGGAGTCAGCCCTGGGTACTGCTGGGTGGGCCCCCAAGCCCCCCAAATGGGTATTCCACACACAGGGTTTTCCTTCGCACTGGGCTCTTCTGTTTGCTCTCAAGAAAAAAGAAAGGGGAAATTTGGTCTCCTTTGCTCTTAAATCATAGGTTTTTGTTTGTTTGTTTGTTTTTAGTTTGGGGCCACACCCAGAAATGCTCGGGGCTGACTCTTGGCTCTGCACTCAGGAATCACTCCTGGCAGTGCTCAGGGGACCCTATGGGATGCCGGGGATTGAACCGGGGTCAGCCGTGTGCAAGGCAAATGCCCTCCTCGCTGGGCCATCACTCTGGCCCCAAATCATAGTTCTTTTAAAGCAAAACAAAGACGTAGCCGAATCCCTTGAAGCAAGTCGCCAAAGAACAGTAATGAGACCGTGTGGACACTTTGATGAGTAGAACGTACTTTTAATCACAGCAGGAGATGAACCAGTTTCTTGTAGGTTCTTGATCCGTTCGACCTGTCTTCAGTTTTTTTTTTAAATTTTTTTATTTTTCTTTTTTGGGTCACACCTGGCTATGCACAGGGGTTCCTCCTGGCTCTGCACTCAGGAGTTACCCCTGGTGATGCTCAGGGGACCATATGGGATGCTGGGAATCGAACCCGTGTTGGCCGCGTGCAAGGCAAACGCCCTCCCCGCTGTGCTATTGCTCCAGCCTTCAGTTTTATGCAGACTGAATAGTGAGTCATTGGGTCCCTTAAGGTGCCCCAGGGTCACACGATAAAGGTTCTGTATATAAACTCGATATTTGCTAGCAGGAAATAAGGGGACAGGGGGACGTGAGCACTGCTGAAAAGAGCTATAAAAGGCATCGCCCACGCCCAGGGGATTCTACTCTAGTCAATGTCACAGCCGAAAATTTCCAGGCGGAGCGCGATGCTCTGATTCCACAACTTGGGGATGATGCGGATGAACCTTGAGATGATGGGCGGGTTGAAAAAGTTCCTCACGTGGCCTTTCGTGTTGCTGTTCCCTTCGAAAATCTGGAAGCAAGATCGGAGGGAAGCATTCAGGATGGTGTTAGAGCTTCGATCCTTTCTTTCTTTCTTTCTTTCCTTCTTTTTTTGCCTTTTGGGTCAAACCCGGCGATGCTCAGGGGTTCCTCCTGGCTCATGCACTCAGGAATCACTCCTGGCGGTGCTCAGGGGACCATATGGGATGCTGGGAATCGAACCCGGGTTGGCCTCATGCAAGGCCAACGCCCTCCCCGCTGTGCTATGGCTCCAGCCCCTCGATTCCTTCTTACAGAAATGACCCACTACCAGGTGGAGGAACTGGGGCCCTGTGGGATTTCCCCGCTGTGTCCCTCTGGGCTGAATTTTGGGGGTGGGGGATGGGAGAATTTAGACACAGATTCCAGGTTGCAGCTGAAAAGCCACTTTTGCTCAAGGACCCAAGTCTATGTGTGTTGTTGGGCAAAGATGCTAGATGCTTAGAATTATGGATTCTCTAGTATCCGATAGTAGGGGGAATAATGGGCCGGAGTGATAGCACAGTGGGGAGGGCATTTGCCTTGCATGCAGCTGACCCGGGTTCGATTCCCAGCATCCCATAGAGTCCCCCGAGCACAGCCAGGAGTAATTCCTGAGTGCATGAGCCAGGAGTAGCCCCTGAGCATCGCCGGGTGTGACCCAGACTCCTGAGTCTGTGCTCAGGGGACTCTGTAATGCCCAGCGTCCAACCCGGGTCAGCTAGGTGCAAGGCAAGCCCCTTAAACCCTGCCTTATCCCTGCAGCTCCAGTTGTGAAGATTTAAAAAAGATAAATCAGTGCTGGAGTGATAGCACAGAGGGGAGGGCGTTTGCCTTGCATGCAGCCAACCCGGGTTCAATTCCCAGCATCCCATGTGGTCCCCCGAGCACCGCCAGGAGTGATTCCTGAGTGCAGAGCCAGGAGGAACCCCTGAGCATCGCCGGGTGTGACCCAAAAAGCAAAAATAGATAAATAAATAAAAATTAAAAAATTAAAAAATGATTTGCTCGAGCAAAGTCTCCATTGGAGACTTTGTTGTTACTGTGTCTGGCATATCGAATACATCACGGGTGGCTTGCCAGGCTCTGCCGTGCGGGTGAGATACTCTCGGTAGCTTGCCGGGCTCTCCGAGAGGGGCGGAGGAATCGAACTCGGGTCGGCCATGTTGGCTGCGTGCAAGGCAAACGCCCTGCCGCTGTGCTATCGCTCCAGCCAAACTTACCCCAGGGCAAGAGGTTGATAAGCACCTGGGATTTAGCTGGAACTGACTAAATTTCAACTGTGATTTCAGGGACCCTGGGCTTGAATGGTGACAGAGTTCGGTGTGCCGTCAAATAAGAAACCAGACAGAGCCAGGCTTTTGGAAACACAGAGTCTAAATAAATAAATAAATAAATAAGCAAATAAAAAAAATAAAGGGGCTGGAGTGATAGCACAGCGAGGAGGGCATTGGCCTTGCACGCGGCTGACCCGGGTTCGATTCCCAGCATCCCATAGGGTCCCCTGAGCATGGCCAGGAGTGATTCCTGAGTGCAGAGTCAGGAGGGACCCCTGAGCATCGCTGGGTGGGACCCAAAAAGGAAAAAAAAAAGAACAGAAGCGCAGAGCATCGCGGCATTTCTCGGTCAAAGGCAACAAGTCCTTGGCAATGCCGGCTTCATCACGCAGCCCCCCGCTCCCCACCCCCCGGGGGCCCTCTGTGCAGCCCTGGACATTGCACCTTGTCCACCATGGAGGACTTTTGCCGGTACGGCTTCCACTTCACTCCCTGGTCGCTGTATTGGATGGTGTAGCTTCTGACGTACATCTCCGAGGACAGCGAAGTGCACCCCTGGGTGACGATGGCCGTGATCTTCTTGACTTTAAGCAGGTCAATCTGCAGCCACTGTTTGTGGTTGTTGGCCTGTGAAGACAGAGACACGCAGTTAAGACGGCTGTGCCGGGCTTCGCTTTCCTGACACTGGGCTGTGCAGAGCTCAAAAACAAAACAAAACCAAAAACAAACAAAAAACTCCCCGATTTCTTATTCTTGTTATTTCTTGTTATTTCTCATTCCTTAGCTATTTTTTTTCTTTTTGGGTCACACCCGGCAATGCTCAGGCTGACTCCCGGCTCTGCACTCAGGAATCCCTCCTGGCGGTGCTCGGGGGACCCTATGGGATGCCGGGGATCGAACCCGGGTTGGCCACGTGGAAAGCAAAGACCCTCCTTGCTGTACTATTGCTCCAGTCCCTGATCTTTTTTTTTTTAAATTTTCTTTCATTCTTGCTGCAAAATGAGATCCCGGGCTTAGCTCAAATTATGGGAGGAGGGGGCTGGAGTGATAGCACAGCGGGTAGGGCATTTGCCTTGCATGCAGCCGACCTGGGTTCGATTCCCAGCATCCCATAGGGTCCCCTGAGCACCGCCAGGAGTAATTCCTGAGTGCATGAGCCAGGAGTAGCCTCTGTGCATCACCAGGTGTGACCCCCCCCCGCCAAAAAAACAAAACAAAAAAAAATTGTGGGGGGGGGAAGCCCCCTACTAGTTTGTGGGTAGGATGAAGTTCCTGAGTCTGCCGCCAGGGGGCGGGCGCTGAAGGGATTTCCTCCCTTCCAGTTCAGACTTAAAGGGTGTTAATTAAACTCAGCCAGAAATTGGCAAACTACAATCCTTGGCCAAATTTGACTCTCAGTCCTTTTTTGGGGGGAGGGATGGGGGCTTGTTGGGTCCCACCTGGCGATGCTCAGGGCTTCCTCCTGGCTCTGCACTCAGGGCTCACTCCTGGCAGTGCTCAGGGGACCCTATGGGATGCTGGGAATCGAACCCGGGTCGGCCGCGTGCAAGGCAAATGCCCTACCCACTGTGCTATCACTCTGGCCCCACTAGGATCATATTTTGGGAAGAGCTACACAGTATTAATAACTTAAGCAAAAGAAAAAGGGGGTGGCGTGCAAAAAAAAATAAATAAGAACAATTCTTCCTCAAAAGAATTTAAAAAGAACCTGGGTTATTTTAGGGCAAGGTAATGATTGTGTAAGCACCTTAGATTTTATTTTTTATTTTTGACTTTTTGGCAGTGTTCAGGGATCACTCCTGTCTCTGCACTCAGGAATCAGTTCTGGCAGGGCTCAGGGGACCCTATGGGATGCCGGGGATCGAACCCGGGTCAGCCATGTGCCAGGCAAATAAATGCCCTCCCCGCTGTACTAATGTTCTGGCCCCCCCTCAGCCGCCTATTTTCGTCTATAAAGTTTTATTGAGACAGAGTCATGCTCATTCTCCTGACCGTGAAAGAGCCCCCCAATATGCCACCAGGCTACACTAGCACAAGACAGGGATGAATGGAGACGTAACTGGCGCCCGCTCGAGCAAATCGATGGACAATGGGGTGAGAGTGAGAGTGATTGCGTATTGCTACCTTCTCCCTGCTGAAGGGGCTCTGTCATTCTAACAGCGAGAGTGACTGCTCACGGAGCCTCAAGTGTTTTCCGTCTGTCTCCTTGGCATGTTTTTAGAATCTAAATCTGCTGGGACGGGCAGGTGGTGTGTGTCTGTCTGCGTTCTGCACGCATGTTCCTGGAGGGAAGCGAATGCTGTTCCCGGGGCTTTTTCTTTTTCTTTTTTCTTTTTGGGCTGCACCCGGTGATGCTCAGGGGTTCCTCCTGGCTCTGCACTCAGGAATCACTCCTGGTGGTGCTTGGGGGACCCTAGGGGATGCCGGGGATCGAACCCGGGTCGGCTGCGTGCAAGGTAAATGCCCTCCCTGCTGTGCTATCGCTCCAGCCCCTCAAGGCTCACTTTTTTTTTTTTGGTTTTTGGGTCACACCCGGCGATGCTCAGGGCTGACTCCTGGCTCTGCTCTCAGGAGTTACTCCTGGCAGTGCTCAGGGGACCCTCCGGGATGCTGGGAATCGAACCCGGGTTGGCCGCGTGCAAGGCAAACGCCCTCCCCGCTGTGCTATCGCTCCAGCCCTGTTCCCGGGTCTCTGTACCTTGGGTTGCCAGGCGTTCACGCGGCCCTGCGCATTGAGACGGGCCCGGGCGGGCTTCCAGTAATCCCCCCACCAGGACTTCTTGAAGGACGAAGCTGTGATCTGCTCGTCCTTGATGTGCCCAGTCTCCATCCCCAGCGGCGTGGAGCAGCCTGTTGGGAGGAAGATGACGCCAGCGTGAAGCACCCACTGAAGAGTCCATGCAGAGGGGCAGGACCCAGCTCTGAGTCGCACATCGCGGGGGGCAGGGCTGTCCACGGGCTGTCCACGTGCCCCGGAAGGTTCCTGAGTGTCGCCCACTGACAAATGCACCAGCAGGAGCCTGCTAGGTTGGGGCCCTGAAGCCTAGTGGTCTGACACGAGATGGACCTGCGAGGGCTCCGCTCACCTCGCCCCTGCAGGGGAGAGGTGCCCTCACACCGGGCACCACCTCCCAGCCCTCTTGCGTCTCAGAAATGCACCTGTCATGTGGCGCCCGGAGCCAAGGGCGCGTCCCTCCACCCAAGGAGAGGCCGGGACCCCCCAACCCCACAAAGGGCTTGTCCCAGAGTCCTCCAGCAGAGCCCAGAGAGGACCTGCTCCTGCCCTGTACCGAACCATCCAGAGTGGGCAACGGCACCAACCAAGCTTCTGGCAGGGCTCAGGGGGACATACGGGGCGCCAGGGGTCGAACCCGGGTTGGCTGGGTGCAAGGCAGACGCTCTACCGACTGCATTATGCCTCCTTCCCTCCCTTCTTCCTTCCCTCCCCTCCTCTCCTCTCCTCTCCCCTCCTCTCCCCTTTCCACCCCTCCCCTCCCCTCCCCATCCCTCCCCTCCCCTCCCCTTCCCTTCCCTTCTCTTCCCTCCTCTCCTCTCCCCTCCCCTCCCCTTTCCACCCCTCCCCTCCCCAGCCCTGCCCTCCACTCCCCTCCCCTCCCCTTCCCTTCCCTTCTCTTCCCTCCTCTCCTCTCCCCTCCCCTCCCTTCCCCTCCCCTCCCCTCCCCTTCCCTTCCCTTCCCTTCCCTTCCCTTCCCTTCCCTTCCCTTCCCTTCCCTCCCCTCCCCTTCCCTCCTCTCCGCTCCTCATCCTCTCTCCTTTTCTCTCTCATTCCCTTTTTAACCACACCCAGCATTGCTCAGGGCTTACTCCTGGCTTTGTGCTCAGGGCTTGAACCCAGGTCGGCTGTGTGCGGGGCGAGTGCTCTCACCTGCTGCCCTATTGCTTTAGCTCAAAACCGGCCAGTTTGTCCCGGAGGCAGCCGAGAAAGAGGGTGCCGAATTGGAGTCCTCTAACTATGGTTTTGTTTTGGGGGAAGGCGGTGCTGGGGGCTGGGGCTCAGTCTCCCTGCCCAAGTACCGTCCAGAACCCTGCTAGAACCCGCCCCGGGCTCGTTCGCACACAGAGCTCACCTGAGTGGAACTTCCATTTCCTGCAACGTTCCCGGAACTTGAGGGGCTACAGAGAACGGAGCAGCACTCCCGCTCGGGGTCTTCCCCGGGAGAGAATCCCCCGAGACCGCCAGATCTCTTACCATTCACCTCACACCCCTGCAGTTCCAGGCGCAGGGCCGGCCTGCCGTAGAAGCGGGTCGGCGAGATCCGCACGTATCTCGCCACCACCGGGGGGTCCAGCCGATTCTCTTTGATTGTCGAAGCGTCCGAATTGCCAGAAAAATGCTAGAAGGAGAGAGGGAAGCTCGCTGGGGTGTCAGCGCTGCGCGGGGCTGTAAGTATAGTCGGAGCACGGTAGTACCAAGGATGCCCCGTTTCCAAGGAGACCAACCAGACCGGTCTGGACCCAAAGAGTCATAGTGGGAGGGGGGAGAGGGACGTTTCTTTCGGGCATCGACACAAAGAACCAAAGAAAAATGAACGCTAAGTGCAGAAGTCTTGGTGGCCCGTTCTGACGAACACCGTTCCTTGATGCCTGCCAACGGTCATACCCGGCGATGCTCAGGGCTGACTCCTGGCTCTGTGCTCAGGGCTCACTCCTGGCTCTGCGCTCAGGGCTCACTCCTGGCAGTGCTCAGGGCTCACTCCTGACATTGTGCTCAGGAATCACTGCCGGCAGTGCTCAGGGCTCACTCCTGGCAGTGCTTGGGGCTCACTCCTGGCTTTGCGCTCAGGAATCACTCCTGGCTCTGTGCTCAGGGCTCACTCCTGGCTCTGTGCTCAGGGCTCACTCCTGGCTCTGTGCTCAGGAATCACTCCTGGCTCTGTGCTCAGGGCTCACTCCTGGCTTTGCGCTCAGGAATCACTGCTGGCAGTGCTCAGGGCTCACTCCTGGCAGTGCTCAGGGCTCACTCCTGGCTTTGCGCTCAGGAATCACTGCTGGCAGTGCTCAGGGCTCACTCCTGGCTTTGCGCTCAGGAATCACTCCTGGCTCTGTGCTCAGGGCTCACTCCTGGCTCTGTGCTCAGGAATCACTCCTGGCGGTGCTCAGGGCTCACTCCTGGCTTTGCGCTCAGGAATCACTGCTGGCAGTGCTCAGGGCTCACTCCTGGCAGTGCTTGGGGCTCACTCCTGGCTTTGCGCTCAGGAATCACTCCTGGCGGTGCCCGGGGCTCACTCCTGGTTCTGTGCTTAGGAATCATTCTTGGCAGTGCTCAGGGCTCACTCCTGGCTCTAACTCAGGAATCACTCCTGGGGGTGCTCGGGGGACCTTATGGGATGCTGGGAATCGAACCCGGGTCAGCCGCCTGCCAGACAAACGCCCTCCTCGCTGTGCTATCTCTCCGTTTCTTTGTCTCACACACACACGGTCATCACTTACCCATTTATCAAGGCATCATGCAGGCACCCTTGAGATGTACACAAAGACCCTACGGCGGGTCTTGGGGTTCAGAAAGGAGGGGCACGCGTGCGCGCGCGCACACATGCACACACACACACACACACACACACACACACACACACCATCTTGCTCTTTGGGCTGCTTCCTTTGAAGATCCTCCAGTTGGAGCGGTCGGAGCTGTAAGCCATCTGGAACTCGGTGGTGTAGTACGGTTTTAGGTAGTGCTTTGCGCCTTGGGTCTCGATCCCCGTGATCACGACGTCCCTCTGCATGTCCACCTGGGATGGAGGAAGTCTGGGAAATAGCAGCATCCGGGGAGATGGGGGGTACGAGTCCCACCCTGCCTCAGTTTACCCCACAGCCACTAGCATTCGAGTGAAGAGCCAATGAGATGCACCAGGAGATGTGGCCCGTTTTCTGAGCTCGGAGGATCTGGGTTGCGTCTCTGGCTTCCTCACGGTCTAGCGGTGTGTGATTAGGGGTGAGTTAGTTTCTTTATACTTTCTCCCTGTTAGGACCCACTTAGCCAAAGAACTTCCAAGACAGGCTTTGTGGCCTTCTGAGTGACTTAGGCTTCTTCCAGGAACAAGGAAAGCAGAAAAAAAAACAGATGCTTTTTATCAAAGATTACATCCCCGGAATAAGATTAGCACGGTGGCACTGTTGTTCCGTTGTTCATCGATTTGCTCGAGCGGGCACCAGTAACGTCTCCATTGTGAGAATTGTGACTGTTTTTTTTTTTTTTTTTGCTTTTTGGTTCACACCTGGTGATGCACAGCGGTTACTCCGCACTCAGGAATCACCCCTGGCGGTGCTCGGGGGACCCTATGGGATGCTGGGAATCGAACCCGAGTCGGCCGTGTGCAAGGCAAACGCCCTCCCTGCTGTGCTATCGCTCCAGCCCCCCTTTCATTTCTTTTTGTGTCTCTTTCTTTTTATTATTATATTTTTTTGCTTGTTGGGTCCCACCCGGCGATGCTCAGGGCTCACTCCTGGCTCCGCACTCAGGAATCACTCCTGGCGGTGCTCAGGGGACCCTATGGGATGCTGGGAATCGAACCCGGGTCGGCCGCGTGCCAGGCAAACGCCTTACCCACTATACTATCATTCCTGCCCTCTTTTTGTGTCATTTTGACCCAGTGGTTCTCAGGGGCTCTCCTGGTGATTCTCAAGATTCCTGGGGAAACTGGAGACCAAATTAGCTTTGGCAGTATGCAAAGCCAATTCTTGACCGCCCCCCTGGATTATCTCCAGCCCAGACACAGTTCCTTTTTGGGGGCTGGGGGAGGGGCAGGTGTCAGCGTCCTTTTTATTGGTACAATAGCAGGAACTGTTACCTGGCTAACGAGACATACCTGGATCCAAGGTTTCAGGGCGAATTCTTCCAGAGGCTTGTCTGCGATCCAAGCGTTATAGGATCCGCCGTTGTTCAGTCTTGCTAGTTTAGGCTCCCAATAATCTGATTCCAAGGGGTGACAAAAATTGGTTTGGTGTAAAAGTGAAGGTAACAAGGTGGGGGGGGTGGGGGAAGGCAGCTCCCTAGGGGGCCGCCCCTGTCGCAGGTAGGGATGTGGGTGTTTCTGGAAACCTCCTACTCCTGGGGACTGCCTGACCTCTTGCCCTTGAGATGGGCACTGTGTGAGTGAGGGAGTTAGGAGGAATGGCATGAAGTGGGTGAGAAATGCAGTTCCTGTGGAGCTGAGTGGTTGGCAGAGGACAGGGGGCTTTGGGGGTCGTGATAGTGTCTGCAGGGAAGGCTCCATGCAGGAAGAAGCCCAGGGTGAGAGAGAAGTGGGGAGGTTGGCACTCCTGGGAATATATCCCGGAGAGGCAAAAAAAGTATCGTTGAAATGACACCTGCACCTATATGTTCATTGTTCACAAGAGCCAGAATCTGGAAAAAAAAAACCCAAGTGCCCCAAAACGGAAAAATGGGTAAAGAAACTTTGGTATATCTACACAATGGAATACTATGCAGCTGTTAGAAAAGATGAAATCATGAGATTTGCATATAAGTGTAAAATATCATGTTAAGTGAACTGAGTCAGAAAGAGAGGGACAGACATAGAAAGATTGCACTCATTTGTGGAAGATAAAGTTACAGAATGGGAGACTAATACCCAAGAATAGTAGAGATAAGGACCAGGAGGATTGCTCCACGGCTTGGAAGCCATCCTCCCATGCTGGGGGAAAAGGCAGCTCAGATAGAGAAGGGACCACCAAGTATAGGGTGCTAGGAGGGTCCGCTCGGGATGGGAGATGCGTGCTGAAAGTAGACTCTAGACCGAACATGATTGCCACTCAATGCCTCTTTTGTGAACCACAGCACCCAAAAGGAGAGAGAGAACGAAAGGGAATGCCCTGCCACAAAGGCAGGGTGGGGTGGGGGGATGGGGTTGGGGTGGTGGGAGGGATGCTGGGATCATTGGTGGTGGAGAATGGGCACTGGTGGAGGGATGGGTACTGAGCATTGTATGACTGAAACGTAACCACAAAAGTTTGTAAGTCTGTAACTGCATCTCATGGGGATCCATTAAAAAAACTTAAAAAAAAAGTGGGAGGTTGGGAAAACAGCAGGAAGTCTGCATGTAGGCCTCCATTCGCTCCTCCCCCTGGGTGCCTGTAGGTGGTGGGCATCTGGGCATCTATGCCCAGATGCCCGGCAACCCAAGCTCCTGGGCTTCCTTGGCACAATCTTTGCGAGCACCAGACGCTAGGAGGCAAAGGCTAGCTTTGACCGAGCGCCCACAGGTCTTGCCAGCTACCACGCCCTTGACCCCACGAGCACCCCTGATGGATCTGGATCACAGTGTTGTGAAAATCCTAGGGCAACACAAGGACTGAACAGACTGCACGAGCTGCCGGTGGCTCTCCGGGTTAGTTACGATGCTGCCACTTACTCTGGTGCTGAGAAGCCGTGACCTGCAAGTCAGTTATGATGCCCGTGCTGAGTCCCATCGGCATCCTGCATTCTACGAACATGAAAAATCGAGACAGGATGGTGGATGGTTTTTGGATTAGAAAATACACACAACGAAGTAAAAATGCCCTCCCCCCCCAACTAGATCTGATATTTCTGGTGGGGCCATAAGTTAGGTCTCTTGGCCTTCGCTTTGTTGACTTAGCTAGGTCTGATCAGCAAATAGTAAAGGCACCAGCAAGGCTGATAATTTATTAGCGATAGTGATGTCCTGGAGGAGAATACAAATTTCACTATGTGGTTACTTTTCAAAGTGACCTACCACACAGATGGGCTGAAAGTGTCTAGAGTTTTTTTACTTTGTGATCGTGTAAGAAAATACCAGCCACTGACCTATATGTAGGGTGATGCATTGCTTGGACTCAAGCAGGCATCTTAAAAGTGAGGCACAGGTGGATAGATGGATGGGTAAATGGATGAATGGATGGATGGATGGGTGGATGGATGGGTGGATGGGTGGGTGGATGGATGGATGGATGGATGGGTGGATGGATGGGTGGATGGGTGGATGGATGGGTGGATGGGTGGATGGATGGGTGGATGGGTGGGTGGATGGATGGATGGATGGATGGGTGGATGGATGGGTACATGGGTGGATGGGTGAATGGATGCTTGGATAGATGGATGGATGGGTGGATGAGTGGATGGATGTGTGGGTGGATGTATGGGTGGATGTATGGGTGGATGGATGGGTGGATGGATGGGTGGATGGGTGGATGGATGGATTAATGGATTGATGGGTGGGTGGATGGATGTGTGGGTGACTGTATGGGTGGATGGGTGGATGGGTGGGTGGATGGATGGAGGGCAGATGGATGGCTGGCTTTCTGGGTGGAAAGCTGGGTAGATTGCTGGGTGGATGGATGGGTGGATGGATGAAAGGAATGGAGGATGGATGGATGGGTGAATGGATAGATGGGTGGATGGATGGATGGGTGGATGGATGGGTGGATGGGTGGATGGATGGGTGGATGGGTAAATGGATGCTTGGACAGATGGATGGATGGGTGGATGGGTGGATGCATGTGTGGGTGGATGTATGGGTGGATGTATGGGTGGATGGATGGGTGGATGGGTGGATGGATGGATTAATGGATTGATGGGTGGGTGGATGGATGTGTGGGTGACTTTATGGGTGGATGGGTGGATGGGTGGATGGGTGGGTGGATGGATGGAGGGCAGATGGATGGCTGGCTTTCTGGGTGGAAAGCTGGGTAGATTGCTGGGTGGATGGATGAATGGGTGGATGGATGGGTGGATGGATGAAAGGAATGGAGGATGGATGGATGGGTGAATGGATAGATGGGTGGATGGTAGAAGAATGAATGGATGGATGGGTGGATGGATGGATGGGTACATGGGTGGATGGGTGGATGGTTGGGTGAATAGATGGGTGGATGGATGGATGGGTGGATGGATGGGTGGATGGGTGGGTAGATGGGTGGATGGGTGGGTAGATGGGTGGATGGGTGAATGGGTGGATGAATGGATGGATGGATAGATGGATGGGTTCATGGCTGGATGGGTGGATGGCTGGCTGGCTAGCTGAATGGATTAATGGATGGATGGGTGGATGGATGGATGGGTGGATTGATGGATGGATAGATGGGTGGATGGATGGGTGGATGGATCGGTAGATGGGTGGATGGGTGGATGGATGGATGAATGGATGGATGGGTATATAGATAGGTGGACGGATGGGTGGATGGATGAATGGAATGGAGGATGGATGGATGGATGGGTAGAAGAATGAATGGATGGATGGATGGGTGGATGGATGGATGGGTAGATAGATGGTGATAATGGACAGATGAATGATAGATGAAAAATGGAGAATTGGATGTGAATTTTGAAGGATAGATGAGGCTGTATTTCTTAAATGCTGAAATGCTAAGTTCAAAGATGATCTCTATCGCTGATGAATTTTAGGCATCTTTCCCCTTCTCCAGGAGCCTGGAAATTTGCTTCCTGGTACTTTTCCAAGCAGGATGCTTTCTCTTGAACCCCCAGTGGAGAAATTCATGGGGAGGGAGACACTTGGGTTGTTTCCTGACACAGTATAATCAGACCGTGTATCGGAATGAAAGAAATGACGGTCCCTACTTATGGCTGAAAAGCCAGAGAGCTTAGGGTGGAATGTTTCTAATCTCAGCTATGGGCACTCATCCTCAAAGTCACCTCCTGCTGAAAGTCACATATGACAGTACCTTTGTCTATGATGAGGAAGGGTGTCTGCATGCCGGCCCTCTGGTTCTGTCCAACCTGCGTGTCGAGAAGCCACCAGCCGGGCTTCGATGCCTTCATTTCAAGAGTTTTAAAGGAGCCTACGATGGAAAGCCAAAGGCAAATCGATTCCATCCAGGGGCAGTGGACAGAATCAGAGACTCTGACTCCCTCTGTTGCAAAACACTTTAGAACTTAGGAGCTGAGGCTGGGCTGGAGCAGTAGTCCAGCAGGAGGGCGTTGGCCTTGCATGCAGCCGACCCAAGTTCGATCCCCGGCATCCCATAAGGTTGGTTTGATTCCCCGGCATCCCATAAGGGCCCCCAAGTACCACCAGGAGTGACTCTTGAGTGCAGAGCCAGGACTCAGCCCTGAGCATCGCCAGGTGGGACCCCAAAAGAAAAAACCAAAAGAACTTAGGAGCCATCTGGTTCTTTTTTAGGCAAGATGAGAAGTACACTTAAAACAAAGCAAAACCTGGGGGCTGGAGCGATAGCACAGCGGGGAGGGTGTTGGCCTTGCATGCAGCTACCCGGGTTCGATCCCTGGCATCCCATAGGGTCCCCCGAGCACTGCCAGGAGTGATTCCTGAGTGTAGAGCCAGGAGTCAGCCCTGAGCATCACTGGGTGTGACCCAAAAAAGCAAAATAATAATAATAATAATAATAATAAAATAATAATATCTGGTCCATCACCCAGTTCAGCACCTTGATCAATATCTAATCCATCCATAGGGGCTGGAGCGATAGCACAGCGGGGAGGCGTTTGCTTTGCATGTGGCCAAACTGGGTTCGATCCCCGGCATCCCATAGGGTCCTCCGAGCACTGCCAGGAGTGATTCCTGAGTGCAGAGCCAGGAGGAACCCCTGAGCATCGCCGGGTGTGACCCAAAAAGCAACACCCCCCCAAATGCATGAAACACCATATACAGGGCTGGGGAGCAGATTCAGGAGTTAAGACCCTGCACGGGGCCTGAACCCCGCCAGGAATGATCCCTGAGCACTGTCGGTTGTGGCCTGCAAATAAACAAAACACCCAGGCCCGTTACTTAAATTAAATCACCCGGGGGCGCCCGATGGTTTGGAAGAAGCTGCCTTAGACGTGGCACCTAGTTCCACCACCCTGCAAAGGTTACTGCATGTACGTCTGCACCAACCCGCTCCGTCTACACTGCCTGCAGACAGGGATTTGCCTTGCATGCGGCCGACCCGGGTTCGATTCTTCCGTCTCTCTCAGAGAACCCAGCAAGCTACCAAGAGTGTCCCGCCCGCACGGCAGAGCCTGGCAAGCTCCCTGTGGCGTCTTTGAGATGCTAAACACAGTCCCAACAAGTCTCACAAGGGAGACCTTACTGGTGCCCGCTCGAGCAAATCGATGAACAACGGGAGGACAGTGACAGTGCTGGTGTTGCCAGAACCGAGGCAACTGTGGCGGGAAGGGATGTCGCAGCCCCCCACGCCCTCCTCCGGGTGCTTCCGGCGCCCCTTACCGGGCAGCAGGGGCCAGGTGCCCAGCTGGTGTTGCTGCGTGCCGTTCTCCAGCAGGGTCTGGCCGTGGAAATGCACCACGTGGATGTCTCGCGAGCTGCCCGCGTTTAGCAGCTGCAGCCGCACCCACTCCTGCTCGTACATCCGCAGGCCGGGCACCTTGTAGATGAGCCCGTTGATGGCTGGAAGGACAGAGAAGCCAGCCGGGAAGAACCGTCAGCGTGAGGGCGAGCGCGGCGGGTCCCCGTTCAATCCCCGGCATCCCAGTGATGGCTGAGCACCGTCGGGGGTGGGCCCCAGTAAACAAGTCCCAGAGGAGCCCCCCAAGGCCCCCCTGAGCACTGGTGGGTGTGGGTCCCCCATCCCCAAACCAAAAGCGGGGCAGGGATGAAGGGGAGGGTTTCGAGGTTTCGCATGCTGGAACCCTGGGTCTTATCCCTGGTACCACACGCTCCCCCAAGCAGCGCCTGGAGTTGTCCCTGAGGATAGAAAATATGGTCCCTCCTCAACCCCCCAAATTAGACTGCCTGGGGGTGTGGGTGGACCGAGGGAGGGAGGGAGGAAGTGGCACAGACTTGGAGATGGCACACACACACACACACACACACACACACACACACACACATACACACACAGGGTTCTCCATCCCTTAAACAGTTGCTCTTCCTTCCTTCCTCTTTTTTTTTTTTTTTTTGCTCAGGGGTTCCTCCTGGCTCTGCACTCAGGAATTACTCCTGGCAGTGCTCGGGGGACCCTGTGGGATGCCGGGGATCGAACCCAGGTCCTCCGCGTGCAAGGCCAACGCCCTCCCCGCTGTACTATCGCTCCAGCCCCATTTTTTTTTCTTTTTGGGTCCCACCCTGCGATGCTCAGGGCTTACTCCTGGCTCTGCACTCAGGAATCACTCCTGGCGGTGCTCAGGGGACCCTATGGGATGCCGGAGATCGAACCCGGGTTGGCCGCGTGCCAGGCCAACGTCCCCCCTGCTGTGCTCTCACTCCGGCCCCAGTCGCCCTTCCTTCTTTCCAGGACACCGAGCAGTGGATGCTTGACCGTTTCCGGCCAGACTCAACCCCTCCATCACACTTGGGGCTCCTGAGGGCTCCCCCACATCCTTCTCCACCCCATTCTCCACTCTGGCTTCTAGGACCACCACAAGCGAATCCGAGTCCTTCAGCCGAATTCGCATCCATTGACCCTTTATAGACAAAACACCCCCAAATGGCGCCAGTGGCCACATGCCACTCCCGGTCTACACCCACCAGCCTTGCCTCTCCCTTCTTCCTCCTGCACAGTTCTTAGTCTCGCCTTGGTCTCGAAGACTTGGAGGCCCCCTGGGAAGCCCCTAGGACCGGGTGGCCAGGAGGCCTCTCTTCCGGGCAGATGCAAGGGGGGTGATTACTTCCTCCCGTAAAATGGGGCTGGAGCCATAGCACAGCGGGGAGGGCGTTTGCCTTGCAGACGGCCGACCCCGGTTCGATTCCCAGCATCCCACATGGTCCCCTGAGCACCGCCAGGGGTAATTCCTGAGCGCAGAGCCAGGAGTCAGCCCTGTGCATCGCCGGGTGGGACCCCAAAAGCCAAAAAAACAAAAAACAAACAAAAAACAAACAAAAATGAACAAACTTCCTCCCGTTAAAGGCCTGTCCTTCTATGGGGCAGACCATCACTTTCGTCCCTCTCGTCTCTGCTTGGACTCACAAGTATCCCTCCCCCCCTCACCGGCTACAGTCTGCGCTGTTGGCTGTTGGGGGTTTGCAGAAACCCCGAAAAACAACCCTCAGTCTCTCTCTCTCCTCCACTCCCCCCTGCAGAGATCCCGACGAGGGCCCCCCCAACCCCACCAGGAGGGACCCCCCGAGCACTGTCCGGGGGGGGCCCAATCAACTGAACACACCAGGTGTTTTGCTGAAATTACTCCCCCCCCCCAGCGGCGCCCCGTGGCTCAGATGCCTTGCGTGGAGTGGCGGGGGCAGGGGGCGAGGGTGGGGTCATACTGTGGAACTCCTGGGCGGGGCTTTCCTCGGTGGCCGGGGGGTCCCAGGGCCTCTGCGGCCTGTTCTCGTGGTACCAGCTCTTCCTCTCGTCGAAGACCGTGAAGAGCAGCACGAACTCGCGCCTGTCCAGGGGCAGGTTGGTCTCCTTGTTCAGCGTCCCCGGGCGGCAGATGAGGAGCGGGCCGATGAGGCCGGAGTGGATGTCCTTCTCCTGGGGACGGGACGGTCACCTGCGGCTCACTGCCTTTCCTCTCTCTGGCCCTCCCTCCGTCCCTCAGTCCCTCAGCGTCTCTCCGTCTCTCTGGCTCTTCCTCTCTCTCCTCTGTCTCTCTCCCTCTCTCTCATTCACTCTCTCTTTCTCTCTCTCCCTCCCTCTCTCTCCATCTCTCTTGTTTGCTCTCTCCCTCTCCCTCTCTCTCCCTCTCTCTCTATCCCTCTCTTCCTCCTCTCCTCTCACTCACTGTCCCTCTCTCTATCTCCTCCCTCACCCTGACTCTCTCTCCCTCTCTGTCTCTCATTCTCTCCCTTTCTCTCTGTCTCCCTCTCTCTCCCCATCTCTCACTTACTCTCTCTCCCTCTCTCTCATCCACTCTCCTTCTCTCCCTCCCTTCCTCTCTCCCTCTTTTTCGCTCTATCTCCGTATCTCTCTATCCCCCTCTCTCTCCCTCCCTTTCTCCCTCTGACTCTCTCTCCCTCTTCTCCATCTCTCTCTCCCTCTCTCACTCTCTTCCTATCTCTCACTTACTCTCTCTCCCTCTCTCCCTCTCTCTCACTCTCCTTCCCTCTCTCTCTCCTTCTCTCCCTCTCTCTCCCTCCCTCTTCTCTCCCCCACAACCCCTCCTTTCAGGCTGACAGTCAGGAAGGCAACAGAGAAGGAAACCTGCCTTCTCAAGACCGGGGAGATGGCTCAAAGGCTTGGAGCAGGTGCTTGGCATGTGCTTAGCATGTGCTTAGCATGTGCGTAGCACGTGGAGGAGCCCCAGGTTCAATCCATGGCACCGCATGGTCCCCCGAATCGTGAGCAGAAAATAAAACTCAGTACCTGCGGATACTTCCCCTCCCCCCTCCACAAGAGCAAAGGGAACCTTTCCCGACTCTCTGAATCTGTTTCTCCTCCAGGTCGGTGACATTCTTATTTCCTGCCTCTAGTGGATGCTTTGGGCTGGAGCGTTAGCACAGTGGGTAGGGTGTTTGTCTGGCACGTGGCTGACCCGGATTGGATTCCTCCGTCCCTCTCGAAGAGCCTGGCAAGCTCCCCGTGGCGTCTTCGAGACGCCAAACACAGTAACGACAAGGCTCACCATGGAGACGTTACTGGTGCCCGCTCGAGCAAATCGATGATCAACGGGAAGACAGTGCTACAGTGCTATCGTGGGTGCTTCACCTCAACGAGAGAAACCGTTACGACGGCAATAATCACGCATCCGCTTTAAGGGTGTTGCCAGACTGGCCTGCCCAATTCCGGCAACAATCCAGTGTGGAAAAAAAAAACCACGTTAACGCATTGAACAGGTGATGCTGAGTGATGTGTCGTGCGTCTTCCTATCAGGAATTTGGGGAACTGAGCTTTGGAGCCGGAAGCAGAATTGAAAAATTTAAGTCTGTGCTCTCTCTCCTATATCTGAAAGAAGACTTTCACTGGGAGGAGGCATTCAAAGCCTCAGGGGACCATGCCATACCAGGGATCAAACTCGGGGCCTCTCGGGCCACCTGCCAGCCTAGTTCTTGGAGCTTATCTCCCCAGCCCCTGAAATTAAGTCTCCACTTTTTTTTTTGCTTTTTGGGGTTACACCTGGCGATGCTCAGGGGTTCCTCCTGGCTCTGCGCTCAGAAATCACTCCTGGCGGTGCTCAGGGGACCCTATGGGATGCTGGGGATCGAACCCGGGTCAGCTGCGTGCAAGGCCAACATCCTACTCGCTGTGCTATCACTCCAGCCCCTTAAGTCTCCACTCTGTAGCTGTTTCCAAAATAAGGGATAAAAGGGGGGGAAAAAAGGAATTCCAGGAATTTGAAAAAAAAAATGGAAAGAAAAAGAATTTCCTGTCCCAACATTTCCACGTTTTGACTTCTACCCCCACAAATACAAAAATGTGACATCTAAAAAGATACACACAGAGCTATGCTCACAGCAGTGCTTAGGGTCAAGCTAGGTGGGGCCTCAAATGCCCCTCACAGGGAAAAGAGTGAAGAATGAACAAAGGAGCTGGAGTGATAGCACGGCAGGGAGGGCGTTGGCCTTGCATGCGGCCGACCCAGGTTCGATTCCCAGCATCCCATAGGGTCCCCTGAGCACTGCCAGGAGTAATTCCTGAGTGCAGAGCCAGGAGTGACCCCTGAGTGCAGAGCCGGGAGTCAGCCCTGAGCATCGCCGGGTGGGACCCAAAAAGCAAAATAATAATAATAATAAAATAATAATATCTGGTCCATCACCCAGTTCAGCACCTTGATCAATATCTGGTCCATCACCCAGTTCAGCACCTTGATCAATATCTGATCCATCCATATCCATAGGGGCTGGAGCGATAGCACAGCGGGTAAGACATTTGCCTTGCAAGTGACTGACCCGGGTTCGATTCCCAGCATCCCATAGGGTCCCCAAGCACTGCCAGGAGTAATTCCTGAGTGCAGAGCCAGGAGTGACCACTGAGCATCACCGGGTGGGACCCAAAAAGCAAAAAAAAAAAAAAAAGAAAAAAAAAAAAGAAAAAATGAACGAAGGAAAAGCATGAATGAAACAAATGAGGAATGAAATGTGCAAAGAATAAATGAAACAACCCAAATGTCCAACAATGGATAAATGAGAAAAGAATAAACAAAGGTACAGATATACCACGAAATACTATGCAGCTATAAAAAATGATGAAATCACGTGGCCATGGCAACTTGGATAGAGCAGGAGGCTATCGTGTCAAATAAAATAAATCCGAGGGAAAAGAAAAAATACAAATGATCTCACTTTTTTTTTTTTTTTTTGCTTTTTGAGTCATAACCAGTGATGCTCAGTGGTCACTCCTGGCTCTGCATTCAAGAACCATTCCTGCTGGTGCTCAGGGGACAATACTGGATGCTGGAGATCTCGAACCCAGGTTGGCCGTGTGCAATGCAAACACCCTCTCCACTGTCCTGTCGCTCTGGTCCCTGATCTCACTTTGTATGCTCTAGCAGGCAATCAAACGTGGGAAGAGATTATCAGATGATAACATTTGATTAAATCGCGAATACCAAGCTGATGGGACCGGAAGGAAGGTCAGGACAATTGGTGGAGTGTCTTGACCACAGTCCAGATGTCCATCTATATCACAAACCTCATTCGTGGGGAACCACGTGACCCAAACTCGGATAACAAAAAAGCAGATGATAATTAGAATGACAACTGGGGCTGGAGCCATAGCCTAGCGGGAAGGGCGTTTGCCTTGCCCGTGGTAGACCCGGGTTCGATCCCCAGCATCCCCTAGGGTCCGCTGAGCACCGCCAAGATTGATTCCTGAGTGCAGAACCAGGAGGAACCCCTGAGCATCACCGGGTGTGACCCAAAAAGAAAGAAAGAAAAAGAAAAAGAAAAGAAAAGAAAATCGGAATGATAAGGGCATCTGTCTTGTGGGCAGACAGGCCCCCCTCCCCGCCCCCTCCACCAAACACCAGTGTCTTCCTCTGTCCGCCAAGACCACCCAGGAGGATCCTGCCTCAGGTGGCCGAAGACGGGCGGCACCCACCGTGTTCACGGCCGAGTAATAGGCCCAGGCGCGGCATGCGGAGCCCGGAGTCTCGGGGCCCGAGCGGTCGGTGGCATGCCACACATATGTGTAGCTACTATTGGGTGGCACGGCGTTGTCCTCACGGAACCACTCGGGGGAGTCATCTTCGTACGTCTTGCCCTCGGACGACTTTTCGTAGGAGAGCCCGTGGACGTGCAGAGAAAAGGGTCTGGAGGCGAGGTTCTTAAAGCGCACCTGAGGGACAGACAAAGGACCAGGCTGAGACCTTGAGGGACCGACCTACACGGGAGCCACTCGGCGGGCCCAGAGGAGGCAGCGGTTAAGTCCCCCGGGAGGCACGGTGAGTGCTGACTCACTCCAGGTGACTTGGACCAACGACTTCATTGGCATGAGGGGCTGGAGCAATAGCACAGCAGGGAGGGCGTTTGCCTTGCATGAAGCCGATCCGGGTTCGGTCCCCAGCATCCCATAGGGTCCCCTGAGCACTGTCAGGAGTGATTCCTGAGTGCAGAACCAGGAGGAAGCCCTGAGCATCGCCGGGTGGGACCCCAAAAGAAAACTGGCACGAGGGACCGGAGGGGAGGGCGTTTGCCTGGCATGTGACCAGCCCAGGTTCGATTCCCGGCATCCCTTAGAGTTCCCCGAGCACCGCCAAGAGTGATTCCTGAGTGCAGAGCCAGGAGGGACCCCCAAGCACTGCTGGGTGTGACCCCCAAAAAAACAAAAATCAATTTTTTTAAAACCCTGTAACTCACAGTGCTTTAATTAAAACAAACAAACAAATAATCAACAACAACAACAAAACATTGGGCTGGAGCAATAGCACAGCAGGGAGGGCATTTGCCTTGCTGTGGCCGACCCGGGTTCGATCCTCAGCATCCCATAGGGTCCCCCGAGCACCGCCAGGAGTGATTCCTGAGTGCAGAGCCAGGAGGAACCCCTGAGCACTGCTGGGTGTGGCCCAAAAAGAAAAAAAAAACGGCAAGAGGGGCTGGAGCCATAGTCCAGTGCGGAGGGCATTTGCCTTGCATGCTGCCGACCCGGGTTCGATCCCCAGCATCCCATAGGGTCCCCTGAGCACCGCCAGGAGTGATCCCTGAGTGCAGAGCCAGGAGGAACCCCTGAGCATCGCCGGGTGGGACCCCAAAAGAAAACTGGCTCGAGGGGCCGGAGGGGAGGGCGTTTGCCTGGCATGTGACCAGCCCAGGTTCGATTCCCGGCATCCCTTAGAGTTCCCCGAGCACCGCCAAGGGTGATTCCTGAGTGCAGAGCCAGGAGGGACCCCCAAGCACTGCTGGGTGTGACCCCCAAAAAAACAAAAATCAATTTTTTTAAAACCCTGTAACTCACAGTGCTTTAATTAAAACAAACAAACAAATAATCAACAACAACAACAAAACATTGGGCTGGAGCGATAGCACAGCAGGGAGGGCATTTGCCTTGCTGTGGCCGACCCGGGTTCGATCCTCAGCATCCCATAGGGTCCCCCGAGCACCGCCAGGAGTGATTTCTGAGTGCAGAGCCAGGAGGAACCCCTGAGCACTGCTGGGTGTGGCCCAAAAAGAAAAAAAAAAAGGCAAGAGGGGCTGGAGCCATAGTCCAGTGCGGAGGGCATTTGCCTTGCATGAAGCCAACCCAGGTTCGATCCCCAGCATCCCATAGGGTCCCCTGAGCACCGCCAGGAGTGATCCCTGAGTGTAGAGCCAGGAGTTAGCCCTGAGCATCGCCGGGTGTGACCCAAAGGTAAAAAAAAAAATTGGTGAGAGGTTGGGGCGGGGGCGGGGAGTTCGTGGGTATTTGGGTCACTCCCAGTGGGACTAGGGGCTGCTTCCTGCTCTGGACTTGTTCAGAGCACTGCTTGGGGGGCCCATGTGATGCCTGGGACTTAGTGTGGGCCTTTCTCTCACGCACGCTGATGCTTTGAGTCACCACCTCCCGGCATTGTTTTACTGAATACCGACACCTGTTCTAAAACGGGTCCCTTGGGATTTACCCGGCCTTGGTTTGAGTTTGAGTCTTTTGGGTTCCACCTTCAAGTTCCATTTCCAGAGTTTTAAAAACATGAAGTGGGGGCTGGAGCAATAGCACAGCGGGGAGGGCGTTTGCCTTTTACGCGGCCAACCCAGGTTCGATTCCCAACATCCCCTAGGGTCCCCTGAGCACCGCCAGGAGTGATTCCTGAGTGCAGAGCCAGGAGGAAACCCTGAGCATGGCCGGGTGTGACCCAAAAAGCAAATAAATAAATAAATAAAAACACAAAGGGGTTGGCGGCCACCAACTTCCAGAACCCAATGAGAAGTGTAAGTATGCGGGTTCAGTGACAGCAAACTCCAGGCCTCACAGGATAGGGGATGGGCCGGTCCCTCTCATCCCCTGACCCCATGGGAGCCTGGAGGTCACTCCACAAACTGTCTCTGGCTGCCACTTGAGGTCCTTAACGACCATGATCCAGAGACACACAAAAGAATCTCGGAACCAAGCAGCTTACTGCGGAGATTTCTCCAGACCCTGATTATCTAAAAGTGTAGAATTCCAGTAGTTCCAGTAGCACGTGGTTGTTCTCTTGGCTGCATGACTTTTTTTTTTTGCTTTTTGGGTCCCACCTGGCAATGCTCAGGGGTTCCTCCTGGCTCTGCACTCAGGAATCACTCCTGGCGGTGCTTGGGGGACCATAGGGGATGCTGGGAATCGAACCCAGGTTGTTGAATGCTGCCCCCTGTGCTATTACTCCAGACCTGGCTTCTTTCTTTCTTTCTTTCTTTCTTTCTTTCCTTCCTTCCTTCCTTTCTTTTCCCACAATTTCTTATGCTATTCACAACAAGCAATACAAAAGACAGCATGGGGGAGATTATCTGCCCTAGAGGCAAGAGGAGGAAGAGGAGGAACAGGATGGGGGGATACTGGAGATCTTGGTGGTGGAGAATGTGCACTGGTGGAGGGATGGGTGATCGATCATTGCATGACTGAAACTCAAACAGAAAGCTTTAAAACTCTATCTCACAGTGATTAAGAAAATAATAATAATAAATAAAATAATAAAAAATAATATTAGCTTACTGAATAAAAAAAGTGATGTGGAGTTCATGCCCAATTCAATCAGCTTAATCAATGGCTGAATAAATAGTAGCACTCTTTTTTTTTTTTTTTGCTCTTTGGGTCACACCCGGCGATGCACAGGGGTCACTCCTGGCTCTGCGCTCAGGAATTACCCCTGGCGGTGCTCAGGGGACCACATGGGATGCTGGGAATCGAACCTGAGTTGGCTGCATGCAAGGCAAACACTCTACCGGCTGTGCTATTGCTCCAGCCCCTCTTTTTTATTTTTTTTGTTTTTTTTTTTGGGGTCACACCCGGTGATGCTCAGGGGTTACTCCTGACTCTGCACTCAGGAGTTACTCCTGGCAGTGCTTGGGGGACCATATGGGATGCTGGGAATCGAACCTGGCTTGGCCGCGTGCAAGGCAAATGCCCTATCCCCTGTGCTATTACTGCAGCCCCAAATAGGAGTATTCTTACATTAAAAAAAAACACTCAGGGGTCATTTTTTTTTTTTTGAAGAAAACTACCTGACTAAACTACCTCTGAAAAGAAACGAAAATCCTTGGTTTATTATGGAATCACCTACTGCCCTCTTGGTACGTGAGCAATCCTCGATCACATGCGGAATATTCTTTGACTTTCTGAGCCGGGCTCAGTGGATGACTCACCTGGATCACGTCACCCACTTCGGCCCTGATGACGGGACCGAGAATGCCCAGGTGCTCTTCATACTCGCCCCGGGGGTCTCGCTTGGTAAATGAGTTATCCAGGTACTTCGTGAAAACCACCTTCTTGTATACTGTGTTTTCTGGCATGTCAGCTGTGTCTTCATTCTCCATTTCACTGGAATGACAGTTTCATTTCTTTTTTTCCTTTCTTTTGTTTTGCTTTTTGGGTCACACCCGGCAACGCACAGGGGTTCCTCCTGGCTCTGCACTCAGGAATTACTCCTGGCTGTGCTCAGGGGACCCTATGGGATGCTGGGAATCGAACTGGGTCGGCTACGTGCAAGGCAAATGCCTTCCCTGCTGTGCTATTGCTCCAGCCTCAACAGTTTAATTTCTTACAGGAGACCATTATTGACGATGGCCAAGTCCATACTTGCCCATGAGCTCTGTCACCGGGGACCTCATGAACTCAGACTAAGCATTTCCCAGAGACTATAATACTTTGTTAACTAAGCATTAAAAAGAACGTTTGGGGACTGGAGTGGGGAGGGCGTTTGCCTTGTGCGTGGCCAATCCAGGTTCGAACCTCAGCATTCCATAGGGTCCACCGAGTACCGCTAGGAGTGATTCCTGAGTGCAGAACCAGGAGTAACCCCTGAGCATCCCCGGCTGTGATCCCCCAAAAAGCAAATAAATATTTTTAAAAAATAAAAAAAATGTTTTGCTCACAACACATCTAGGCAAAAGGAGGTTTTCTCCCCACCCCACCCCCAATCTGAATTTGGTGCCAGCTTCAATGAAATCATTTTGGTGATCACATAGGGGGCTCGTGGCATTGAACCACGACCCAGGTTCGATTCCCAGCATCCCATATGGTCCCCCGAGCACCGACAGGAGTAATTTTTGAGTGTAAAGCCAGGAGTAACCCCTGTGCATTGCCGGATATGGCCTAAAAAGAAAAAAAAAACAGGGAAACTAATATTGAGGTTGACAAGAAAATGGCACAGTGCAACAGAGGAACTGCATTGTACTTAGCCCAAGGGGCACAGAATGAGCTCTGTGGATGGTGGCTATTAGTTTTATTTTCAGCAGGAGTTCGAAACTGAGAGTATAGAAGAAGAAAGCCAGCCCGACCTTTGTGCGAATTTGGCATAATCCCAGACTATCTCTTCAGCCGCAATGTAATAGTACTTCCTGTTTCCGGTGTTGCTCCGGAGATAAAAGGCGGCAATGTGTTCCGGGTTCCTGGAGGAATTGATGTCGGTCCGCATGTCAGTTTGGTAAGGGTCATCGTAGGTCACGTAATCCATTTCCACAACTTCCTCTTCACTGGTCACCACCTTCCTCCTGGGAACATACTCGACATAATCTCCGTCATCTTTCCTGAGGCCCACGATCACTGGTGGGTTCAAGTCTCTCAGTCCAAGGTCACTCAACCCTGGAGATGGCTTCTGGTCGCGGTCAGGAGTGGGCAACATCCGACCACGTTCTGGAAGAGGCGGGGACTGGGTCAGGCCAGATGTCACTGTCTCGGTAGGAGACCATGTGTTGCCTATAGGAGTATGTGTTGTCTCACTGAAGTCCGAGGAAGGAGTGTTCCAGTCAAGGTCTGGGGGGAACATCAACCCACCCAGGTCTTGGGGAAATGTCTCCTCATAGAGATCGAAGGAAGTCTTCTCCCAGAAGAGGTCTGGGGAAAGGGTTACCTCACTGAGGTCTGAGGAAATGGTGTCCCGGGAGAGGTCTGGGGAAAGGGTTACCTCTCTGAAGTTTGAGGAAAATTTTTCCAGGGTCAGTTCTGGGGAGAGAGTGGTCTCATCGAAGTCTGAGGAAAGGGTGGTCTCATCAAGGTCTACGGGAAGGGTGTTCTCAAGGTCTGAGGAGAGGGAGGTCTCATCAAAGTCTGAGGAGAGGGTGGTCTCATCAAGGTTTGAGGAAAAGGTGGTCTCACTGAGGTCTGGGGAAAAGGTGGTCTCAATGAAGTCTGAGAAAAGGGTGGTCTCACTGAGGTCTGAGGAAAGAGTGGTCTCACTAAAGTCTGAGGAAAGGGTGGTCTCACTGAGGTCTGAGGAAATTGTGGTTTCACTGAGGTCTGAGGAAAAGGTGGTCTCATCAAGGTCTGAGAAAAAGGTGGTCTCATTGAGGTCTGAGGAAAGGGTGGTCTCACTGAGGTCTGGGGACAAAGTGGTCTCACCAAGGTCTGGGGGAAAAGTGTTCTCACCAAGGTCTTCGGAGAAGGTGGTTTCATCGAAATCTGGCGAAAGGGTGGTCTTACGGAGGCCTAAGAGGGATGACTGACTGACATTTGGAGAGAAGGCTGCTGGCCTGACTTCAGGCTTCAAGGCAGACAATCTTTTATCAAAGTGAGTAGAAAAGGACTCATTTTTGGGCAACCGGTTGAACCCTGAAGAAGCTCTGTGAGTAGGGTCTGAGGTGGAGACTGGTTGATCTTGAATTGGGGATGATTGAATCTGTTCCTCTGGGGTCACCGCTGAGGAGATATTTGGAGGGGAGCTCATCTGACTGGTGTCATGTGGTGACTGTTGACTCTTGTCAAGAAGTGAATGTGTAATTCTCGGGTCAAGAATCACGGGTAAGGTCTGATTGAGTTCTGTGAGGAGAGAGGTTCTATTGAGTGTGTGGGCCAATGGGGAAGGAACCGGTGTCCTGTCTGTTGTGCTGGGACTTCTTCTGTGAGGAGGGAAGCCTCTAGGAGAGAGAGGAGCATGGTGAGGAAACTTCTGTTCCCTTTTCTTCTTCCGTGTCCTTACGAAAAGCGAGCTCTTCCTCAACCCACCGTGTCTCCCGTCCTGTCCAGCATGGAGCGGTCTGTGTTTCGTTCCAGAAAATTCTAGGTGGTCTCTCTGCTCTCGGTGCTGGTTGGTGAGGCGGGCGTTTTCTCCCCAGGTCCTTGAGCCAGTCTCGGGGTGCCCGAGCTTACGACCAGGCGTGTCTTCTTCTGCATTTTGGATGACTTCATAGCTGGCTTCCTCAGACGCCAACCGCCACGTTTTGTTCAAAATCTCCGATGAATTCTTGAGTTTGAAGACTAATGGTTTGCTGTGGACTTCCTTCTCGGACTGCACGGGAGAAGCGCTGTCTTGGCTTGACTGTTTTCCATTGGGATTTGCTGTTAAACCCATCTTGGAAGACCGGTTTTTCGAAGGTCCCCCTTCTCTCCCTGTCTTGAAGCTTTGGGGTTTCCTGCGCCCTTGGTGTCTAAATCCTCTTGGACCTTCTGGATGGGGGAGCAAGAGTATGTCGGTAACTTCTGACTGTGAAGGGTCCTCTACAGGGTCTTCAGAATAAGGGCTGGACTGCTCCTTTGCAGACGGGTGGGCCTCGTCTAAGCCAACGCCTTCAGAACGGGGACCAGCCGCAGTGCCTTCTGGGAAAGTAGGGCTCTCCTGGGGTTCGTGATTGGCCGTGGACTTGCTGCTGTTACTCAGAGAAGATGCTTCAGAGGCATCGCTTGTCTGGATCCAGAGAGAAGTGGAGTCATGATAGTCCTCCAGAACAAGGGCGGTCAGGTTGAACTCCTCTTCCTCCTGGGAGAGCGACGCATTTCGGAATGACCTGATTCCCAGTTCTGAAGCCAGGAAGTCCTGGTAATAGTCATCGTTTTCCTCAGGGTTTTCTGGAAAGTCGTGCATTTTCCGCGTTGACATGGACGTCGGGGCCGGAACCAGTTCGTAGATAATCTCATACGAGTCTTCGTCATCGTCCCGGATACACTTGACATCTCTGAAGCGTAGTCTTAGGTTCTTGGTTCTTCGATGGGAATTCATGGTCGTTAACATCCATGTTCCTAAAAGAAGAGAGACGGGGAGAACAGTGGGTTCGAGTCCAGTCGAAGGTGAGGAACCATGGGATCGAAGGGCATAGGTAATTCCCTATAAACTTTGCTCTGGAGTACTCCAGTTGGTGGTGGGAGTGTGTTAGAATATTAAATGTAATCAAATATTGTGAACTACTTTATATAATTTTAAAAATTGGAAAAAAAACCCCAGCTGGTCACCCACAAAAAATACTCCATGGTAATTTTTAGTGAGTAATTCATAAAAAGGATACAAAATAAATTACTTATCATCTGCCTTTAGGTAGGCTTGGGTGATGGTGGGCAAGTTCAAAATAATGGCGGTGGGATGGTGAAGTGTGATGGGATTGGTGTGGAATATTGAATGTAATAAATGGATTGTGAACCAAGAGCCAGAATCTGGGAAACAACCTGAGTGCCCGAGAACAGGAGACTGGTTATAGAAACTTCGGTTCATCTACACAATGGAATACTATGCAGCTGTTAGGGAAGATGAAGTCATGAAATTTGCTTCTAAGTGGATGGTCACGGAGAGTATCATGCTAAGTGAAATGAATCAGAAAGAGAGGGACAGACATAGAGGGACTGCACTCATTTGTGGAATATAAAATAACAGAATATGAGACTGACACCCAAGGACAGTAGAGACCAGGGCCAAGAAGATTGCTCCGTGGTCGGAAGCCTCTCTCATGAGCTGGGATAACAAGGGATCACTAAGTCAGTGATGGTTGGAGGGATCGTTCGGGATGGGAGATGTGTGCTGAAAGTAGATCAAGGAACAAACTTGTTAACCTCTCAATATCTATATTGCAAATCATGATGTCCAAAAATAGAGAGTATGGGGGAGATTGTCTGTCATAGAGACAGGGGGAGGGCTAGAATGGGAGGGATACTGGGAACATTGGTGGTGGGGAATACACACTGGTGGAGGAATGGGTGTTTGGTCATTGTATAACTGAAACTCAAACATGAAAGCTTTGTAAGTGTATCTCATGGTGATTCAATTAAAAATTTTAAAAAATGATTGTGGACAACTTTATAAAAATAAAATTAAAAAAATACTCCATAGTGGTCTGGAGACGATGGAGGTTCTGGAAGTGGTTGGTGGCTCTTTCACAATGACCCAAGAAGTAGGAAGCATGCAGGAAGCTCTGAAGTTTGATACTGCTTTCACATTTAACCCGTTGAACAGGAGATAGGCCAAAACTATGGCTCAGGAGAGATCAGGGAGAAAGCTCATAGCACAGAGTTTGGGAGCGATTATTTCACGACAGAGTTGGAAAGGCAGGATTCGAGAGTGAAATGGACTTCCAATACCAAAAACTGTTTTTTAGTTATAAATCTTGTTAGAGAAATAGGGTTGGGGAGACGGAGGAGATGGCACTGGGGTCAAGGACTTACCTTGCATGTGGCTGATTCTGGCTTGATGCCAAGCACTGCTGAGAGTGACTCATGAGCACAGAGTAAGGAGTAGCTGTGTCTGCCCCCACCCCTCACCCAAGGCCCAATAAACAAACAAGAAAACAAAAAAACACAAAGGGAATTGGAGTTCAGGGGAGAACGATGATATCTCAACCCCTAAAAACAGAGACATTCAGATATTTTTAAGCCCTCAAAGAATTCCAGTGGGTCCAGGACAATCGTGAACGTCTTTGAAAGGGAATGATTTTTCTAGAGCACTGAAATCTCCTTTTTGAGTGTCGAGCAGAGCTGGAACTTGGCCAGGTGACAACGCAGAATCAAAGAGATTCAGTAAGGTATAGCTGGTCTGTTTCTCCATTGAATACACACGATCACATTATTACCTCAATAATAACTCCAAGCCCACACAGAGATTTGATAAACATTAAAAGCATTGTGGTTTCCATGATACTATATCGCCTCTAAAGGCAGCCCTTAAGGCATAATAGCTGTGACCTCCGACTTTAGTTGGAAGGTGAGGAAGAGGTCTTTAAAATACAATTTAATGGAAGCAAATCTCTTTCGTGGTTGAATTCTTTTGCTCCCCCTTCAACTTTATGCCTTTGAGAGCCTTGATTTTTCACTTAGTCCCGAGGAGGTAGAAATGAAAAATTTTATTCAAGGTCAGGAGTCACTCAAGAAATTAATTCCCTAACTAGGGATCATAAGAAACACTGAAAGAAACACCTGAAAAACATCAGGGAGAGATGCCCACATCTGGAGTAGACCAGAAGACTGCAAAGACGCCCAGATCTGGGGTAGACCAGAAGGCTCTAGAGTTTGTTCTAGACCAGAGATGGCCCCAGAAGGCTCGAGAGTTTGTTCTAGACCAGAGATGGCCCCAGACGGCTCTAGAGTTTGTTCTAGACCAGAGGTGGCCCCAGAAGGCTCTAGAGTTTGTTCTAGACCAGAGATGGCCCCAGACGGCTCTAGAGTTTGTTCTAGACCAGAGATGGCCCCAGACGGCTCTAGAGTTTGTTCTAGACCAGAGATGGCCCCAGAAGGCTCTAGAGTTTGTTCTAGACCAGAGATGGCCCCAGACGGCTCTAGAGTTTGTTCTAGACCAGAGGTGGCCCCAGAAGGCTCTAGAGTTTGTTCTAGACCAGAGATGGCCCCAGAAGGCTCTAGAGTTTGTTCTAGACCTGAGGTGGCCCCAGAAGGCTCTAGAGTTTGTTCTAGACCAGAGATGGCCCCAGACGGCTCTAGAGTTTGTTCTAGACCTGAGGTGGCCCCAGAAGGCTCTAGAGTTTGTTCTAGACCAGAGATGGTCCCATGCGGATCCTGGCTCTTACCCACGTTATCCATGGTGACAGTCACTGATTCACCCCTCATGGGGAAGAGGGTGAGGGTGTCCTCGTGTCTCTTCCCATAGATGAAGGAGTGGCCGGTGAAGTGAATGGTCAGAACGTCGTCCTGGGTTCCCACGCTGCAGAAATGCCACTGGACGGTGTCATCAAAACAAAATCCTAAAGTGGGTATGCTCTCGGGCACGTAGCCGTTGATTGCTGAAAGGGGGTAATCGGTTCATGTCAGATCTATGCCAGCCAAAGGGTATGGAGCCTAGCGATGCCCAGAGGAATGCTATGATGCTTTAGTTGGGCCAGAGCTATGGCTGCTCATGAAAGACTGGCCTAGGTGTAAGGTGTAAGGGGATGACACTTAAACCTCTCAACTGAGAGCAGGTCCCCTGCACCGGCCCAGGGTGAGGTCAAGATAGACACAGCCTGGGCCTGGAGTGATAGAACAGCGGGGAGGGCGTTTGCCTTGCATGAAGCCCACCCGGGTTCGATCCCCAACGTCCCATAGGGTGCCCTGAGCACTGCCAGGAGGAATTCCTGAGTGCAGAACCAGGAGGAACCCCTGAGCATCACTGGGTGTGACCCAAAAAGTCAACCTTCCCATCAAAAAAAAAATTATACACAGCCCTCCATGTGGTTGGTTTATTCTTTCATAGGTTGACTATCTGTTAAATATTTCGGGGCCCCCACGGCTTGGAAACCAATCTCATGTGCTGGGGGAAAGGCAGCTGGGATGGAGAAGGGACCACTAAGTAAATGAGGCTTGGAGGGCTTGCTCGGGATGGTAGATGAGTACTGAAAGTAGGCTATGGACTAAACATGATGGTTGTTTAGTGCCTGTATTGCAAACCATAACACCCAAAGGAGAGAGAGAGAGAGAGAGAGAGAGAGAGAGAGAGAGAGAGAGAGAGAGAGAGAGAGAGAAAGAGGGAATGTGTCTGCCACAGAGGCAGGGGGTGGGAAGGGGTGGGGGTGATGGGAGGGATACTGGGAACATCGGTGGTGGAGAATGGGCACTGGTGGAGGGATGGGTGTTCGACCATTGTATGACTGAAATGTAATCACAAAAATTCTCGTCAGTCTGTAACTGTATCTCAATAATGATTCATTAAAATAAAAAATAAATTAACGTAAATAAATAAATATTTCGGGGGCCCTCCACTTTTAGTGATATTCTGCAGATCAACTGAGGATATGATTTAGGATCATCCATCTGAAGGAAAAGAATGTTGGAAATTCATCATTTGGACTCACTGAGTCTTTGCAGAAGAAGTCAGGCCCCTTAAGAAAAAGTCTCAGTTTCATTCAGGTTCCCCTTCCCACCCCGATGGAGCCAGCCCCAGCAGCTGAAAACCTCCGGAACTCAATCCCCACCATGGTCATTCTTGAGACTCATTCTTGGATGGGCCTCACCCATGAGTGAATCAATGCGGCCACAGGACGTTTGATACTTCCTACCACTGATATACAAAGAGTAGCACACCACATTTAATGCGGTTTAAAGGCAACCAATCTTAGGGGGAAATATATATATATATATTTTTATATATATATATATATGTGCACATAAGGCTCAACCTTTAACAGCATGTTACTAATCTCTTGTAGAATGACTCCTGGGTGAAATACAACAATCTTCACACACTTTCCTCTAAGAAAGCGTTTTTGGATCGTTTTTAGCGGATTATTCATAACAAGCAATACAAAATGAATCACTTCAGTTCTGCTTTGGGGGCAGGGCTTGGGGTTCAAGATGGAAACATTCAAAATATGGTCGTGGAAAGGTGTCAAGGTGGTGGGATTGGTGTTCAAATATTAAATGTAATCAAATATTGTGAACAACTTTACAAAAATAAAAAAAGTACAAAAAAAAGAAACAACCTCAAAGCACATTTTGCAATTTTGATGGGTCCTTCTCGGCACTGATATCATCAGTAGTCTTGTTACAAGTATTCAGAGCACAGCACTGTCCTCCCATTGTTCATCGATTTTGGTCGAGTGGGCCCAGTAACGTCTCCATTGTGAGACTTCTTGTTACTGTGTTTGGCATATCGAATATGTCACGGGGAGCTTGCCAGGCTTTGTCATGTGGGTGAGATACTCTGAGTAGCTTGCCGGGCTCTCCGAGAGGGGTGGAGGAATCGAACCCTGGTCAGTCGTGTCAGCCGTGTGCAAGGCAAACACCTTACCTGCTGTGCTATTGCTCCAGCCTGTTACAAGTATTGAGTTCATATATTTTATATTCACACGGCAAGGACCCTTGTTACCTGGTCTAACAATGCACCTCCCATTTTCTCTCTGCAAACATGCACATGCATATACACACATCTGTACACGTTTGGAAACGGGGACGAGGCAACTTTCAGGGATAACACACCTTTAACCTCTTGCTGGAATACCCCTGGGAACAGTTTCCCTGAATCGGAAGTAGTGGATTTTGAGCCCGGTTACACTGTGATTGGGGGGATGAGACAGAATGAATCAAGATTGTTCCCACTTACTGCTCATGATGTTGGACTCATAAAATTTGGGGTCAGCACGATCCACCTCGTCAGGATTTTCACAAAACTTGTTGATGTTGTCCTCAATGTACCAACTCTTGTTTTCATCGAACACGGCAAACACAGCCAGCTGTTCAATGTCCGCTGTCCTCTGCAGGGGGAGATGTTATGCTTGGTGACCGAAGGTTCCGGTCAATGGCTGAAAACACTGAGTTCTCAGAAACTCAAATGGTACAGCCCTTGGGACCCACGGAAGCCACAAACTCAGGCGTTTATGAGACTTCATTGTGTCTGAGGCACTTGCTCAGGCCAAAGATAACACACAAAAGCAAATGGAGCAGATCAGAAAGTTTAGAGACGAAAATAGCCTCCTAGGAAAATACTGAAATTGGTTGATACCGGAATGGGACACCTTTTGGCTTGAGTGATCGGGTAAATTCCAAGTAGCCCCAAAGGATAACATAGGAGGTGCATGATATGCAAAAAAAAAATCAGTTTCTACCAAAGATTCATTTCTGATTTGTCTAGGTACATGGGTTTATTCAGCATGTTTTGGGATGGAATTTCTTTGCTTACTACTGAGACCAACATGGTAGAGCCTGGCAAGCTACCTGTGGCATATTTGATATGCCAAAAATAGTAGCAATAACGGGTCTCATTCCCCTGACCTTGTAAGAGCCTCCAATATGGCACCGTTGGGAAGGATGAGTAAGGAGAGGCTGCTAAAATCTCAGGACTGGGACGAACAGAGACGTTACTGGCACCCGCTCGAGTAAATCAATGAACAACGGAATGACAGTGATACAGTGATACTACTGAGCCCAACGGACTAAGCATCTAAGATGATAATATGTGATGATAATTCTTCCATCATGGTAACATTAGAACAGTCAAATCTTTGTTCATGATTTTCTGCATAATTCTCGCCGGTGATGAACAACCATTGAGGTCCAGTTTCATTCAAAACTGCATTGCCTTCGGAGCTTTGTGGAAAGCCAGGTATGAGCCAGTCGTGGTGGGGCGACTGAAACCTCATGGGAAGGGGGGGCGTTCCCAACTCATCCTTCACGCCCTACCGAGATCACGAGTTGCCCCCCATGAATGGCTCTCCGGTATGGCCATGGCTTCAGAGGATAGAAACCAATCTCATAATTATCTGACTCTCAGCAGAAATAATTCCAGGCTTAATAAGTAAAATACCAGAAATCCAAAATCGCGCCGTGCGACATCATTTGATTCTTGTTACCAGCTGTAGAAAAAGTATTATTTCACAATGCCTTTTCAGCATGTCTGATTTGGGGGTATAAATTCTAAATAACAATGGTGCATCTTTTGTCAAAACAAATCTAATCAAAGTAGATAGAGTGTTAACTAGAATTCATCTGCTTCACAGGCATTGGGAGGGTTGGGGGGGGTTATTGGGGTTCTTGGTGGTGAAAAAAAAAGTATTGGTGAAGGGAAATGTGTTTGATAATTGCATGACAGAGACTTAAACCTGAAAGCTTTGTAACTTTTCCCACAGTGATTCAATAAATAAATAAATAATTTTAAAAAACTGCATTGCCAAGGGGAGTCTCTCTTCTCGCTCACTAGTGCAAGTGTCTAAAAAGAACAAGGATTTGCACCCAAATCTGTGGGTCCCAGGTGGTCTCTCAGCCCTGTAATGTCATAGGAGGAGAATAAGGCATGGGGTGAGAGGGACAATGGTGGGACCATGTGACCTCAGCACAGAGCCAATACCAACAAATGTGGAATGCAAAACCAAAGCCAAGGACAGAATGGCTCTATAGACTGGACATCTCCAGGGAGAGAACAGATGCCAGTGGCCACGACACCACCGCAAGTCACCAGAGAGAGGCCACAAATCTCGTGACTTCAGCCATGGAGATGTCTTTGGAATTTCCAAGGGGAAATGGGGAGTAAAAGCAAGAATTCACAAAGAGAGCTATAAAACAGTTAAAAATAAAACCAAAGGGGCTGAAGAGATAGCACAGAGGGTAGGGCGTTTGCCTTGCACGCGGCCAACCCGGGTTCGATTCCCAGCATCCCATATGGTCCCCTGAGTACCGCCAGGAGTAACTCCTGAGTGCAGATCCAGGAGTAACCCCTGGGCATTGCCAGGTGTTACCCCAAAAAGCAACAACAACAACAAAAAAAAACACACACACAAAAAAACAAAGCTACAACACAGTGGAAAGGTCTATTAACACAAAGAGACCATCTACGGAATGGAAGTAACTATTTGAAAAAACACACCTCTCACAAGGGCTGTTAATATACAGAGTCTGGGGCTGGAGTGATAGCACAGTGGGGAGGGCGTTTACCTGGCCAACCCGGGTTCGATCCCCAGCATCCCATATAATCCCCTGAGCACTGCCAGAAGTAATTCCTGAGTCAGAGTCAGGAGTAACCCCTGTGCATTGCTGGGTGTGACCCAAAAAGTAAAAAATAAATAAATAAAAGTAATATACAGAGTCCGGAAATAATCTGCACAGCTCAGTGACAAAAGCCAAACAACCCAGTTAAAAAATGCTCAAAAACTGGGAATAAACATTTCTCTTAAAATGTCTAGACATTTCTCTTCTCTTCCACACAGATGGCCAACAATTATATTCTGAATATACTTGTTGATTTTTTTTGGGAGGGGACACACCTGGTGATGCTCAGGGGTTACTCCTGGCTCATACACTCAGGAATCACTCCTGGTGGTGCTCAGGGGGCCCTATGGGATGCCGGGGATGGAACCCGGGTTGGCCCCGTGCAAGACAAATGCCCTCCCTAAAGTACTATCTCTGTTGGGCTGGAGAGATAGCACAGCGGGTAGGGTGTTTGCCTTGCACGCGGCCGACCCGGGTTTGACTCCCAGCGTCCCATATGGTCCCCTGAGCACCGCCAGGAGTAACTCCTGAGTGCAGAGCCAGGAGGAACCCCTGTGTATAGCAGGGTGTGACCCAAAAAGCAAAAAAAAAAAAAGTCCTATCTCTCTAGCCTGCTACTTGTTGATATTTTTTATATTTTTTAGATATAATCAGCCTGGAGAGACAGTACAGCGGTTAAGGTGCTTGCCTTGCATGCAGTTGACCCCCGTTTAATCTCTGGCTTTGCGTTTTCCCTTACCATTTGTGTGTGGTTTAAGAGCCTATCCCCTGCCTACTAAAATCAGTCATCTCTTACCAGGAAAATGCGAACCTAAACTAATCTGGAAAAAACCTGAGTGCCCGAGAACAGATGACTGGTTAAAGAAACTCTGGTACATTTACACAATGGAGTACTATGTAGCTGTTAGAAAAGATGAAGTCATGAACTTTACATACAAGTGGTACTACATGGAAAGTATCATGTTAAGTGAGATGAGTCAGAAAGAGAGGGACAGACATAGGAAGATTGCATTCATCTGGGGAACATAAAGTAACAAAATAGGAGACTAACACCCAAGAGTGGCCAAGATTAGTACCAGGAATTTTGTTCCATGGCCTGGAGGCCAGCCACATGTGCTAGGGGAAAAGGGAGCTCAGATAGAAAAGGGAGCACCAAATAAAGGGTGTTGGGAGGATCCCCCCAGGATGGGAGAAGCATGCTGAAAGTAGACTCTAGACTGAACAGGATTGCCACTCAATACCTCTCTTGCAAAACACAGGACCCAACAGAAGAGAGAGAGAACAAGAGGGAATGCCCTGCCACAGAGGCAAGGGGGGATGGACAGATGAGGGGTGAGAGGGATACTGGGATCCGTGGTGGTGGGAAATGGGCACTGGCGGAGGGATGGGTACTGGATCATTGTATAACTGCAACCCAAGCACAAAAATTTGTAAGTCTACAACTGTACCTCATGGTGTTTCACTAATAAAAATTTTTTTTAAAAAAATGCTTGAAACTACTAAGTAAAACAAACAAACAACAACGACAAAACTATAATGGGGGGTATCGCTTTACAACCGTGAGAATAGATGGTGTCCCAAAAGCAAGAAACACATCAGCAAAGATATGGAGAAAACAGAATCATCACACACAGTTGGTGAGAATGTAAACGGCCTTAAGGAAAACAGCATGGCAGCTCTTTAAAATGAAGAATCCAAAGGGCATTCAACCATGAGTCGGAAAGAGAGGGATAGACATAGGAAGATTGCACTCATTTGTGGAATATAAAGGTAAAGGTAAAGGCCCTCCCGTTGATCGTCGATTTGCTCGAGCGGGCCCAGTAACGTCTCCATTGGAGACTTTGTTGTTACTGTGTCTGGCATATCGAATACTCTCGGTAGCTTGCCGGGCTCTCCGAGAGGGGCGGAGGAATCGAACTCGGGTCGGCCATGTTGGCCGCTTGTAAGGCGGACGCCCTACTGCTGTGCTATCGCTCTAGCCCTTAAAGGAACAGAATGGGAAACTAACACCCAAAGGTACTAGACACAAGGGCCAGGAGGATCGCTCTATGGCTTGGAAGCCGGCCTCACATGCTGGGGGAAAAGGCAGCTCAGACAGAGAAGGGAGCACCAAGTAAAGGGTGCTTGGAAGACCTGCTCCAAGCAGGGATGGCAGATGTGTACTGATAGCAGACTCTAGACTGGACATGACGGCCACTTAACATCTGCATTGCAGACCACAACACCCTAAAGGAGAGAGAGAGAGAGAGAGAGAGAGAGAGAGAGAGAGAGAGAGAGAGAGGAATCTGCTTGATACAGAGGCAGGGGGCGGGGGGGGTTGGTGGGGGATTCGGGCAGGATACTGGTACTGGGAACATTGGTGGTGGAGAATGGGCACTGGTGGAGGGATGGGTACTCGATCATTGTATGACTGAAGCGTAAGCACGAAAGTTTGTGAGTCTGTAACTGTATCTTGTGATGATTCATTTAAAAAAAAGACATTAAACCCAACAATCCTACTTTTTTTTTTTTTTTTTGCTTTTTGGGTCACACCCAGCGATGCTCAGGGGTTACTCCTGGCTCATGCACTCAGGAATCACTCCTGGCGGTGCTCGGGGGACCATATGGGATGCTGGGAATCGAACCTGTGTCGACCATGTTGGCTGCGTGCAAGGCAAATGCCCTACCCGCTGTGCTATTGCTCCTGCCCCAACCATCCTACTTTTGAAGAACCAAAACTCTACCTCGATGAATGAATGAACATACATTCATCACCACCGTTTTCACAGTTGCTGAGTTGGGAACAGCTTGTCTGCTCACTGACAGATGAGTTATAAGGAAACAGTGATCATTACACAGTGATCGTGGTAAAAATGGTCGGGGGGAGAATTGGGTTGGAGTGATAATACAGCAGTAGGGAGCTTGCCTAGTATGAGGCTGACCTGGGTGCAATTCCCTGGTCCCCCAAGCACCTCCAGGATGGAATGTGGAGCTGGGAGTAGATCCTGAACATTGCTGGGTGTGGCTTCCAAACAAAAAACAAAAGAAAAAAATGAGGGCCTCCTATGTGTAATAAGCCCCAGAAGACCCAATACTTTTTCTTTTCTGATTCTCAGCTATTTTATATATATATATATATATATATATATATATATATATATATTATTAGTGAAACACCATGAGGTACAGTTGTAGATTTACAATTTTTTGTGCTTGGGTTTCGATTATACAATGATCAGATACCCATCCCCCCACCAGTGCCCATTTTCCACCACCATGGATAATGTCCCCCCCACCCCCATCCCCCCATCCCCCCCTGCCTCCGTGGCAGGGCAATCCCCTGTGTTCTCTCTCTCCTTTTGGGTGTTGTGGTCTGCAAAAGAGGCATTGAGTGGCAAACATGTTCAGTCCATAGTCTACTTTCGACATGCATCTCCCCTCCTGGGAGGATCCTCCAAACACCCTTTATTTGGTGCTCCCTTCTCTATCTGAGCTGCCCTTTCCCCTAGAATGCCCGGCTGGCCACTAAGCTATGGAGTAATCCTCCTGGTGCTGATCTCAGCTATTCTTGGGTATTAATCTCCTATTTTGTTACTTTATATCCCCCAGATGAATGCAATCTTTCTATGTCTGTCCCTCTCTTTCTGACTCATTTCGCTTAGCATGATACTTTCCATGTTGTACCACTTGTATGTAAATTTCATGACCTCATCCTTTCTAACAGCTACATAGTACTCCATTGTGTAGATGTACCAAAGTTTCATTAACCAGTCATCTGTTCTTGGGCATTCAGGTTTCTTCCAGTTTCTGGCTATTGTAAAGAGTGCTGCAATGAACAAACAAGTGCAGATGTCACTTCGACTATACATTTTTGCCTCTCTGGGATATGTTCCCAGGAGTGGTACTGCTGGGTCAAATGGGAGCTCAATTTCTAATTTTTTGAGAATCGGAAGACCCAATACTTTTATGAAATAAGTCAAAGAAGAGCAGAGGATTTCACCCATACCCTGAAGAAGCAAAGAATGAACAAGGACAACACAGCCAAACCACACCGGCTACAAAAACTCTACAGGGGTCACCCAGGAAGACGTGAATAAATCCGATGAAAGGGGCCAATTGTATGGCAGAGGACGGACTCTAGACTTTGGGTGGCAAAAAGAACATGTTCTAGAAAAATATTGATTTATGGTCCCTACACCTACTTGATACCTGTCAACTGCGTTTCCCTCAGAGTTTCCTCTTCAAATCACCAGAGGAATCCGTGTTTCATATTTGCACAAAAGAGGCTTACTTGGTATTTACCGTTCTCTCCACAGCAAAGCCACATTATTGACTGTTCTAGTCGGAAAACATTTCTGGAATTTCTGGAAGGAAAACAGAAGGGCAGCCTACCTGGACGCCGCGTTTGTCCAGCGACCTGCTCTTACAAATTAGCAGAATCCCGATGAGGCCAGAGGCGATATCCCGGGTGAAATCCACGTTACTATGGTATGGCCTGGTCAAGCACTGGGCATCGTTTTCCGTGGGTTCGTCACTCTCGAGGATGTTCCACTTGTAAGTAAGCGTTTCTCCTGGCTGAACTGGTCTCGTGACGGAGTTCTGACCTGCAGGCAAATGGAACAAAAAAAAAATCCACTCGAGAACTGCAGCCCTGGCAGCAGCAAGGGTATAGCATTGTGTTTTTGAAGAGTTGACAGAATTCCTGCAGGAAGAGACCCTGACGTATGTGCCCCCTGAGGCCAGCAGAATGTACCGCTAGGCAAAAGTCATGGTTGAAAGCTATGGCAGCCTCGCAGAAGTCAGCTGCTTCATTCAGGAGAAAGGAAGGGGGTCAGACCTGACGTAGAAGAAGCGTTGACCTCATCTTCATAAGGCGAGAAGGTCACTCCGTGAGGGTAAATATTATAGGGTCGGCTGGCCATGTTTTTGAACACGATCTGCAATGTTAAATGAGGTCAGAATATAAGGGTCCATCTGGGAGAATTAAGAGTGTGTGTGTGTGTGTTTGTGTGAGAGAGAGAGAGAGAGAGAAAGAGAGAGAAAGAGAGAGAGAAAGAGAGAGAGAAAGAGAGATTTACACACTGTCTTGTTTACTGACACAAATTTCTCCATTCCCCCAGTGGAAGTGATGGGAAGCGTTTTCATTACCTTGGAAGGTGGGACTCAGAAATCTGGTTTTATTTTATTGTTGGTTTTTAGGACATGCACAGGGATGCTCAGGGCTGACTCCTGGCACTGTGCTCAGGGATCACTCCTTGGCAGGGCTGGGGGGACCCTATGGGATGCCGGGTATTGAAGGCAGCCCCAGAATCCCGACTTAAGAAGTGCCTTCACAGTTCATCACACTCTCCACCCTCTGCTCCTTAATGTTCAGTGTGATCACACCTGCCTCTGAACCTGCTCCGTCTCCCCTCTAGGTGGTGATCTCCAGACCTCTGAGAACCACTTCCTTGGAAATATTTTTTTTAGGTGGGAATGAATAAACCGATTATGAATTCTGAAGAGGTGTATTTACACACCCGTTAAAGGACCAGAAGTCTGGGAAGGGAAAGAGAAAGGCAGCTTTTTGTCTTTTTTTCTGGTTTTAAATAAAGGGAGTCATAATCCACTAATGCTTCCGGTTCACCCCAGGGATACTCTGCATAGCATCAGAATTCTCGTTTGAATTAACCTTCAAAAACAGAACCTCACTCACCAAACTGAGTGCCAAATTCTTTGACCGGTCCCTTATCCATAGGCAATTCCCACTCTGAATCTTGACTAGGGCTGCCCAGTCACCAAAAGCTTGCTCGCTTGCTGAGATAACTTTGACAAAAAATTCTCTGCAGTATACTTGGTGTTCTTGTTACAAACCAACCCTTTTATCATCAGCCTAACTATGTACCCAGAACACAGGAGGAAGAATTGGGTTTACCCAATGGTGTTAAAGGTCTGTGATGAACTCCAATGGGAAGATTTAAAAAAAAATTTAGTAACCATGAATTACAAAGCTATTCAAGATTGGGTTTCAGGCACACAATTTCCAATACCAATCCCTTCACCGGTGTCCACACAGTTCCAAGGCATTTTGAGGAGTCTTAAGTATCCAACAGGGAAATCTTAAATCTCAGTAGCAGGACAAGTCAATTCTTTAACTGTTCTGAATAATCCCAACAGAGACAGGAATTGTGATCCCAACAGACAAGAAGTGTGATCCCAACAGGGACAGGAAGTGCGATCCCAACAGGAATGGGAAGTGTGATCCTAACAGGCACAGGAAGTATGATCCCAACAGACACAGGAAGTGTGATTCCAACAGAGATAGGAAGTGTAATCCCAACAGGGATAGGAACTGTGATCCCAACAGGGACAGGAGTGATTTATCCTAATTGGACTCACTCACGGTGCTATTTCTGAATAATTTTATAAAGTGTCTTGGATTCTTTGTACTGCAAGGAAGGCTGTAAGTATATGCTAGCAGCAAGGAAATATGAAAATCTACCTTTGGTGGAAAAAGGATTGAGCTGTACTTAGCCTCTGTCTTTCACAATTTCATTTCTTCTCTCTCTGTGTAACTTACTTTGAGCGTATCTCGGACCTGAGCTCTGATAACAGGCCCCAAGATTCCATCTTCTTGGGCATTGGGGTTCTCCAGTCGTTTGGTGAAGGAGGCATCTTGATATTGTCTGTACACAACCTTCTTATAATGTTTTCCAATTTGGTTTGAGAAATTATCCAAGTGAAGAGATCTATATTTTCTTCAAATGAAAAATGTTAAAAGTGAAACCAGTTTCTGAAGCAGAGACCCCAGTGGGGTGGGAAGGGAAAACACACACACACACACACACACACACACACACACACACACACACACAAAACCTTTGTGTTGGGAAGGTTAGCTCTTGGAGGAACTAAAATGTTAATCTGATAAAGAAAAAAAAAATCTTGGGACTGGAGCAATAGCACAGCGGGTAGGGCGTTTGCCTTGTACGCGGCCGACCTGAGTTCGATTCCCAGCATCCCATAGGGTCCCCCGAGCACCGCCAGGAGTAACTCCTGAGTGCAGAGCCAGGAGTAACCCCTGTGCATCGCCGGGTGTGATCCAAAAAGAAAAAAAAATCTTAATGTGGTTTGTTGAAGTGCAGTCATCTTTGGTCTAGTTACAAAATGAGAAACTTTTTAGCTAACTTCCTGCTCAAATTAGAGGTGACTGGTTGGAGATAACCTTTCGCTTTTCTTCCCAAGTCTCTACTTGCTAGAGTGTCCAAATCCTGGCTTATCTCGGGGGAAAGGTCTACACTCGCTGAAAGAGTAAACTCCGCTTGGATTGTTTTCAAACTATTCTCATCACTTCCTGAAGGCCTTTTTGCCTCATCACCTTGCTGCCTTTCCACATTATCGTGGAAGAGACCTTGAGATGCCCCAGGGAGGTTAAGGGTCCCTGACTCACTTGTCCATACTGGTGAGAATGACGGGTGCATAGTCCCAAATAATTTCTTCTGCCGCAATGAAATACTCCCACCGCTTGATGTGTCGCCTCTGCTCCCGAGAGAGGGTTTTCAACTTCCTGGTCTTCTTGGTGCAGTTTTTAATGTCAATATGCGCCTGCATTCCGGCTGAGGGATACAGAGACCGTGAGCTTGGAGGAAAGACTCAGAGGGTTAGTTACTCAGCACGCTTTGCATGCTGGACGTAAGAGTTCACCGCCCTCCACTGCCTCACAGTTACCGACTACCAAGAACTACCCCAGAGTATCGAGTTGGGAGAAAGAAATTCTGGCCCCAAATAAAACAAACAACAAAAGAGTTGAAGAGGAGAAATGAGGGCTGGAGCGATAGCACAGCGGGGAGGGCGTTTGCCTGGCATGCGGCAGACCCGGGTTCAATCCCCGGCATCCCACATGGTCCCCTGAGCACCACCAGGAGTAATTTCTGAATGCAGAGCCAGCCTGAGCATCACTGGGTGTGACCCAAAAAGCAAATAAATAAATAAATAAATAAAAATTTTAAAAAAGAGAGAAATGTAATTTGGTGTAAAAGATAAGACGAGAGCTGGAGAGATAGTTTGATCTTGCACGTGGATGACCCAGACTCGATCTCTAGCTCCCAAGGTGGTCCCATGAGCCCCCAGGAGTGATCCCTGAATGTAGAGCTAGGAGTAACTCCTGAGCACCTCTGAGTGTGTTTATCCATAGCACCTGGACCCCATCAAAATAAGAGAGAAGAAAAAATCGACCCCCCGGCAGCACCCAGTGGACCCTGTGTGGGTACCCAGGAATCAAATCCAGGTCAGCCACATGCAAGACAAGCGCCCTACCCCTTTACTATCTTACGTTCTTAAAAGATCTACTCATCAGCTATTCAAATCTTCCACAAACGAGCCACCCCAGCAAATCTTTCTGGCTCATTTTATTAGCAAAAAAATGAAACAAAACAAAACAAAAAAACAAAAAAAAAAAACACCAAAAAAAAAAACCAAAAACAAAACAAAACAAAAAAACCTTTTTTTCCCCCGAAATTCTACACTTGCTGTCATGGGTTACTTCTCTGCAGATGCCTGTTTAATTCCAGCCTGGAGGACTTTTTCTGCAGTTCCATATTCCAGAGGGAATATCTCTATGACACACTCATTTCCTTCCTCCCTTTTCTTTGGAGGAAGTAGAGATCTCTACAGCTCTGTGTATGTGTGTGTGTGAGTGTGTGTGTGTGTGTGTGTGTGTGTGTGTGTATGTGTGAGCGCGTGCGCATTTTAATTTTTTTTTCTCTTTGGATCATATGTGGCGATGCTCAGGGGTTCCTCCTGGCTCATGCACTCAGGAATTACTCCTGGCGGTGCTCAGGGGACCCTATGGGATGCTGGGAATCGAACCTGGGTTGGCGGCGTGCAAGGCAAATGCTCTACCCATTGTTTTATTGTTCTATCGCTCCAGCCCCCCAGCTTTTGTGTGTTTTTATTTAAAAAAAACCAACAACAAAAAACAAATCCCTTCATAAATTCACCTACTTCCTCAGTCTGACTTTATGCTGTCAGTCTACGAGCCATGGAAGATGAAAATCGCACTATGGAAATTTCACTCAGGGCTTGGGGCAGGCCTGTCTGGGATGGGCAGGGGAGCTTGAAAGGGGAGAGGAGGAGGAGGAGGAGGAGGAGGAGGGGGAAGAGGGGAAGGAGAAGGAGGAGGAGGAGGAAGAGGAGGAGGAGGAGGAGGGGGAAGAGGGGAAAGAGAAGGAGGAGGAGGAGGAAGAGGAGGAGGAGGAAGAGGAGGAGGGGGAAAAGGAGGAGGAGGAGGAGGGGAAGGAGAAGGAGGAGGAAGGGGAAGAGGAAGAGGAGGAGGGGAAGAGGAGGAAGAGTGGGAAAGGGGGAGGAGGGGGATGAGGAGGAGGAGGAGGAGGAGGAGGAGGAGGAAGAGAAAGAGGAGGAAAGGAAGAAAAGGAGGAGGAGGAGGGAAGAGGAGGAGGAGGAGGAGGAAGAGGAGGAGGAGGAGGAGGGGGAAGAGGGGAAGGAGAAGGAGGAGGAGGAAGAGGGGGAGGAGAAAGAGGAGGAGGGGGAAAAGGAGGAGGAGGAGGGGGAAGAGGAGGAAGAGTGGGAAAGGGGGAGGAGGGGGATGAGGAGGAGGAGGAGGAGGAAGAGAAAGAGGAGGAAAGGAAGAAGAGGAGGAGGAGGGAAGAGGAGGAGGAGGAGGAAGAGGAGGAGGAGGAGGAGGGGGAAGAGGGGAAGGAGAAAGAGGAGGAGGAAGAGGAGGAGGAGAAAGAGGAGGAGGGGGAAAAGGAGGAGGAGGAGGGGGAAGAGGAGGAAGAGTGGGAAAGGGGGAGGAGGGGGATGAGGAGGAAAAGGAAGAGGAGGGAAAGGGGGAGGAGGAGGGAGAGGAGGAGGAGGGAGAAGAGGAGGAGGAGGGGGAGGGGGAAGAGAAGAGGAGGAGGAGGAAGAGGAGGAGGAGCAGGAAGGGGAAGAGGAGGAGGAGGAGGAAGAGGAGGAGGGGGAAAAGGAGGAGGAGGAGGAGGAAGAGAAAGAGGAGGAAAGGAAGAAAAGGAGGAGGAGGAGGGAAGAGGAGGAGGAGGAGGGGAAGGAGAAGGAGGAGGAGGAGGAAAAGGAAGAGGAGGGAAAGGGGGAGGAGGAGGGAGAGGAGGAGGAGGGAGAAGAGGAGGAGGAGGAGGGGGAGGGGGAAGAGCAGGAGGAAGATGAGGAAGGGGAAGAGGGGGGAAGAGGAGGAGGGAGAGGAGGAGAAGGAGGGGAAGAGGAGGAGGAGGGGATGAAGATGAGGAGGAGGAGGAGGGGGAAGAGGAGGAGGAGGAGGAAGAGGAGGAGGGAGAAAAGGAGGAGGAGGAGGAGGGACGGAGCGAGGAGGAAGAAAGCACGAAAGCCCAGGGTCAGCCGCCGGGACTGTCAGAGGAGTCTCTTGCCTTGGAAGTGTTTGGGGACGAGGGACAAAATGTCCCATCTTCCTTCCGGGCTCGTGGTCATGTTGGCGGTCAAGGCGGTGGCGCTGACCAAGGTGACGGCGGAGATTCGACGGCGGCTCTGCTCCAGGACCTGGCCGTTGAAGTGGATGGAGAACAGCTCCGGCTCCGAGCTCATCCCGATCAGATGCCAGCTGAGGTGGTCGTGGGCGCACGCTGTTACATCTGGGGGTGGGGGGCAGGGGAGAGAGGGGGCACAGAGGGCCATTAGTCCAGTCCTCTGGGAGGAAACAGCCACCGACAGAGCCAGAGCTGTGCAGGAGGGGCTGGGGCGACCGCCCAGCGGGGAGGGCGTTGGCCTTGCACGCGGCCGACCCAGGTTCGATTCCCAGCATCCCATCTGGTCCCCCGAGCACCGCCAGGAGTGATTCCTGAGTGCAGAGCCAGGAGGAACCCCTGAGCATCTCCGGGTGTGACCCAAAAAGCAAAAAAAAAAAATAGAGCTATAAAGGAGGCAGAAGGTGAGGTGGGGGTGGGTGGTGAATGTGCCAATGGTGGTTTCCTGGAAGCACGTTGGACAGTGGACGTCGGAGTGATGGGCATGTGAGCCGGTAGCACATCCCTATGGCCACTGGGAGATTAAGACTTTCGAGCCTGGGGCTGGAGCGATAGCACAGCGGGGAGGGCATTGGCCTTGCATGCGGCCGACCCAGGTTCGATTCCCGGCATCCCATATGGTCCCCCGAGCACCACCAGGAGTGATTCCTGAGTTCAGAGCCTGAAGGTACCCCTGAGCATCTCCGGGTGTGACCCAAAAAGCCAAAAAATAAAAAAAAAGAGAAGACTTTTGAGTCCCGAGATGGACATGCTAATTTGGGCACCTAGAGATTGCTAAGGGACTGGCCTGAGGGTCCCTTTGTAGTCCTGCCACCCACCCCCACCCTGGGTGGCCGCTTGCCTGGCATGGTGCCGTTCACGTAGCCATTGACCGTGTACATGAGAGCGGGCGAAGGCGTCCAGCTTTTGCTCTCATCAAACACGGCAAACATCAGCACGTGCTGGTTGTCAAACATCTTCTGGGTGCCGTCCTCGGCCAGGGCTCCTGGGAGAGGGAGAGACGAGGTTTCAAGGACCACCCCCCCAACACACACACACACACACACACACACACACACACACACACACACACAGGAGACCCGACTGCCCTCACAGAGCAGAGGCCGAAAGCCAACCAGCATCACCCTGTCAACATCAAGAAGCTTGTCCTGAGGGCCAGAGCGATAGGACAGTGAGGAGAGCGTTTGCCTTGCATGAAGCTGACCCGGGTTCGATTCCCAGCATCCCATGGATCCCCAGAGCCCACCAGGAGCGATTCCTGAGTCAGGAGTCAGCCCTGAGCACTTCCGGTGTCCCTCCATCCCTCCCCAAATGAGAAGTTTGTCTTGATCTCACTAAACCCTGGCTCTTGTGGGCACGTTTTTAGAATCTGGGGGCCACCGGAAGTGTTTTCTTAGAAACTTTATGACTTTGCCCAATGGGACTTGGCAGGGACATTGAATCAAGCACAGAGAGAAAAAATTAGGCAATGCTCAAGGCATTGCTTAAAGTGTCTCAAAGTGTTCTCTGGGGAAAAGCCAGTTACCTTAACTCAGGGGGTGAAGCCAGGATCAACTCCACAGTGAACCCGGTCATTGTACATGTAGTGAAGACCAGGCTAACGGAAACACCATTCATGGCGAACTTTTAAAAATAAGTTTGGGGGCTGGAGCGATAGCACAATGGATAGGGCGTTTGCCTTGCATGCGGCCAACCCAGGTTCGATTCCCAGCATCCCATAGGGTCCCCTGAGCACCGCCAGGGGTGATTCCTGAGTGCAGAGCCAGGAGAAACCCCTGAGCATCGCTGGGTGTAACTCAAAAAGCAAAACAAAAAATTAATAAATAAAAATAGGTTTGAGGGGCTGGAGCGATAGCACAGTGTATAGGGCGTTTGCCTTGCACGCAGCCGACCCAGGTTCGATTCCCAGCATCCCATATTGTCCCCTGAGCACCGCCAGGAGTAATTCCTGAGTGCACGAACCAGGAGTAACTCCTGTGCATTGCTGGGTGTGACCCAAAAAGAAAAAAAAACAGGTTTGAAGGGGCCAGAGCAATAGCACAGCAGGGAGGGCATTCCTCTTGCATGTGACTGACCTAACTTGGCCAGCTTCTAGATTTCTCTCTGTGGTTCCTTTTTTCTTCCGTGAGACCCCCTCCATGTCAGGCTGTGTTGACATACTGAAGGATGAAAAGTCTGGGTGATTTTTTTTTTTTTTTTGCTTTTTGGGGGAAAAATGAAAAAAGAAAAATGGAATCGCTGAGTCCTTTTTTTTTCTCTTTGGGTCACACCTGGCAATGCTCAGGGGTTATTCCTGGCTCTACACTCAGGAATTACTCTTGGTGGTGCTCAGGGGACCCTGTGGAATGCTGGGAATCGAACCCTGGTCAGCATTTTTTGTCTGGGAAGAGGAACTGTATCTTTTATCAGAATCACCCAGATTTGGGGCTGGAGCGATAGCACAGCGGGCAGGGTGTTTGCCTTGCACACGGCTGACCTGGGTTCGATTCTCAGCATCCCATATGGTCCCCCGAGCACTGCCAGGAGTGATTCCTCAGTGCAGAGCCAGGAGGAATCCCTGAGCATTGCTGGGTGTGACCCAAAGAGACATAAAATAAAATAGATTTTAAGGGGTTGGGGCGATAGCACAGCAGGGAGGGCGTTTGCCTAGGACGTGGCTGACCCGGGTTCGATCCGGGTCCCATACGGTCCCCTAAGCACCACTAGGAGTGATCCCTGAGTTCAGAGTCAGGAGTCGGCCCTGAGCATCGCCAGGTGTGATTCCTCAGTGCAGAGCCACGAGAAATCCCTGAGCATTGCCCAAAGAGACCCAGAGAGATAAAACAATAAAATAAATTTTAAAAGCTTACGTTACTGTGGCCTGCTCTAGTCTCTCCTTGCTGCTTGACAGGGGAGGAAATAAGGGGATTCTGACATTTTGGGGAGGTGAACTTCTGCACGTCCTCGATTTCTTTACCTTTCTTACAGATCAGCAGCGGTCCGATGAGCCCCGAGTTGAAGTCCCGAATGAGGTTGACGTGGGAGTAATAGATGTGGGTGAGGCAGGGGGGGGTCATCAGCCGTGGGCCCGCTGTCCTCATGGATTGTCCACTCGTAGGTGTACTCCTGGCCAGGAGCCACGGCGTCGTCCAGCTTCTCTGCCAGGGACGTGTGGTCTCGGTAGGACGCCCCTGGGGGGGGGGGGGGCAGTGAGCACGGTGAGACTGTGGCTGGGAGTTCTCAGGGACCCGGGGCTCTCTCACGGGGGTGGGGGCTTCCCTCTCCGGAAAGACTCTCTGGATGCTCGTGATGTCTGTGTAGTTACAAGGTCTCACGGACACCCACAGCATTAAGGAGTGGTACCAGGGGCAGAGAGAGAGAGAGAGACAGAGAGACAGAGAGAGACAAAGAGAGACAGAGAAACAGTGAGAGACAAAGAGAGACAGAGAGACAGAGAGAGACAAAGAGAGACAGAGAGAGACAAAGAGAGACAAAGAGAGACAGAGAGAGACAAAGAGAGACAGAGAGAGACAAAGAGAGACAGAGAAACAGTGAGAGACAAAGAGAGACAGAGAGACAGAGAGAGACAAAGAGAGACAGAGAGAGACAAAGAGAGACAAAGAGAGACAGAGAGAGACAAAGAGAGACAGAGAGAGACAAAGAGAGACAGAGAGACAGAGAGAGACAAAGAGAGACAGAGAGAGACAAAGAGAGACAGAGAGAGACAAAGAGAGACAGAGAGACAGAGACAGAGAGATACAGAGAGACACAGAGAGATAGAGAGACACAGAGAGATAGAGAGGGACAAAGAGAGACAGAGACACAGAGAGAGACACAGAGAGAGACAGAGAGAGACACAGAGAGAGAGAAACATACAGAGAGAGACACAGAGAGAGAGACAGCGAGAGACAAAGAGAGACAGAGAGAGAGTGGGAGGTCGGGCATTTGCCTGCCTTGAGCACCCCTCACCCCAGTTGGAACCCCAGCCACTGTATATGGCCCCCTGAGCCTGGCCAGGAGTGACCCCTGAGCAGAGAAGCAGGGAGAGCCCCTGAGCACCGCTCAGTGGAGATAGCCGCCCCGTGAGTCAGAACCAAACGAGGGTTGGCGCAATAGTCCAGCAGGTAGGATGCCTGCTTTGCATGCATGGGGTTTGATGGCACCCCCATCGGTTCCCTGGCACCCCCCCATAAATCCCCTGAGCACCAACAGGAATGATCCTAGAGCTAGGAGTAAGCCCTGAGCACCTCCCCTCCCCCACCCCATCTCCAGTCCCCAGACCCGTATTAAACGTGAAACCCCACCATAGAGAAATCGCCAGCCCTGAAAAAAATCCAGAAGATTCCGGAACCCTGTAGATCTCTGGAAATCCAGACGGTTCTGGAACCATGTGGATCACTGGAAATCCAGAAGGTTCTGGAACCATGTAGATCTCTGGAAATCCAGAAGGTTCCATGCAACCCACCCGGGTTCAATGGCATCCCCATAGGTCCTCCAGATTCTCCCTCCTCCTCCCCCCCAAAAACAACAAAAGTCAGAAACAAAAAATGCATGGGGAGATAGTTCAATGGGCTAGCATGTTTGGGTCTGCATGCAGGAAGCTCAGTTAAATGCCCAGCACCACACGCTTCTTTGGGCACTGCCAGGAGTGACCCCTTGGCATTGGTGAGTGTGACCTTCCAACCATCCAACCAACCAACCAACCAACCAAGTAATAACAGGTTCATTTTCCAGAGTATGGAATCTACTGATCTTCATTCACCAGCCCACGGCCCCCTGCCAGCCGGCCCACGGGTGCGGGACAGTTGGGAGACCCTGGTCTCCGCTGCCCTTGTTTCGGGCTACTGGCGCCTGGGCCCATGTGCCTTCAGCTGCCAGCCCACAGGTGTCAGAGTGGACAGATGCCATTGACGTAATCAGGGTTGAATCACTCGAGGGGCAAAGCAATCCAATTATTCCGGTAAGTCAAGTCAATCTCGGGTAGGAGGAAGTGTGCCTGGGAGCCTTTGAAGCCAAGGTCCAGAAGTGGACCAGGGCTGCGGGGGGAGGGAAGGACAAACATTGGGGAAACGGGCCCGTGTGGGACAGCTGATTGGCCGGCCTGGCCAGGGCACAAAGTCCAGCAACCTTGGCTCCAGCCAGGGAGCTTGAAAGAACAGTTTTCCCCGTTCCCAACTCCCAAGGCCTATTTTTTTAAATTGTTGGGTCACACCCGGCACTGCAAGGGGTTACTCCTGGCTCTACACTCATGAATTACTCCTGGCAGCGCTCGGGGGACCCGATGGGATGCTGGGAATTGAACCCGGGCCGGCCATGTGCAAGGAAAATGCCCTCCCCACTGTGCTATCTATCAATCCAGCCCTTCCCAAGGTCTTTTTTGCTGAATTCCTGATGTAAGGACGGGGGTAGGGGGTTGGGGGGAGCCCAGCTGGTTAGTTTAGTCACTGTTGGGTTTGAGGAGCTCAGGAGGACCATGTACGCTACTTTACCTAAGCCTTAAGATCCCTGCAACATCACACCTCACGCTTCCAATCTCTCCCCTTCAAGCCAACCGCATAAATCTTCCCAGGAAACAGCGATGCTCAGGGCTGACTCCTGGCTCTGCACTCAGGAATCACTCCTGGCGGTGCTCAGGGGACCCTATGTGATGCTGGGGATTGAACCTGGGTCAGCCGCATGCAAGGCAAATGCCCTCCCCACTGGACTACCGCTGGGGCCCACTTTTGTGATGACTCGCTCAATGGGCAGGTGAGGATGACCAAGAACAGAGAGGTATGGCAACTTCCCAAAAGTCACAGTGCTCCCAAGTGTGTGAGTCAGGATTTGGGTCAGAGCTTGTATTTGGGGGCTGGAGCGATAGCACAGCGGTAGGGCGTTTGCCTTGCACGCAGACCCCAAAAGCAATAAAATAAAATAAAATAAAATAAAAGATTGCACTTGGGAGTCCTTCTCCTATCCAGTTTCTCTCTTCGGTGGTACATGACTAGACCAGAGGTAAGTCCTGAAAGCCCCAGGGTTTGAAACACTGACACCAATATTTAGTGAAACATGAGTATGACTTTTGGTGAGGGCTGTTCTTGTTCGTTGTGTTGCTGATAAGACCAAGTCCCGTGGAACTGCAGTGGGACCACAAGCGGAACTTGAACCCGGGGCCTCACCTCACTGCCCACCCTCCCCCCCCCCCCCCCCCCCCCCCGCATACAGTTATTTGACCTGTTCTTACGAGAACCCTGTCTGCTTCCGAGAATCAGAACAAAGATCACTGCAGCTATTTACAGTTCTGGGGTGGATGGGGTCACTTTTGCCCCTGTTTCCATTGTACCTATCATGATTATCAATATTTTTTTGGCAGGGGGCGGGGGCGGTGTTTGAGGCATCACCCCTGGTGATGCTCAGGGCTGACTCCTGGCTCTGCACTCAGGAATCTCTCCTGGCAGTGCTCGGGGAACCTATGGGATGCTGGGAATCGAACCCGGGTTGGCTGTGTGCAAGGTTAAGTGTCCTGCCCACTGTGCCATCGCTCTGGCACTTGTTGTCATCATCGTTAGCTTTGCTGTCGTCGTCGAGGGATCCCAGGAATGGTGCCCAGACGCCATCTGAGCTCACTCAGAGCAAACCTGGGCCCTTGCGACCACCCCTGCCTAGAGATGTGAGTCAGAAGCCTGGAGATGCCCAGACCGGAAACTGTCCCGTTTGAATGTGGGCCCTGGAGCGATAGTCCCAGCGGGAAGGGCGTTTGCCTTGCACGAGGCCGACCTAGGTTCGATCCCTGGCATCTTGCATGGTCCCCTGAGCAGTCAGGAGTGATCCCTGAGCACAGAGCGAGGAGTCAGCCCTGAGCACTGTCAGTTATGCCCCCCACAACCCGCCCCAAAAATAAGCTTGAATTTGACCCAAAGCTTCTGTTCTTTGATTTACTTATTTTGGTCCACACCAATGGTGCTGGGGCTGCGCCCTGCTTTGTCACCCCCAGGGGCACCCTGGGGACCATGCCATGTTGGGACTGGATCTGGTTCCGGGACATGCAAGGCGACAGAACTGATGTTCTTTTTTTAAAATTTTTTTATTTATTTATTTTGCCTTTTGGGTCACATCTGGCGATGCTCAGGGCTGACTCCTGGCTCTGCACTCAGGAATTACTCCTGGCAGTGCTCAGGGGACCCTATGGGATGCGGGGACTCGAACCCGGGTTAGCCGTGTGCAAGGCAAATGCCCTCCCCACTGTGCTATCGCTCCAGCCCCCCAGAACTCATGTTCTTAAGCTCTCGTCTGAGCCCAGCTCTTTTTCTGTTTGCTTTGGGCAGCAGGGATGGTAACCCTGGCCACGTATGAAATAATCACATATGAAATATCTCCCACGGTCCGGTCACAGCCCTGTCCCGGGCCATAAACTCTGCCTTGTCACCACCAGGACTGACATCAGCGCTACTCAGTGCCACTGAGTAATTGTCACTGACCATTACACATCATCACGGTGTCCGAGTATGACTTGAGGCCGACTCCAGCCAAGGGGCCTGTCATCGTGTTGGGACCTTGCCCTGCTCAGACCCTCGGGGCTGCTTTCGCTCTACAGGGCAACGTTGGGTCGTTGCAACAGCCCAAATATATTTGCTCGAGCGGGCCCAGTAACGTCTCCATTGGAGACTTTGTTGTTACTGTGTCTGGCATATCGAATACTCTCGGTAGCTTGCCGGGCTCTCTGAGAGGGGCGGAGGAATCGAACTCGGGTCGGCCATGTTGGCCGCTTGTAAGGCGAACGCCCTACCTGCTGTGCTATCGCTCCAGCCCGTTAAATATATTTATATATTTATTAATATTTATATATTTATTAAATATATATATTATTATATATTTATATATTTATTTATATTTATATATAAATATATTTATTTATTGCTCCAGCCCGTTAAATATATTTTGTTAAATATATTTAACAAAACCAAACATATTTACTCTCCGACTTCCCAGAAGCAGGAGGTCAGCCCACCCCACCCCATCAACAGCATCTGCGCTGGTGTCCTGGGAAATATCCTGCAACTCAGAAGAGGAAGCGACTTACCCATCTGATAAGGAATTAGAACTCTGCGCAAAAACAGAGATCTAGATGGTTCCAGAACCTTCTAGATGGTTCCAGAAATGGCTCTAGATCTTCTGGATTTCCAGAGATCTACGTGATTCCAGAACCTTCTGGATTTCCAGAGATCTACGTGGCTCCAGAACTTTCTGGATTTCCAGAGATCTACATAGTTCCAGAACCTCCTGGATTTTTGGAGATCTACATGGTTCCAGAATTTTCTGGATTTCCAGAGACCTACATGGTTCCAACCCCTTCGGGATTTCTAGAGATCTACATCATTCTGGAACTGCCTGGATTTCCAGAGATGTAGATGGTTCCGGAACCTTCTGGATTTCCAGAGATCTAGATGGCTCCGGAACCTTCTGGAGTTCTCAGGGACGGCGATTTTTCTCTCGTGGGGTTTCTCGTTTGACATGGGTCTCGGAACTGGAGACGGGGCAGAGGAGGGGAAATTCTCGTACCTTCTGAGAATTTGCTGTACTGAATTCCTTGAGGGTGAATGCTGACGGGCGTGTCGGCTTTGTTCTTGAAGTGTACTTTCACGGTGTCCCCAACCTCAGCAAACAGCGTCGGTCCCAGGAGCCCTTTGGAGAGAGCATTACAAAGAAGTCACCGGGGCGGGGTCCAAGAGCTTGCCTGGCACGCTGCCAACACAGGCTCCATCCCGAGCATCCCCAGTGGTCATCAGAGCCACCGCCAGGATTGATCCCTGAGTACAGACTGGGGAGTCAGCCCTGAGCATCGCCGGGTGTGACCCCCAAACAAACAAACAAAAACAAAAACTGTCATTGTCTGGGATGACTCAGGAGAAAAAACGCCATTGTCCTGCCTGTCACTCGAGGGTGCCTGGTGGTGAGCTCTGAGGTCTGCCAGCCCATAAGGACTGGGGGCAGGAGGTCTGGTCCTGAGCTGGTCCCGGAAGGGAGCCCCTGGCCCCAGCTCTTTGGACCCTGAGCCCAGGCTGCCAGCCTCAAGTCCCGGATCCCCAGGGCCCCCCCAGGGGCTGCACCCCACCTGCTCAGCGTCATGGGGGAGCCCAGAGGCGGTCTGTGCCATTGACTCCTGGACACAGTTCCTACCCGCTGACTTAGCCATTCAGGAACAAAAGCTCTCAGGCCAAGAGCTGCTTTGGGGTGTTTGCTTGGCCTAACCTGTGGTTCGTGGATAAAAGCGAAACAAAAGTGTGTTTTCCTAAAAGGGGTCCGCATCCCTTCAGCATCTGAGATAGACCTTTTCTCTCAGGCTCTCCTCGGCTCCCAGAACTGAGCGGAGTTATTTTTGGGGGGGGGGGTCCCAGAAAGGCAACCCAGGGATGGGGGAACATTAAAAGGTCCAAGAGATCTGCTAATCCACCCCTTGGCTCTGGTTCCAGGAAGCCCCACAGGACTTCCTGGGGCTGTTCAAAAGTCCTTTGGGGACACAGTTCATTAATCTTTCTTTTTCTTTTCTTTTTTTTTTTTTTTTGCTTTTTGGGTCACAACCAGCCATGCTCAGAGGTTACTCCTGGCTCTGCACTCAGGAATTACTCCTGTTGGTGCTCAGGGGACCCTATGGGATGCCGGGGATCGAACCCGGGTCGGCCACTCAGGAATTACTCCTGGTGGTGCTCAGGGGACCCTATGGGATGCCGGGGATTGAACCCGGTCCGTTGGCTGCGTGCAAGGCCAACGCCCTCCCCGCTGTGCTATTGCTCCAGCCCCTCATTAATCTTTCTTGAAAAAAGGCAGAGAGGCTTGAAGCCAGCCTCTAGATTTTATTCGCATTGTCTTTACTGAGTTAGGACTGGTCCCGAAGCCTCACCCCATGTAAAGGCAGCTCTTGATAGCCCAAGAAAGAAAGGACAGCTCACAGCCTGCCCACATGTCTGCCACAGCTTGCTGGACAGGTCACTTCAAGCACCAGCCATAGCCTGCAAGCCAGTGGCACGTGACTCTGCCAGAACCTTCTAGAATGGTGTCTGCTGAAAGGGTGAGGTGGAGAGGAGGTGATGGAGAAGTAAGACTCTGTGATCGGGGCTGGAGCGATAGCACAGTGGGGAGGGCTTTTGCCTTGCATGTGGCCAACCCCGGTTCGATTCCCACCATCCATAGGGTCCCCTGAGCACCTCCAGGGGTAATTCCTGAGTGAATGAGCCAGGAGTAACCCTTGTCCATCGCCGTGTGTGACCCAGAAAGAAAAAAAAAGACCACGATTTTACTTTTCTCTCACCATCTAGAACTGGGTGCTGTGGGCAGGACACGGAATGGGTGTCATGGAGGGTGGACACCCCAGTAAAGTGCCTGAAACTGGCTGCTAAAAGACCGACAACTTCATCAGAAACTAGAATGTGGGCGTGACCCATGGGTGAACTCAGAGAAGTATTGGAGGGTATTTGGGGTCACCCCCCCCCCCAGGGTCCAAGCATTGAACCACCAGCTTGACTGATCAAGAGTTGCTGGTGGTTGAGGCTGGAGCGATAGACCAGCGGGTAGGGCGTTTGCCTTGCACATGGCCGACCCGGGTTCGATTCCCAGCATCCCATATGGTCCCCTGAGCACCGCCAGGGAAACCCCAGTGTTTGACCCAAAAAGGTGTAACCCAAAAAGCAAAAAAAAGGGGGGGTTGGGTGGGTTGGGGGTAGCAGGAGGGATACTGGGAACATTGGTGGTGGAGAATGGGCACTGGTGGAGGGATGGGTACTCGATCATTGTATGACTAAAATGTAAGCATCAAAGATTAGGGCTGGAGCAATAACACAGCCGGTAGGGCATTTGCCTTGCACATGGCTGACCCAGGTTCGATTCCCAGCATCTCCCAGTAACATTTCCATCACGAGACATGTTGTTACTGTGTTTGGCATATCGAATACGTCACGGGGAGCTTGCCAGGCTTTGCCGTGTGGGCGAGATACTCTCGGTAGCTTGCCGGGCTCTCTGAGAGGGGTGGAGGAATCGAACTCGGGTCGACCAGGTTGGCCACGTGCAAGGCAAACGCCCTACCTGCTATGCTATTGCTCTAGCCCATCTCATGGTGATTCATTAAAAAAAAATTAAAAAAAAAGAAATGAAAAATAAAAAGGGTTTTTTAAAAAAAACCCAGAACACACACACACACACACACACACACACACACACACACACACGATCACTGGTGGGACCCCAGGCCTCCTGAGCACTGCCTTGTGAATTCCCCCAAATAAATAAAAAACCCTCCCCTTTGGCATGGGTGCGAGGGGACCCCATCCAACGTCCAACACACGGCCAACTTTCGGATTCTGTTTCCCTGGGTTCAGAGCCCTGCCAGCTCCCTCTTCTCCCAAGCCTGGAAAATGCGTTTTCTGGGCTGTTTTCCCTGTACCCATGTCCAGTTGGGTCCGTGGGTGCCCTGCTTGCTGCTGAATCACCTCAGACTGAAGCGGTAGTCCAGTTTAGAAACCCGTTCAATTTTCTCCCTCCTTGAGGAGGAATGCAAGGGGAGATTTTCTGTAGCAATAGTACTGTTGTGTAGCTCACACTCCATTCCAGGGATTAAGCGATGGCCGTGCGAAAGAACCAGGCTTCTACCACCCCTCACTTGGACCCAGGGAGTCAGCCTGGGATTGTTTGCCTTGAATTGTTCATGCCTTCACAGGCTCGATGAGCCTCATCCAGGAATGAATCTGTTGAAAAACTCCGGTGTGTGGGTTTTGTGACAGAAATCTCCAGGTTCTCACAGAGTCGGGCATGGGCAACCTCCCCCCCATCTTCCTGTTCTTCCGGGAGCCTGGCAGTCACACCCACGAACTGCCTCTGTCACCATATCAGCTCATTTAACTGGCCATGATCCAGAGACTCATAAATAAATCTCAAAAGAGATCAACAGGCTGCAGAGATGCTTCTGGACCCCAAAGTCACCACCCAGTTAAAAATTTAACTTCCAGCTGTATCACCCCATTCAAAATTTTGGAATTCCTGGAGCACATGGGTGCAACATCGAATACTCTTTGCCACTGATATTCCAAGAGTAGCACACCACATTGGATGGGATATAAAGTAGAAGACAATCAATCTTAATTAAGAAAATATTGGGCTGGAGTGATAGCACAGCGGGGAGGGCATTTGCCTTGCACGCGGCCAACCTGGGTTTGAATCCCAGCATCCCACAGCGTCCCCTGAGCACCGCCAGGAGTAATTCCTGAGTGCAGAGCCAGGAAGAACCCCTGTGCATCACTGGGTATGACCCAAAAAGAAAAAAGAAGAAAGAAAGAAAATATTAACACACTAGCCATAACCTGTAACATGTTAGTAATCTTTCATACAAAGGCTTAATGGCTCCAGAATGAGATACAACAATCTTCACACACTGTCTTCTAAGGAAATCTTTTTTGATCATGTTTAGCAAATTATTCATAATAAGCAATACAATATAAATTATTTAGGGCCTGCTATGAGGACAGGCTTGGGTGGTGGTTGGGAAAATCGGAAAGAATGGTGGCGGGAAGGTGTGATGGTGATGGGATTGGTGTTGGAATATTGAATGTAATAAATCATCGTGAACAACTTTATGAAAATAAAATTAAAAAAGGGAATTGTTCATTCTGTTCAGCTGCCCTAGAACATCTGATGAGCTCAAATTAATCCAGGCTGCCCTGTCTACCGTTTGGCCCCAGTGATGTCCACCATTCTTGGTACCCGTTCTGTGTCCTGCCCACAACAGCACTCACTTATAGACGATGAAAGAAAATGGAATCATGTGGTCTTATTTCGCTTTGGGATCAGGATTTAAAACAGCTGCTCCTACATGCTGAAAGTAGATTATAGACCAAACATGATTGCCACTCAATGCCTCTCTTGCAAGCCACAGGACCCAAAAGGAGAGAGAGAGAGAACAAAAGGGAATGCCCTGCCACAGAGGCGGGGTGGGATGGGGGGGGATGGGGGGTGGGAGGGATACTGGGATCTGTGGTGCTGGGAAATGGGCACTGGTGGAGGGATGGGTACTCGATCATTGTGTAACTGAAACCCAAGCACAAAAATTTGTAAGTCTACAACTGTACCTCATGGTGTTTCACTACTAAAAATTAAAAAATAAAAGAAAGAAAAAGAAAAAGTAATGATTCAAACTTTCACTCAGAAAAAAAAATCTCTGGATACATTTTATTTTGGCAATCTGAAAAAGGAAAATAAATTATACTATTCTATAAAATGTGAACAGGAAGAAAGCTGTTGGCATTTTCATGTTGGCATTTTCACAAATTGCTATCATATTTTAGCAATTCTTAGCAAGAAACCAGAAATGGATAAAATAATATTTTTTAAAAAAGTGATAAAACTTGACTGTTTTTTGTGATTATTAATGCTCTTCTATGCAACCAGAGTCCATTCTTTTATATTAAAAGTTCGCCAACATTTGAAACAAAGAAATATATTAAAGAATTAAAATTACGCTTGCTCTTTTACTTAAAAAATTACATTGATTCTATAAAGTAATATTTTAAACAATACTTTAACCAAAAGATTATAAACAAACTTTATATATGGGCGTTTGCCTTGCACACAGCCGACATGGCCAACCCGAGTTCGATTCCTCCGCCCCTCTCGGAGAGCCCGGCAAGCTACCGAGAGTATTTCGCCCGCACGGCAGAGCCTGGCAAGCTACCCGTGACGGATTCGAGATGCCAGACACAGTAACAACAAAGTCTCCAATGGAGACGTTACTGGGCCCGCTCGAGCAAATCGATGAACAATGGGAGGACAGAGACATATATTATAGACTTCTTTATATCTATCAGAAAGAAGTGTATAATCCAAACAAAATATAAATACACACTTGTTTTGATATGTTCTATAACATATGTAGGGCGTTCGCCTTACAAGCGGCCAACATGGCCGACCCGAGTTCGATTCCTCCGCCCCTCTCGGAGAGCCCGGCAAGCTACCGAGAGTGTTCGATATGCCAGACACAGTAACAACAAAGTCTCCAATGGAGACGTTACTGGGCCCGCTCGAGCAAATCGACGATCAACGGGAGGGCCTTTACCTTTACCTTTACCTATAACATATTGCATTCATTTTTTATTTTGACTAAAAGTAAAATAAATCGAAAAAAACTTTTAAATAAAAAATAAATAAATAAAACAGCTGCTTCTATTGGCCCATGGTTGGCAGCTGCCTCATGAGCTGGGGGAGAAGGCAGCTGGGATGGAGAAGGGATCACTGAGTCAGTGATGGATGGAGGGGTCGCTCGGGATGGGAGGTGTGTGCTGAAAGTCGATCAAGGACCAAACGTGATGGCTTCTCAGTGTCTGTTTTGCAAACCATGCTGGCCAAAAGGAGAGAGAGAGTCTGGGGGAAATTGTTTGCCATGGAGGCAAGGGGTGGGTTAGATAGGGAGGGGGTGTACTGGGGACCTTGGTGATGGAGAATGTGCACTGGTGGAGGGATGGGCGTTTGATCACTGTGTGACTGAAACTCAAACAGGAAAGCTTTGTAACTGCAGCTCACGGTGATTCAAAAACAAAACAAAACAAAACAACCCAGCTGCTTCATGACCACGCAACTAACTGCAGTTGCAGAGCTCAGAATTCCCTGCCCGGCTTGGTGGGCACCAATGTGAACCCCAATAACCTGAATCAAAGGTACCCCCAAAGCACCCAGCCTCACGAGTAATGTTACCCGTGCTAAAGAAAAAATCACAAAATCGGGGCCAGAGAGATACTGCAGCAGGTAGAGTGCTTTCCTTGCACGTGGCGGATCAGGGTTCGAACCCTGATACCCCCTGAGCGCACCAGAAGTGATCCCTGAGCACAGAGCCAGGGGTAAGCCGTGAGCACCCTTGGGGGTGGGCCCCCCTAAAAAATAATAATAAATGCATGTTTTAGGCTTACCTGAAGTCTTAGATCGTGGTTTCTCTTTCCTAAAATATGCTTCATATTCTCTGAAAACGGTCTTCTTAAAGGAAGTGGCAACAGGATTCAAACTGGAAATAAAATTCAACCGTGTGAGGGGCTGGGGCCATAGCAGAGCGGGGTGGGCGTTTGCCTGGCACGCGGCCGACTCAGGTTCGATTCCCAGCATCCCATGTGGTCCCCTGAGCACCGCCAGGAGTAATTCCTGAGTACAGAGCCAGGAGGAACCCCTGTGCATCGCCGGGTGTGACCCAAAAAGCAAAAAAAAAAACAAACAAAAAAAGTTTGTGTGAAAGGTTTCTGACATGAAAGTCTCACATTACAAGAATAATAGCTTCCCACGGCCCCGGACTGGTGATAGGAAGGACAGTTTGTTCCACTGCCGGGCAGAGACCCCAGCTTTTATTATAAGTGAGATGAATAAAAGAGGTATTGGTTCTTTCGAGAACATTCTGTTGCAATTAGCGTTCTTTCACCAACGGAGGCTGCCCGCAACTAATCCTCTGACTTGGGGCCAACTTTCTCCAGCCTTCAAGATGACAATGGGAAGCTAAAGTTTAGGTTTGAAATGATTAAAAAAATAAATTAAAATCTGAGGGGCCGGAGCGATAGCACAGCAAGGAGGGCATTTGCCTTGCACGTGGCCAACCCGGGTTCGATCCCCGGCATCCCATAGAGTCCCCCGAGCACCGCCAGGAGTGAGCCCTGAGTGCAGAACCAGGAGGAACCCCTAACCATCGCTGGGTGTGACCCAAAAAGCAAAATAAATAAATAAATAAATAAATTTGAGCAGGATTCACTGGGTCTCTCCTTTTTTTTTTTTTTTGCTTTTTGGGTTACACCCGGCAATGCACAGGAGTTATTCCTGGCTCTGCACTCAAGAATTACTCCTGGTGGTGCTCAGGGGACCATATGGGATGCTGGGAATCGAACTCAGGTCGGCCGCGTGCCAGACAAACGCCCTACCCGCTGTGCTATTGCTCCAGCCATGGTCTCTCCTTTTTTTTAAAAAAAAAAATTATTAGTAAATCACCGTGAGGTACAGTTGTAGACTTACAAATTTTTGTGCTTGGCTTTCAGTTATACAGTGATCTAGTGCCCATCCCTCCACCAGTGCCCATTCTCCACCACCCCTGATCCCAGTATCCCTCCCACCCCCCTGTCCCCCCCCATCCCACCCGGCCTCTGTGGCAGGGCATCCCCCTTGTTCTCTCTCTCTTCTTTTGGGTCCTGTGTTTTGCAAGAGAGGCACTGAGTGGCCATCATGTTCGGTCTAGAGTCTACTTTCAGCACGCATCTCCCATCCCAAGAGGGTCCTCCAACCACCCTTTACTTGGTGGTCCCTTCTCTATCTGAGCTGCCTTTTCCCCCAGAGTGTGGGGCCGGCTTCCAAGCCGTGGAGCAAACCTCCTGGTCCTTATCTCTACTACGCTTGGGTGCTGGTCTCCCATTCTGTTGCTTTATATTCCACAGATGAGTGTGATCTTTCTAAGTCTGTCCCTCTCTTTCTGACTCATTCCACTTAGCATGATACTTTCCATGTGGATCCACTTATTCGCAAAGTTCATGTGGGTCCCTCCATTTCTCTGCTCGTGAGATGAAAATAAGAACGTCTCCCTCCCACAGACAGTATTCAGCGGACGCACACTTCCAAGGCTTGGCAGAATCTTCAATGCCTGCCAGCTAGCCAGAAGAAAGATGCCACAGAATTTGGTTTTCAGGGTCTTCAGATACAATACAGTGGGTAGGACTCTTGCCATGCAGGTGGCTGTCCTAGGCATAATCCCTGGCATCTCGTAAGACTCCTGGGTACTCCTGGAGTGATCCCGGAGCACAGAGCCAGGAGTGAGGCCTGAACATCACTGAGTGTGAGCCCAAAACATAGCAAGTTGGAACTCAGTCTTCACTGTCTTCCAGTGGGCTGTGACAGTGATGCTTTCCTTGCTTTTTAAAAAAATTTTGTGTTTTTTTTTAAATTTTGTTTTGTTTTGTTGCTTTTTGGGTCACACCCAGCGATGCTCAGGGGTTCCTCCTGGCTCTGCACTCAGGAATCACTCCTGATGGTGCTTTTCTTTTCTTAACGTTACGTGAATGTTGAGAGTAGAGTAAAAGGGGGAACTGAGGAAGATTTTGGAGGGATGGCCACCAGGATCACATGCAAACAGAGGGTTTGGTGTCAGGTGTCAGGAAAGCAGAGGGTTGAGGGGCTAGAGAGACAAGAACATTTGCTTTGCAAGCAGCTGACCCTGGTTCGATCCCCAGCATCCCATAGGGTCCCCCGAGCACCACCAGGAGTGATTGCTGAGTGCAGAGCCAGGAGTCAGCCCTGAGCATCGCCAGATGTGACCCCACCCCCTCCACCCTCCCTAATAAATAAAAGCTGGACCTTGAAAAGGAGTTAAATGACCTTTTAGAGCACTGGGAGGCCAGATCCTGGGGTCTAGGTTAGTGTGGGTTCCTTTTGTGGAAATCTGTATTATTTGTGTGTTTGTGTATGTGTGTGTGTGTGTTTTCAGTTCATCTAGAACACACCTCCTCTTCACCCTGACAGTGAAATATAGGTGATAACGAAGAATTGTTACTGAGAAAAAGGAGGCTGGAGTTGTGGGCTTATAGATGTGCTTGTGTAAACAGGTATCACCGTGTAAAGGGATGGTGGGTGCAGAGAGACAGGTGGGTTCAAATGCAAACAACCAACTTTGCTGTTGGAATATAAGTAAAGGCCCTCCCGTTGTTCGTCGATTTGCTCGAGCGGGCCCAGTAACGTCTCCATTGGAGACTTTGTTGTTACTGTGTCTGGCATATCGAATACGTCACGGGGAGCTTGCCAGGCTCTGCCGTGCGGGCGAGATACTCTCGGTAGCTTGCCGGGCTCTCCGAGAGGGGCAGAGGAATCGAACTCAGGTTGGCCATGTTGGCTGCGTGCAAGGCAAACGCCCTACCGCTGTGCTATCGCTCCAGCCCTGTTGGAATATAAATGGAACAGAAAGTTTCAAAGGATGGGAAGTGAAACAATTTCAAGGTGAACTGTCCACTTATGAGGACTATTTAGATAAGCTATGCACAATAAAAATCACACATTTAAAAAGAAATTTACTGTAGAGATAGTTCAGGGGTGAAGGCAGTTTCCATGCACGCGGTTTAGTCTGGTTCTATGCCTGGCATACGGTTCCCCAAACACTGCAGGGAAAGTACCCTGAGGCTGGTGTTACTCCCTAGCATCATTGGAGGTGGACCAAAAACTAACTAAATAATTAATAAATTCATAAGGCTTGAACCCTAGAGGGAAAAAAAATCTATCATGATATACATACAGATGATTGAACAAGTTTCCTTTGGAAAATATCAGAAACCATTTTCCTGCAGCCTGGAACAATCATGATAGGTGTATTATTAAATAATCTATAATACATCCATGATGGTAAAAGACACAGTTCTGATTTCAATCATTTCTCTGTAGCACTATAGCAGTGTCAGCCCGTTGTTCATCGATTTGCTCGAGCGGGCACCAGTAATGTCTCCATTCATCCCTGTTGCATGTTAGCGTAGCCCAATGATGTGTGCTCGCTCTAGGAACATGAAGTGAGACTTGTTGTTAGTGGTTTTAGCATACTGAATATGCCATGGGGAGCTTGCCAGGCTCTCTGAGAGGGACGGAGGAATCAAATCTGGATCGGCCGCATGCAAGGCAAACACCCTACTCACTGTGCTACCGCTCCAGTCCATAATAGATGCATTATTAAATAATCTATAATACATCCACGAGTTCGATTCCTCTGCCCCTCTCGGAGAGCCCGGCAAGCTACCGAGAGTATCTCGCCCGCACGGCAGAGCCTGGCGTGACGTATTCGATATGCCAAACACAGTAACAACAAGTCTCATGATGGAGACGTTACTGGGCCCGCTTGAACAAATCGATGAACAATGGGAGGACCGGACCAGACATCCACGATGGGTTGGAGCAATAGCATAGCGGGTAGGGCATTTGCCTTGCATGCGGCCAACCTGGCTGACCAAGGTTCGATTTCTACACCCCTCTGGGAGAGCCCGACAAGCTACCAAGAGTATCTCGCCCACACGGCAAAGCCTGGCAAGCTCCCCGTGACGTCTTCGATATGCCAAACACAGTAACAACAAAGTCTCCAATGGAGACGTTACTGGGCCCGCTCGAACAAATCGATGAACAATGGGAGGACCGGACCGGACATCCACGATGAGTTGGAGCAATAGCATAGCGGGTAGGGCATTTGCCTTGCATGCGGCCAACCTGGCTGACCAAGGTTCGATTTCTACACCCCTCTGGGAGAGCCCGACAAGCTACCGAGAGTATCTCGCCCACACGGCAAAGCCTGGCAAGCTCCCCGTGACGTCTTCGATATGCCAAACACAGTAACAACCAAGTCTCACAATGGAGACGTTACTGGGCCCGCTCGAGCAAATTGATGAACAACGGGAGGACAGTGACGGTGACAGTGACATCCACAATGGCAACAGACACAGTTCTGATTTCAATCAGTTCTCTATCTCAATTATTCTAGTATCACCACGAACATCCTACCGGCCAGATCATTTGCGTAACTCTAGAAGACAAATCAACTCTCAGAAGCGTTGTCCTGAGGTGATTGGATAAACTAAGTGGAGGGATGTCAGTTATATGTCCAAAGCCACTTCAACTCAGGCAAGCGTAGAATTTTCTAGATGGACTGATTTCCTTGGGGTAAACTGCGATCAGCTAGCAGGGCAAGGGAACTTCTAGCAAGTTCCTGGTGTGAGCAGCCAGAATTGCAGCTCTGATGATTGAATGATGGAAAAGTTCACGAGGAACCCTGGGTTCCCCTTCGAGGTTTAGACTCTGTTTTGGTTGCCACTGCAGAAACAGAGAAACTGAGTCATGGAACCAGGGCATAGGACTATCTACCCCAGCCCTGGAGAGACTGAATTATGTGAGTTTTTTTTTAAACTTCGGGTACTTTTGCCTCTAGATGTCTACTTATTTTTTTTCAATTTTTCTTCATTTTTAAAAAATATTATTATTGTTATTATTATTATTTTTGCTTTTTGGGTCACACCCAGCAGTGCTCAGGGGTTATTCCTGGCTCTGCACTCAGGAATTATTCCTGCAGTGCTTGGGGGACCACATGGGATGCTGGGGATTGAGCCCAGGTCGGCTGCTTGCAAGGCAAACACCCTCTCCGCTGTGCTATCACTCCCGGCCCCCTTAAAAATGTTCTTTTCACAAGGGTGTTCACATTAATTGACGACATATCCCAACATCAATCCCACCACCATGACACCTTCCCACCACCACTATTTTGAATTTTCCCACGACCATTCCAGCTCTCCTTGCCAGGGGCAGATGCTAGATCATTTATTTTCCATTGCCTATTATGAATCTGATGAGAGGTCATAATTCCGGACCTCTCTGGAATTCTAAAATTGTAAATGGTTGGAGTCCAGAGACATCTCAGTAGGGAGCTAATCCGTTTTGAATCGACTTATGTTTTTGCCTTTAACTCCCAAGGAGATGGGGCTGGAGCAATAGCACAGTAGGGAGGGCGTTTGCCTTGCACGCGGCCAACCAGGGTTCGATTCCCAGCATCCCATGTGGTCCCCGGAGCACCGCCAGGGGTAATTCCTGAGTGCAGAGCCAGGAGGAATCCCTGTGCATTGCCAGGTGTGACCCAGAAAGAAAAAAAGAGCCAAAGAGTTCACCCACCCTTGGGTTTCTTCTAGAGCAGGAAAGACTATTATCTTTTGGGGATTTCGATTATGGGTGGTTGACAGGGGCATGGGTATGATGAGTGAACTAGAGATATCTCCTTCACATGCAATGTTGCATGTCAGCTTCCGTAGAGTAGTGACTATCGTGTTCACCCCACACATGCAATGTTGAATTATTATTTTTTTAAAGAAGGGTCTTAGATGTTTATTATAAGGCCAAGAGGGCACCTTAGAGCTTCCCTAGTCACCCAGTGACAAAGACGTTTTAAATGGGGTGTGACTGGTCTGAATACCCTCAAAGCCTCTTCAACTCTGAGATGATTTCTTGGCACATCACTGTGGTTTTGTAATAGAAAAAGAGGAACACGTCTTTCACAATCATTTTAACCGTGATGTTAAGTGAAGCAAAGCAAAACAAAACAAAACAAAAAAAAGTTGAGCCACACGAAAACAAACAAGAAGACAGCTGACTGGAAAATACTGAAAAGACCAATATTTGGCTTTCTGCACACCCTTATTTTTAACTTTTCGTGAGGAAAACTCACAGCTCCGAGATCCGGTTCTATTCCTGGGAACTCCTCTTACTCACGTTGGCTTTTTAATCACCCAAGTAGCTTGGCTTGGGCGGCTCCAACTTTCCAGGGGGTGATGGAGAAGCAGAAAAACAAGAGTCTCTGGAAGAGGGAAGGAGGAGAAGAAAAAGGAGGGGTGGGGTGTGGTGGGGGGAGGGGGGCGTTGGCGAGGACAGAGAAGGGGCTTGGGAAAGTCAGCCAGGAAAGTTAGTCTGCGAAGGACAGAACAGCGGCAGGGTTCGATCCCAGCATCCCAGAGGGTCCCTCTCCCCACACTCAGTGTGATCCCCGAGTGCAGAGCCAGGAGGAAGCCCTGAGCATCCCTGGGTGTATCCACCCCCCAAGAGCATAAGTGAACAATGGCATAAATAAGATAGAGAATAAGTTTCCCCCCAAAAAAAGTGTGGCAGATGGAGAGAGAGAGAGAGAGAGAGAAATGGAGGAGGGAGGGAGACAGAGAGGGAGAGATAGGGAGAAAGAGAGGTGGAGGGAAAGAGGGAGGGAGAGAGGGAGACAGAGGGAGAGAGGGAGGGAGAGAGAGAAGGGGAGGGAGGGAAGGAAGGAGAGAGAGGGAGAGTGAGAGGAGAGAGGGAACAAGAGAGGCAGAGAGAGAGAGGGAGATGGGGAGAGAGAGGGAGAGAGAGGGAAGGAGGGAGAGAGGGAGGGAGAGACAGGGAGAGAGAGAAGGAGAGAGGGAACAAGAGAGGCAGCCGGGGAGAGAGAGGGAGATGGGAGGGAGAGAGGGAAGAAGAGAGAGAGAGAGAGGGAGAAAAGAAGGAAGAGAGAGGGAAAGAGAGGAAGAGAGAGGGAGAGAGAGAAGGAGAGAGGGAACAAGAGAGGCAGACGGAGAGAGAGAGGGAGATGGGAGGGAGAGAGGGAAGAAGAGAGAGAGGGAGAAAAGAAGGAAGAGAGAGGGAAAGAGAGGAAGAGAGAGGGAGAGAGAAGGAGAGAGGGAACAAGAGAGGCAGACGGAGAGAGAGAGGGAGATGGGAGGGAGAGAGGGAAGAAGAGAGAGAGAGGGAGAAAAGAAGGAAGAGAGAGGGAAAGAGAGGAAGAGAGAGGGAGAGAGAGAAGGAGAGAGGGAACAAGAGAGGCAGACGGAGAGAGAGAGGGAGATGGGAGGGAGAGAGGGAAGAAGAGAGAGAGAGAGAGGGAGAAAAGAAGGAAGAGAGAGGGAAAGAGAGGAAGAGAGAGGGAGAGAGAGAAGGAGAGAGGGAACAAGAGAGGCAGACGGAGAGAGAGAGGGAGATGGGAGGGAGAGAGGGAAGAAGAGAGAGAGGGAGAAAAGAAGGAAGAGAGGGAAAGAGAGGAAGAGAGAGGGAGAGAGAGGGGAGAGGGAAGGAGGGAGAGAGCTGAAAACCCTGAAGGCCAGTCCGCAAGGAAGGAAGGAAGGAAGGAAACGGAGGCGCAGAACCTGGCAGCCCACCAGGGCCAGGCACCAGCGCTCAGCAGTCCACTCCCCCGGGAAGGCAGTGAACAGTCACTGAGGGTCTTAGCCTGCTTGGCTGGCTCAGACTGCTTGGCTGGGGGGTCCGGCTTGCGCCCCCCAAAGTTCTTCTCCTTCCTCTCCGGGGGCCAGTCACCTGCTGGGGCCACCAGCAAAGCCCTCGGGGGCCCTGGGCAGCTGGAGGAGCCCGTCCGCCCCCCTTACCTGGGCTCCGGGGGCTCGGGCAGGTAGGTCCAGCTGATGGACTGGGCGGCCACATAGAACTGCCGGAGCTGGGCCGCCTGGACGCGCCCCCAGCCCCCGGCCAGGACCACCAGCAGCCAGACGGCCGGGCAGAGGACGGTCATGTCGCTTTGGCCAGGGCCTCCGGCTCTGCGGGAGTGACCGCGGCCAGCAGCAGGGGTGGCCCTCACCCCGCCCCCGTGTCCCCGGGGTTGGCCAGACGCTGGCCGTGAGGTCACTGCAGAGCAGGGGTCAGGGGCGGGGGGGCGGGGCCCATCACCTGCAGCCACACCTGCGCCCTTGGGGCGGGGAGATGGGGGAGGGGGCTTGGCCCTGGCACCCTCCAGGCTGGGGGACTAGGTTGGGGTGGGCGACCCCCTGCTAGCCCGCGTCCCTTTCTATTCTCATGGAGATGAACCCCGACTTCCTTTAATTTCTTGTGTTTTTTTTTCCATTTTTTTTTAACTTTGATAGATTTCTTTAGATTTTTTTTAATCTTTTTTTTTTTTTTTTAAAGTTAAATCATCCGGAGAAATGCAGTTCCAGAGATGTCTATGACTGAGTTTGAGTCAGACAATGTTCCAACATCCGGCCCTTCACCGGGCACATCTGCCCCCGCCAGAGTCCCCAGGTTCCCTCCTGCCACCCCCGTCCCCGGGCTGCCTCTATGGCAGACTCTCTCTCTCCCTTCCTCCCTCTCTCTCCTTCTCTCTCTCCTTCCCTCTCTCCTGCTCCCTTTCTCCTTCCCTCTCCCTCTCTTTTCTCTCTCTCCCTCTCTCCCTTTCTCTCTTTCCCTCTCCCTCTCCCTCCTCCTCTCTCTCCCTCTCTCTTCTTCTCTCCCTCCCTCCCTCTCCCTCTCTTTCTCCCTCCCTTCCACTGTCTCCCCCCCCCCTTTGGGCACTGTGTTTTGCAGTGTAGGCACTGTCAGATTATCCTGCAAATCCCTTTCCTCCTTCCAGCACTACTCAGTTCTTGTCCAGAATGCTCATTTCCAACTGTGCTCATTTCCTCCGGGCCCTCTTCTATTGTCCGTGGGTAGTAGTCTCCTACTGTGTTCTTATATCCCATATATAAGTGCAATCATTTTTTTTCTTTCCCTTGTAAAAACTCACTCATTCCCTCACCCCCCTATCCATAATCTTAGATACAGTGATCACGGTTGCAGTGACCCTGAGACAGATTTTAATCTGTGCCTGCCCCCCGCCCCTTCCCAGGTATCTGGACTGTTTTTTTTGCTTTTTGGGGTTTTTTTTTTGCTTTTTTTTTTTTTGGTCGGAGTCATAGCCAGCAATGCTCAGAGCTCCTCACGGTGCTCGGGAGACCCTATAGGATGCCGAGGATCGAACCCGGGTCAGCCATGTGCAAGGCAAATGCTCTCCCCACTGTGCTATCACTCCAGCCCCTGTATTTTTTTTTTTTTGTAAAATGTCTCCTTTGATTGAGGGTTGAGGCCCTGCAGCTTACAGCACTGTCCAGAGCACTGTTTGGGGAGTACTCCAGCCATCCCCCCCCAGCCACCAGAATGCCTAGGTCCCTTCCAACCCCACTTAGCCAACTCAGTTGGGTGGCCACTGGCCACTTTCTCCCCACGAGGACCGTGTGTACTCCTGGCTGCTCCGTGTTGGAGAGTGACCACTTGGCGTGCTCCCCATGTCCCTTGCTGGCCAGAATAAAAACCAAGGGGCTGGAGTGATAGCACAGCAGGGAGGGCGTTTGCCTTGCACGCAGCCGACCCAGGTTAGATTCCCGACATCCCACAGGGTCCCCTGAACACCGCCAGGAGTGATCCCTGAGTGCAGAGCCAGCAGGAACCCCGTGCATCGCCGGGTGTGACCCAAAACGCAGAAATAAAATAGTTATTTGGTGGGATCAGAGAGAGGTAGCACAACGGGGAGGGCGTTTGCGTTGCACCTGGCCCACCCAGATTCAATCCCTGACATCTCATAAGGTCCCCTGAGCACCTCCTGAGTGCAGAGCCAGGAGGAACCCCTGTGTATCGCCGGGTGTGACCCCAAAAAGAAAAAAAAAAACAAACAAAAACAGAATAAAAACCAAAACACACTCTTGAACCAAGTGGACACGTGATTTTGATGCAGTAAAACTTCCAGTGTGTTAATGTGACGTGTCGTGGGCAGCTGTGCGTCTTCTCTTGATGCATGTGGGGTATTGGTCTGGGGGTCTTTGGGGGCATCGGAGGGAGGGGTGGCCGGAAGTGGGGGGTCTTCGGCGTCACATGCTTCCTGTCTTGACTCCTGGGTTTCTTCAGCCCCCGTGGGGCCCATGTGGGAGTCCGTGGGCAGAGGGGGAGGGACTTGGGTTTTGTCAATAGCAGCTAGGGGAGACCCCCGAGATTATTACAAGCCCCCCCAAGTCAGAAGAGGGGAGAGCAGAATCCCCAGAGACTGTGTCTGCACGGAGCTCGCTGCTTACTGGCCAGGTCTGGCCGCTGTCCGTTGCCACCCAGGGATCTAAGTGCCGAGGGCTGAGGTGTTCAGGCTGAGAGTCTCTCTCCGGGATCCCGCGGGGCCTCATGCACCTGCAGTGGTTTCCTGGGTGACGCTGTCGCACGTCCAGGGAAGGAAGCCACCAGGGCCCCGGGGAGTTGGGGGAGGCGAGGGAGGACGGACATTTCTCTGAAACAAGCCAAGAGGGCAGGAAATAAATTCTCTTTCCTCGGCAGGAGTGGTAGCACAGCACGAAGCATGCTTGCCTTGCATGCTGCTGACCCGGGTTCGATTCCCAGCATCCCATAGGGTCCCCTGAGCACTGGCAGGAGTGATTCCTGAGTGCAGAGACAGGAGTCAGCCCTGAGCATCGCCGGGTGTGACCCGAAAGCAAGACCAACCAACCAACCAAAACCAACCTCAGAAGGCCATGAACTGCATCCCAAGTGATGGGGCCCAGCTAGAGCCCCCAGTGCCCTGGGAGAACCCCATAAAAACACTCATTGGGGGGCTGGAGCAATAGCACAGCGGGGAGGGTGTTTGCCCTTGCACGTGGCTGACCCGGGTTTGATCCCCAGCATCCCATAGGGTCCCTTGAGCACTGCCGGGAGTGATTCCTGAGTGCAGAGCCAGGAGTCAGCCCTGAGCATCGCCAGATGTGACCCAGAAAGAAAAAAAAAATCTTTTTCCTGAGAGCAAGCGTCTCTCTTGCTTCCTACCCGCTAACAGAAGATCTTTCTAGAATCCAGAGAGGCTGCCCTGGAGGCTATTTTGCTCTGAAAGAAAGCATCAGATTTCTCTCGAGCTCCTTAAGATTGCCTCCAGGGGAGTTTGGAAAAATTCCCCCCACTTGGTGTGACCTGGGGAGTCTCCAGCAAGGCCAACCTTCCAAGGCTCACCACAGCCTTCCTTGGGGCTCTGCAAAGATCCTGTCTCCAAGCAAGTTTTGTCTTATCAGAACATTTCAGTGCCTAAGGAAGTGAGGTCCCCTGCCCAGCACCCCTCCATGGTCACCCCGGCCCCTCCTGGCCATTCAGTTCCCCTCCTGGCTTAAAATATTTAAAATCGATCTCCTGCTTCTAAAAATGAAGGAATCCAGTTTTACCCTCTTCCTGCTTTCTCTCTCCACAACTGTGTTTAAAAATCTCATCTGAGCAGCCTGGAGCCATAGCACAGCGGGGGAGGGCGTTGGCCTGGCACGCGGCCGGCCCAGGTTCGATCCCCGGCATCCCATAGGGTCCCCTGAGCACTGCCAGGAGTGATCCCCGAGTGCAGAGCCAGGAGTCAGCCCCGAGCATCACCAGATATGACCCCCCCACACACTAAAAAATAAAATAGCACTGTAGCACTGTCCTCCCTCTGTTCATCGATTTGCTCGAGCGGGCACCAGTAACATCGCACAACAAATTGTGTGACTTGTTGTTACTGTGTTTGGCAGATCAAATACACCACGGGGAGCTTGCTAGACTTTGCCTTGCAAGCGAGGTACTCTCAGTAGCTTGTGCAGAGAGGGGCGGCGGAATTGAACCCGGGTTGGCCGTGTGCAAGGCCTTACCCACTGTGCTATCACTCCAGCCCTCTGTTATAGTATCAATTATATGAGTTTCTGCTTCTGTACTTTTATATCTGTAAAATAAAATAATAATAAATAAATTAATTAAAATCTCATATGAGTTCCTTACCTCAAGAGCTCGAGTCAAACGCCGCGTTCGTGAACACCCCGTCTGTTCCTAGGTGGCTGAAGAAGAGAAACACAAGATGACCATCACCTATCCTGTCCCCACCCTGTCTCCTGCTTGCTTTTAGGAAGGGGGGTCGGGTTTGCTTTCTACCCACAGTGCTCAGGGGTTGCTCTTGGCTCAGTGCTTGGGGGACTGTGTGGGGCTGGGGATGGAACCAGGGTTGGCTGCAGACAAGGTCAATGCCCGAACCCCTGCCCTGTCTCTCCAGCCTGGGAAATCTGCTTCAAATGGGCAAGAAAAAAGATCACCAAGAAATGAGACTCCTCAGGGCTGGAGTGATAGCACAGTAGGGAGGGTGTTGGCTTTGCACGCGGCCCGACCCGGGGTTCGGTCCCCAGCATCCCACATGGTCTCCTAAGCACCGCCAGGAGTGATTCCAGAGTGCAGAGCCAGGAGGAACCCCTGAGCATCGCCGAATGTAACTCAAAAAGCAAAAAAAAAAAAAAAAAAAACAGAAAGAAAAAGAAATGAGACTCCCCGTAACAACTCTGACCAACCAATGCTGTGCTTCACGTTTTTAAGTTAATAGTTTTTAATGGGGTCATACCCGGCGGTGCTCAGGGTTGACTCTTGGCTCTGCACTCAATGATCAGTCCTGGCGGTGCTCAGGGGACCCTATGGGATGCCAGGGATCGAACCCGGGTCTGCTGTTGTGTCAGGCAAGTGCCTTTTCCACTGTACTATCACTTTGGCCCCCACGTCTTAATTATTATTTTGTTGTTGTTGTTTAGCTTTTTGGGTCACACCCGGCGCTGCACAGGGGTTCCTCCTGGCTCTGCACTCAGGAATCACTCCTGGCGGTGCTCGGGGGACCCTATGGGATGCTGGGAACCGAACCCCGGGTCGGCCTCATTCAAGGGGCTATCACTCCAGCCCCTCGTTCCTTTCTTTTGCTTCCACTGTTTGGATTTGGGGGTCGGGGGTTACTCCTGAGTCTGTGCTCAGGGATCATACCTGGTGATGCTTGCGGGGTTAGAGGGTCCCCTAGGCGGTGCTGGGGATGGAATTCAGTTCACCTGCGGAACTGTCCAGCCCTCAGTTCCAGTTTACCCCCCACAGGAAGTTACTGACTTTTGGTTAGCTGTGGGGGATACATTGGGCTCAGGGGGCTATGCAGTGCCACCATTAAGCCCCAGAACCTTCTTCCTGCCCCACTGGGCGGGGAGAGGAAGGGGTGGATGGGATTCACCACTTGAGCCCATTCTTACTGCAAGATTTTCCAAGAATGGCAGTACTGCCCCCTAGTGGCGTTTTTAAAAAATTTTTATCCTGAGTATTCCTCAACTGAATTTAACGGGGTTTATTACATAGCACAGCGGGTAGGGCGTTTGCCTTGATTAGGGTTTGATTCCTCCCTCCCTCTCGGAGAACCCGGCAAGTTACCGAGAGTGTCCCGCCTGCACGGCAGAGCCTGGCAAGCTCCCCGTGGCGTTTTCCATATGCCAAACACAGTGACAAGTCTCACGATGGAGACGTTACTGGTGCCCGCTGGAGCAAATCGATGAACAACAGGAGGACAGTGCTACAGTGCTATCACATTGAGTTGGCTCTGGACCCCCCAAAGAATTATCCTGTGTCTGTGCAATTTCAACCTGCTGTCTGGGTTTTGGTGGAAGCATTCGTGCAGTGAAAATTCTCCAAGCCTGGCATCTGACAGCTTTTAATAGAAATGTGATGAGTTGCTGTAAACAGAATTGCCTCATGATGGAGGGAAAACTTGTAGGGCTTCCAACTCTTTGCTAGAGTATTTTGACCAAAAAATAAGGCTGTTCACCCAAAAGGAGAGAGAGAAAACAAAAGGGAATGCCCAGCCACAGAGGCAGGGTGGGATGGGGGGATGGGGGGTGGGAGGGATACTGGGACCCGTGGTGGTGGAGAATGGGCACTGGTGGAGGGATGGGTACTCGATCATTGTGTAACTGAAACCCAAGCACAACAACTTGTAAGTCTACAACTGTACCTCATGGAGTTTCACTAATAAAAAAAAATTAAATTAAAAAAAAATAAGGCTGTTGTTTGGCAGAGTCTCTGATACCATTTGAGTGACTAATACAATATTGCCTGCTGCCTTTTTATTTTAATTTAATTGAGAGTAGGCGTGGTGTTTTTTTATTTATTTGTTTTTGTTTTTTATTTTATGACCACAGCTGCTGATTCTCGGGGCTTACTCCTGGCTCTGCACTGAGGAATTATTCCCAGCAGTGCTCAGAGGACCATATGGGATGCCAGGGATCGAACCAGGTTTGGTTGCATGCAAGCCAAGCGCCTCACCTGCTATCTCTCCCGCCCCAAGGGAAGGGCTTTTTTGGTGCTTAGGAATACTCCTGGCTCTGTGCTCAGGGGTTGTTCCTGGTGGTGCTCGGGGGACCGCACGTGATGTCAGGGGGTCTAACTGGGGTTGGCCACATGCAACCTACATTCCATGGTGGTTCTCTTGGAACACACAAGCTTCACTCTCTCTCAGCATTTGCCAGCCCAGAGCTGCGTGACTCGGCGTCTTCTTGTCGCACAAACAGTGCTCCCTTTGTGTTCGTCTCTGTTCTTAATCGCTTTCCTGCAGTGTTCTAATGTGACATTTACTATCTACCTATTGTATCACAGCGGGTAGGGCGTTCGCCTTACACGCGGCCAACACGGCCGACCCGAGTTCGATTCCTCCGCCCCTCTCGGAGAGCCCGGCAAGCTACCGAGAGTATTCGATATGCCAGACACAGTAACAACAAAGTCTCCAATGGAGACGTTACTGGGCCCGCTCGAGCAAATCGACGATCAACGGGAGGGCCTTTACCTTTACCTACCTTACCTATTGTATCTATTGCAGTTAGGACCTATTCCCTCTGCATTTCTGCATTCGTGTTAGTCAAGGAGATATGAGTGAAGATTTGGTGTTTTTGTTGTTGGTTTTTTTTTTTGCTTCTTGGGTCCCACCCGGCGATGCTCAGGGCTGACTCCTGTCTCTGCACTCAGGAATCACTCCTGGCAGGGCTCGGGGGACCCTATGAAATGCCGGGGATTGAACCTGGGTTGGCCACTGTCACTGTCACTGTCCTCCCGTTGTTCATCGATTTGCTCGAGCGGGCCCAGTAACGTCTCCATTGGAGACTTTGTTGTTACTGTGTCTGGCATCTCGAATACGCCACATAGAAGGAAAATGCCCTCCTCGCTGTACTATCGCTCAGGCCCCAAGATTTGTTCTTAAAGCAGGGAGTCCCCAGTATAATGATCCTCACACACAGAGCCAAGAAAAAAGTTAAAGAAAGAACATGGACGCAGTCATGAAGCCTTCCCAGCTTGGGCCCGGGGAGGCAGTTCAAATGGGAGTCCTGCTTTGCACGTAGGAGCCCCAGGTGGGGTCTTGAAACCCCTTTTAGGTCTCCTAAGAACCTTCAGAGCATGGAACAGGAAGAAGACCCTGAGCATCAGACACATCCCCCATCTCAGTGTTGGGAAAATGACTCAGAGGGCTGGATCACGGGCTTGGCTCTTTCTATTTTTTTTGCTTTTTGGGTCACACCCCGCGATGCACAGGGGTTCCTCCTGGCTCTGCTCTCAGGACTTACTCCAGGCGGTGCTCGGGAGACCCTATGGGATGCTGGGAATCGAACCCGGGTCAGCTGCGTGCAAGGCAAACGCCCTCCCTGCTGTGCCATTGCTTCAGAGAGCCCCAAATTCCATCCCCAGCATCACATGGTCCCCTGAGCACTGCCAAAGGCCCCCCAAGCACTGCCAAGTGTGTCCCCCAAAACACCAGGGGAAAATAATTCTTTATTGATATGAAAGTGAAATGAGGGGACTGGAATGATAGTCCAGCGGGAAGGGCATTTGCCTTGCACACAGCCGACCCGGGTTCGATTCCCAGCATCCCTTATGGTCTCCCAAGCACCGCTAGGTGTAATTCCTGAGTGCATGAGCCAGGAGAAACCCCTGAACAACACCAGGTGTGACCCAAAAAGCAAAAAAAAAGTGGAATGAATATGAAGTAATTATAACTCTGCCACATCCACCCTTTCCGATTACTATTTAATATAGTATTGTTAAATTTATAGTGATATCTGGTTACTATTTAATGACTATATAAATGAAACTTAAAAAATCAAATTAATTTATATAGCCAATAATAATCTGTAGATAGCCAATATATAATATAATATAATATAATATATAACATAATATTAATTTAGATAGCCTGGTAAGCTACCCGGGGCGTATTTGATATTCCAAAAACAGTAACAATAACGGGTCTCATTCCTCTGACCCTGAAAGAGCCTCCAATAAGGCAGCGTTGGAAAAGACGAGTAAGGATTGGCTGCCGAAATCCCAGGGCTGGCCTGCCACAGAGGTGGGGTAGGGTGGGGGGGATGGGGTGGGGGGGTGGGAGGGCTACTGGGTTCATTGGTGGTGGAGAATGGGCACTGGTGGAGGGATGAGTACTCGATCATTGTATAACTGAAACCCAAGCACGAAAGTTTGTAAGTCTACAACGGTACCTCCTGGTGTTTCACTAATGAAAATAAAAACTAAAAAAAAAAAAAAACTCAAGGCTGGGACGAATGGAGACGTTACTGTTGCCCGCTTGAGTAAATCGATGAACAATGGGATGACAGTGACAGTGACAACCAATAAAAGGAATAGAAATTTAAAAAAAATCCCTTCTTACCTATGAGGGTTCAGGGGGCTTTTTCCATCATCTGAAACAAGTCAGAGACACACACGATTGTTTCACAGAAGCAAACGAGATGGGGAAGGAGGTCTCTTGGGCTAGGGAGCACCGAGCAGGCTGATTGGCAGGTGACTTTCACTGCAGGCTTGGGGAAGTGTCTCTCCCCACCACCTCACCTGTGTCTGGCCAGAATGAAATGTTGCTTCGAGTTCACCGCTTCCTCCTCCCTTTTTCTTTCTCTCCCTGCGAACCTCTCCTTCCATCCCGGCTTCCTGCCTCCAGCGCTAATATTATCTTGGTGGGGTGATTGCCATGGTGGATTCTCCAAACCCATTTTTTGGGGGGGAACTGCATTTGATAATCCAGCCTCCAGCTAACCCATCACCTCCTCTAATCACCAACTGCACCAGCAAACCAGTACCAGGAGGAGGCGTGCTTGGGAGGGATCACTTCCGGTTCCATCTGCGCGGCAGAGTTCCAGAGCAGAAGCTTTATTATTTTATTTTATTGGGGCGGGGTGAAGCATCCCCCAAGAGCAGCAACCGTCACTCAAGAACGCCCATCTTAGGGCCAGAGTGATAGATCAGCAGGGAGGGCGTTTGCCTGACATGAGGCTGACCTGGGTTCGATTTCCAGCGTCCCATAGGGTCCCCCAAGCCCCACCAGGAGTAATTCCTGAGCACAGAGCCAGGAGTCACCCCTAAGTATCATTGGGTGTGACCCCCCCCAAAAAAATCACCCATCTTGACGTTGTCCAAATGCGTGGTCGCCCGAACACCAAAGGGAGTAAAAAGGGGTGAATCTTCCCCACCCCCGCTGATACAGATGTCTTGGAACCAGAGCGACAAATGCTGTGGTCCCATCGTTCGACACCAGCTCCCGTGGAGAAGGCGGAGGGAGAAGGTGTCTTCTTAGTTACCTTTTTGTCTTCTGCGTCTCCGGAGCAGAACCAGGAATAGGCTCCCCGTCAGCAGACCAGCCGTGGGGGCCACTGCCGCCCCCACGTAAGCCAGAACTTGCTGGGTGGTGAGCGGTCCCACTGCAAGAGACAGACACGGAGAAGGTGCCACTTAAGATGTGTGCTGGGGGGGGGGCTGGAGCGATAGCACAGTGGGGAGGGCGTTGGCCTTGCACACGGCTGACCCGGGTTCGATTCCCAGCATCCCATAGGGTCCCCTGAGCACCGCCAGGAGTAACTCCTGAGTGCAGAGCCAGGAGGAACCCCTGTGCATCGCTGGGTGTGACCCAAAAAGAAAAAAAAAGATGAGTGCTGGGTTGTGCCGAAATGCCCTCTGCCCAAAAGGTTTTGGGGAGTCCTGAGCTAGGAGGTCAGGCAGGGTCATCCAAGGTCCTGTCACTGTTACTGTCCTCCCGTTGTTCATCGATTTGCCCAAGTGGTCACCAGTAACGTGTCCATGGTGAGACTTGTTGTTACTGTGTTTGGCATCTTGAATACGTCACCAGCTTGCCAGGCTTTGCCATGTGGGCGAGATACTCTTGGTAGCTTGCCAGGCTCTCTGAGAGGAGCGGAGGAATTGAACCCGGGTCAGCCAGGTCGGCTGCATGCAAGGCAAGTGTCCTACCCGCTGTGCTATCACTCCATCCCTGACAGTGCTAGCAGCCCCCAAAAGCCCAGTCAGAAAGCATCAAGAGAACTGGCGGTGGAACCCAATTTTCTTTTCTCTTCTTTTCCTTTCCTTTTCTTTTTGGGTCACACCCGGCAATGCACAGGAGTTACTCCTGGCTCTGCGCTCAGGAATCACTCCTGGCGGTGCTCAGGAGACCATATGGGATGCTGGGATTCGAACCCTGGTCAGCCACGTGCAAGGCAGCACATGGGCTCAGGAAGTATCTGTGTGCCCTTCCTTTGTTCAAGGTGGCCTTTATAGAGTTTCTTCAATCTGCCCCCATGTGGGGCTTTCTAGCTAGGTAAGAGTTCGCTGCTAGGTTGGTTGCCAAGGGCGGTTGCCTTGGTCTGGAGTTTCTCTGGCAGAGGTAGGGGTCTTTCAGGTGTCATGAATCTCCTTTAGGTCCTTAACTGCTCTCTCTCTCTCTCTCTCTCTGATTCAGTTTGTGTCTCGATGGGGGTCCAACCCTCAGGCCTAAGTCTTCATTCTTGCAGCTTCAGTGTTAGTGAATTTATGACTCCTCAGAAATCCCACTGCCGCGGGCCCTCACCCATCTACCTGCCTGCCTCAGTTTAGCAACAGAGCTCCACACATTTGAAGCTCAGGGTTTGCTCCCAAAAAAGAAAAAAAGAAAAGAAAAAGAAAATTGGGGCGGAAGCCAGAGCACAGCAGGGAGGACGTTTGCAAATTCAGTTCTACACCACTAAGCCCTTCTGTTTTTGTTTGCTGGTGGGGTTCAGGGGACCCTAAGGGGTAGTAGGGATTGAACCCTGGTTCGCTGCATTTAGCACCAGGGCCCAACCTGCTGGACTATTCCTCTATCCAGCCCAACAAGTAGTTTTAATAAGCGACGAGGGGAAAGTGTTATGGATACGAATGAAATAAACCTGAAGGGAGATGGGCTTCATGGATGCAGATTGAGGGTGCGCTGAAAAGGTTTTGCAGAGTCAAGTTCTTTTGAGACATAAGTTAGGCCTCGAGGAAGTGGCCTTGGGGCCTGGAGCAATAGCACAGCAGGGTGGGCTTTGCCTTGTACTCGTCCGACCCGGATTCCGGGTTCAATTCCCAGCCTCCCATAGGGTCCCCCAAGCACCGCCAGGAGTGATTCCTGAGTGCAGAGCCAGGAGGAACCCTGTGCATTGCCGGGTATGACCCAAAAAGCAAAATAAAAAAAAAAGAGGAAATATCCTTTTAGTTATTTGAAAACTCTCTGGCATTTTGCCCAGGAGGGGGAAGAAATGGGAGGGTTAGATTCGCAGAGGAGAGCTCAGAAACCCCTCAAGGATGGTAGGGGCTTCTGGGGGGGCTCCTGATTAAGTCCCCAAGGCTCTGCTAGTGACCAGGAAGTCAGCTGGGATCCACTGTGGAACCACACACAGGGGAAACCCGGAAGATAGAAATTCAGAGCGATAGCACAGCGGGGAGGGTGTTTGCCTTGCAGGCAGCTGTCCCGGGTTCGATCCCCGGCATCCTCTAGGGTCCCCTGAGCACCACCAGGAGTAATTCCTGAGTGCAGAGCCAGGAGTCAGCCCTGAGCATTGCCGGGTGTGGCCCAAAAAGCGAAAAAAGAAAAAGTCAGAGAAATTCTGTTTTCCCATTCTATCTCTCCGGGAAACTTCCTGAAGCGGAGGGCGGGGGAGGGGAGGTACCTTGGCAGAGGGGCACCGGGGCGGACCACTGGCCATCAGCCTGGCAGACTGTTTTTGCCGAGCCGTTCAGGAACTGTGTCTCAGGACAGTGGAAGGAGCAGGAAGAGCCGTAGCTGGTGTTGCCCCAGGGGTTGGAACAGTTGGCCACCAGGGGTCCAGCCACCTGCAGCTCGGAGCAGGTCACAGCTGCAGAAAGAGAGGGGGGGGGAGGGCTGGAGCAATAGCACAGCAAGGAGGGCATTAGCCTTGCACGCGGCCAACCAGGGTTCGGTTCCCAGCATCCCATAGGGTCCCCCGAGCACTGCCAGGAGTGATCCCTGAGTGCAGAACCACGAGTCAGCCCTGAGCATCGCCGGATGTGGTCCAAATAGAAAAAAAATAGCTTGGGGGTCACTGAACCCTTTCAGAGTGAAAATTGGAGGCCCAGTGGGGCTGCAGGGATAGCATAGCAGATAGGGTGTGTGCCTTGCATGCAGCCGACCCGGGTTCGATCCCCGGCATCCCATAGGGTCCCCCGAGCACCGCCAGGAGTGGTTCCTGAGTGCACGAGCCAGGAGGAACCCCTGTGCAATGCTGGGTGGGACTCAAAAAAGCAGAGAGGGGGAGAGAGAGAGAGAGAGAGAGAGAGAGAGAGAGAGAGAGAGAGAGAGAGAGAGAGAGAGAGAGGTGGGCATTCCACAACGGAAAAAAGGAGGGGAGGAGGAAGGAGGGGGAAGGGTCCTGCTGTCCAAGATCAGACAGGACACTGCCTCACGTCCAGCTCCCCTGCTGGCCCTCCCAGCATCCTACACAGCAGGACAGCTGCCACCCTCAGGAAGGAGCTGAGAAGTGGCCTAAACACTCCATCACCCCATCACGCGTAACGCGCTCCCAACGCTTCTTCATCGTCAGCCCCTCAAGGTCCACTGAGCATCTCTGGGCATCTCCCGGGGTCACCCTGGCCCCGTGGGCGCAGAATGAGAACCCCGGGGGAGGGACCTGCTCCCGGCCCCGCTACCTCTGCAGGTGGGCGTCGCCGCCGTCCACTGTCCCGGGTCCCTGCAGCTCAGTTCGCTCCGGCCCATCAGCCTGAACCCCGCTTGGCAGGCGAAGTAGCACGTGGTATTGAGCCCAAACCGCCCCAGATGGTGTCTGCAGGAGATGGTGCCCTGTGCGGGGATGCGGGGGACCGGGCAGCGCACCTCCGGGGTCCTCCTTAACACTATGCCTGCGGCGAGAAAGGGCTGCATGAAGACCAGCTGGTGCCTTCTGCGGGCAGAAGGTTCTAGAAGGGGAGCTGCCTCAGTTTACCTGTGCAGGTGGGTGGTGGGGCCGTCCAGCTCCCGGCCGCGGTGCAGTCCACGTGGTCGAAGCCCTCCAGTTGGAAACCCTCATGGCAGGAGAAGTAGCAGGTGGTGCCCACAACGGCCTGTCCAGGGGGCCCAGCACAGCGCAGACTGCCCTCCATGGGGGCGTAAAGTTCTGGACATGTGATGGCTGCAAGACCAAACGAACAAGGTCCCCTGTGCTCAGAAGCTCTGGGCTCTGCAGGCATGTAACAAATTGGCTTCATATTTGATTTGATTTTATTTTTTGCTTTTTGGGTCACACCTGGTGATGCTCGTGGCTGACTCCTGGCTCTGCACTCAGTAATTACACCTGATGGTGCTCGGGGGACCCTATGGGATGCCGGGAATCGAACCCAGGTTGGCTGCAACAAGGCAAACAGCCCCGTCTCCCTTTGCCCGCAGCAGTGGGTGAAGAGGGCTGGCACGGGGCACCTGGGACTTAGACCCCCACGCACCACAATCACTGTCCCACCAGGGGACCCCGGGGCTCTCGGAGTAAGGAGTCTCTCAGCCAGGGGACATCCATCCTGCACTGTCATTTCCCATCTCCCTAGGGGAAACTTTAGACCCGGGGGGGCGCGGGAGAGTGGCAGGTTCCCCATGAAACATTTTGGTTTTACTTGGGAGTCACAGCCAGCAGTGCTCAGGGCTGACTCCTGATTCTGTGCTCAGGGATCGCTCCTGGTGGGGCTCTGAGGACCTTACACGGTGCCGGGGATTGAACCTGAGCCGGCCATGTGCAAGGCTGTGTTGTGTGTCTCCCCAGCCCCATGACCGTCTCTCTGAACCTCCCAGTCCATTTCCAACACCCCCAAATGCAGCCTGTGAGTGATGGCTTTGCAGGGGCGAGTCCCCATTTTGACCCCCAGTACCAGCTGGTCTCCCGAGCACCATTGGGAGTGAATCCCAAACCGAATAAAAAACCAGACACGTGGGGCTGGAGCGATAGCACAGTGGAGAGGGCATTTGCCTTGCACGCGGCTGACCTGGGTTCGGTTCCCAGCATCCCCTACGGTCCCCTGAGCACTGCCAGGAGTGATTCCTGAGTGCAGAGCACAGGAGAAACCCCTGTGCATCACTGGATATGACCCAAAAAGAAAAAAAAAACAGACACACTCCCTGGTGAGTTTTCGAGGTACCTTGGCATGTGGGGAGAGGGTCGCTCCAGCCCCCCGTGGCCAAGCAGTGCAACACGGGCTCGCCCACCAGGACGAAGCCCTCGAGACAGGAGAAACTGCATGTGGACTGGAACCGGAGGTCCCCATCGGGGTGCGAGCAGTTCATCCGTGCCTTGGCAGGGGCCGACAGGTCCTGGCACCGCAGGGCTGAGGAGAGAGAAGCCGGGGGTGAGACACGCCAACTTCCGCCCGTTGCCCCTTTCTACAACAGCCTTGTCTGTTTTTCTTTTTGGGTCCCACCCGGCGATGCTCAGGGGTTCCTCCTGGCTCTGCACTCAGGAATCACTCCTGGCGGGGTTCGGGGGAACCTTTGGGATGCCGGAGATCGAACCTGGGTCGGCTGCATACAAGGCCAATGCCCTCCCCATCACTCCAGCTCAGATGATGGGAGGCAGTTTTGCACACAGGTATTAATACTTTTTTAAAAATTTTATTTGTTTATTTAGTTTTTGCTTTTTGGGGTCATACCTGGCGATGCTCAGGGGTTACTCCTGGCTCATGCACTCAGGAATCACTCCTGGCGGTGCTCAGGGGACCCAATGGGATGCTGGGAATCGAACCTGTATCGGCCATGTTGGCTGCATGCAAGGCAAACGCCCTACCCGCTGTGCTATTGCTCCAGCCCCACAGGTATTAATACTTTTCACCAACTCCTTCTGGGCCCCCAAATGTAGACTATCAAGGGCTGGAGCAATAGCACAGTGGGGAGGTCGTTTGTCTTGCACGTGGCCGACCCAGGTTCGATTCCCAGCATCCCACATGGCCCCCCAGAACCGCCAGGAGTAATTCCTGAGTACAGAGCCAGGAGGAACCCCTGTGCATTGCCAGGTGGGGCCCAAAAAGCAAAAAAAAAAAAGTTAAAAAATATGTAGACTAACAGACTGGAGAGATAGCACAGCAGGGAGGGTGTTTGCCTTGCACATGTTTCACCTGGAATTCCAGTCAAATATACCCCAAGCCCTTGACTTTGATTCTCCTGCAGAAAATGTTTTTTCCTCTGAGAGTCTAGCTTCCAGGAAGCAGGGGGGATACGTACCTACACATTCTGGGGGGGTGCTTGTCCACATTCCAGAGGCCAAACATTGCAACTCGCTGGGCCCCCTGAGTGTGTACCCTGGAGCACAGTGGAAACTGCACTTGGAGTTGAAGGAGAAGTTTGCCAGCGGGTGGCTGCAGTTTCCTAGCACGTGCTCGGAAAGTTCCGGTTCTCCACACTCGTTCACTGCGGGGACGGGATGTTGAGTCAGTTCCACTGAGAACTCAGAGACAAGCTCAAGATTGGTGGCGCTGGACCGATATGTCCTTCCCAGACCCCTAACCTGTCCCACCTGTCCATCTGGACATGGCTCAGAAATCACCCCTAGCAGTGCTCGGGGGTCCTGATAGGATGCTGGGGATCGAACCTGGGTTGGCTGCTGGAAGCATTCATTGGCTTTTCTCCCAAACCCAAGGGAGTCTGGTGGAGTTCTCTCTGTTTGGGGTGTGGTTTGCACTTTTATCTTTTGGATTTGGGGGGGTCGCACCTGGCTGTGCTCAGGGCTTACTCCTGGTTCTGTGTTCAGGCAAATCGCTTTCCTGTTCTACTCTCTTTCCCGCACCATTGGGATTTTTTCTGAGCTAATGTGCTAAGGAGTCTCCAGCCCCCGCGCCTGGCTGTCTTCGCTGGGGCCCCTTGGAGGGGAGCGGGTTGAGTTTCCCTCCCCACCCCGACCAGGGCTCCAACAGCTCCGATGCATGAAGGTACCGGCAGAGGGACAAAGGCATGCGGGTCCCGGGGCTGAGATCTCCAAGCCTGCTTGGATCAGGGCTGAGCATCCTCCACCCAGATCCTCCAAATTCCAGTAGGCGGGGGTCACACCCACCAACTGCCCCCTGGCGCCGTGTAATCCTATCAACGGCCAAGACTCAGAGACTATAAAACCCAGCTCCTGGAAGCGACATCTTATTATCTCATTCCTACTTTGGACAACCCGGCAGGCTACCAAATGTAACCTGCCCACACGGCAGAGTCTGGCAAACTCCCCGTGGCGTATCCAATATGCCAAACACCAGTAACAATGATGGGTCTCATTCTCCCAACCCTGAAAGAGCCTTGAATATGGCACTTTAAAAAAAAAATCAGGGCTAGGATGAAGGAGACGTTACTGGGGCCTGCTCGAGGCAATCGACGAACAACAGGATGGTCGTGATCGTGATCGAATGTGCTAAGGATTAGCATCCAAGGACGCAGGAATGGTATTAGCCTTCATTAGTCCACTCTCTATTCTCTATTCTAGGTGGTTTTCTTTGTGTGTGTGTGTGTGTGTGTGTTTTCTTTTTTGGTCACACCCAGTAATGCTCAGGGGTTCCTCCTGGCTCTATGCTCAGGAATTACTCCTGGTGGTGCTCAGGGGACCATGTGGGATGCTGGGAATCGAACCCAGGTCGGCTGTGTGCCAGGCGAACGCCCTCTCTGCTGTACTATTGCTCCAGTCTTTTATTCTAGCTTTTAATTTTCCTCCGGCAGAGGACTTGGCCTCCAGTGGCCGGCCGGGGGCCACCCCGCTTTCCACACCACAGATGGGGAATCGGAGGGGGGGGAAATCTCACCAAATTCACACTCTGGACCGTAGAACCCTGGGTAGCAGGCGCAGCTGTAGTTCCCGATGGTCTCCACACACTCGCCTTGCCGGCTGCATGACAGTTCGTTGCAGGAGGCTGACCAGGACAGAGACACCCCCACATCAGACTCAGGAAGCCCCCAAAGAAAAGTGGGGTTCGCGTCTGAGTCGCCAGCCCCAAGTCTCGTGCACGACATCACAGAACACTTGGGGTTCTGGGAGCTCAAGAGAACAAATGCCGGCAGAGAGAGGAAGCTTGGGAGGAGGCCAGTAGATTGGATGGTTCCAGAAGGTTCCAGAAGCAGTTGGGATACTAGCACAGCATGAAACCAGGCAGGTGTAGGGGTGTTCTATACCTAGTTGTGGGTCTATCTATCTATCTATCTATTTATCCAGTTACACCCACCAACTGCCGTGTAACCCCAACAATGGCTAGGATCCAGAGATTATCACACTCAGCTCCCAGAAGCGCTCGGCCGCAAATGCGGCCGCGTGACATCTTATCATCTCATTCCTACTTTGGACAACCTGGCAGGCTACCGAATGTAACCTGCCCACACGGCAGAGTCTGGCAAACTCCCCGTGGCGTATCCAATATGCCAAATACCAGTAATAATGAAGGGTCTCATTCTCCTAACTCTGAAAGAGCCTTGAATATGGCACTTTTAAAAAAAATCTCAGGGCTAGTACGAAGGAGACGTTACTGGGACCTGCTTGAGGCAATCGACGAATAACAGGATGGTTGTGATATTGTGATATTGTGATGCTCAGGGGTTCCTCCTAGCTCTGCACTCAGGAATCACTCCTGGAGGTGCTCAAGGGACCCTATGGGAAGCCGGGGATTGAACCCGGGTCAGCCATATGCAAGGCCAATGCCTCCCTGTCGCGCTATCGCTCCAGTCCCTCAATACTCCTTGTATTGATCCTGAGACATGATCAATAGACCTAAGAACGGGAGAGGAAGGGTGTGAGATAGTGGTTGGGGATCTTGAAATACGAATGGTATTCTAGGACTCTACAAGCGTGCAACTGAGACCTCCAGGACCTATAATAATATTAAATATAGGCGGTAGAGCGATAGTACAGTGGGAAGGGCGTTTGCCTTGCATGCGGTCGACCCGGGTTCGATTCCCAGCATCCCATAGGGCCCCCTGAGCACCGCCAGGAATAATTCCTGAGTGCAAAGCCAGGAGGAACCCCTGAGCATCGCCGGGTGTGACCCAAAAAGCAAATAATAATAATAATAATAATAATAATAATAACATCACTATCACCCTGTTGTTCATCGATTCACATCGATTCACTCGAGCGGGCCCAATAATGTCTCTATTCGTCCCTGTCAAGTGCAAGCGTAGCCCGATGACATATTGGGGGATCTTCAAGGGTCAGAGGAATGAGGACCATTCATTGTTACTGTATTTGGCATATCGAGTACACTGCGGGTATCTTGTCAGGCTCTGCCGTGCGGGCGGGATACTCTCGGTAGCTTGCCGGGCTCTCCGAGAGGGATGGAAGCTTTTGGGGCAGCCTCTCATCACCTTTCCAGGTGTTCCCAGTCAGGCATATATGCGGGTATGATACTCTCAGTAGCGTGGCAGGTTCTCTGAGAGCAAGAACCAGAGAATAATAAATAAAAAATATTATTCTTATATGAATATATAAAATTATTGTTGTTGCGGTTGTTATAACCTATAATTAAAAGGCAAATTGCTCTTCCCCTTCCCAAGGCCAGTATTCTGACATCCTTCCTGGGCGGCAGGAGGGATGCAGGCAGGGAGGCGGGCCGCGGGCGGTGATGCTGGCCAATCAGAGGAGGCGAGTCCTGAAGCCCAACCAATGGGAGCGCGGAGCGCGCTCTACCCACCTGTGTAGCACAGCGCGCGCTTTTTCTTCCAGCAGGGCTCGTCGTTCCACGTGCCGGGCGCCGTCTGCCGCTTGATGTACATCTCCACGCAGTCCTGGTTGTTCTTCTTGTTGTTGGGCTCGTTGTCGGCCCAGTTCTCCGCCTCCTGCGTCAGGGCCTTCCCGGTCCCCACCCACATCCAGGTGTCGTTGACCCTGCGGATCCCGATCCAGTAGTAGGAACTGAAGGGCGGGATGACCTTGTTGAGGTACTCGAGCTCCTGCCTGTTCTGGATGGCCACCAGGTCCGTGTAGCTCTTCTTGCAGAACGCGCGGGAGGCGTTCCAGGAGTAAGCCTTGGTGCTATAGTGGTAGGTCCAGGCGGACACCCCTGGGTGATGGGTCAGCTCTGAGGACAGAAACAGGAGGTTGGCAGCCCCCCCAGCCGGGAACTGGCCATCCAAGGACCAGTCTGCCACGCCTGGTGAGTTTGTTAGAAACCTTTTTTAAAAATTATTAATATTTTTTTTGACGAATCTTTGTGAGATGCAGTTACAGACTTGCAAACTTGCGTGATTACGTTTCAGTCATACAATGATCGAGCACCCATCCCTCCACCGGTGCACATTCTCCATCACCAATGTTCCCAGTATCCCTCCCGCCACCTGCACCCCTTCCCACCCTCTGCCTCTGTGGCAGGCACATTCCCTCTTACTCTCTCTCTCTCTCTCTCTCCTTTTAGGTGTTATTGTTTACAATACAGGTACTAAGTGGACATCATATTTGATCCATGGTCTACTTTCAGCACCCATCTCCCATCCCTATTGAGCCCTCCAAGCATCCTTCCCTTAGTGGTCCCTTCTCTGTCTGAACTGTCTTTTCCCCCAGCATGTGAGGCTGGCTTCCAAGCCGTGGAGCGATCCTCCTGGCCCTTATCTCTACTATCCTTGGGTGTTAGTCTCCCATTCTGTTACTTTATATTCCACAGATGCGTGCAGTCCTTCTATGTCTGTCCCTCTCTCTCTGACTCATTTCACTTAGCGTGATACTTTCCATATTGATCCATTTATATGTAAATTTCATGATTTCATCTTTTCTACCAGCTGCATACTATTCCATTGTGTAGGAGTACCAATGTTTATGGAACCAAGGTTTCTAACCAAAGTTTATGGAACCAAAGCGGAGAACTGGGCAGGAAAACGGGGGTCTTCATTTACACCAGCTGCTCCGGCCAGGGGGACCTGGGCAAAGTACCCAAAGCGATTGGCCCCAGGAAGGGGAGGTTTCCAAGAGCACCTTTAGCGACCATCTTGGAGGCTTTCTTATCTAGCATGAGTCAGATAGAACAGTCTTTGGCATGAAGTCCAGGGAAGATATTGGGGTTCCTCAGACATCATCTGATAGGAAACTGCAATCATAGGCACACCAAGGGACTTTAAGCGGTCCCTTCCCTGAGACCAGGCGGCCTCCTGGCTATGCAGTTAACAGCATGTACAAATCTTGAATCACACATGACGAACTCCTGCCCAGGAGATGAGGACCACCCCTCAGTATAATTATTTGATTCCTAATTAAGATTTTTTTAAATTATATTTTTGTGTGTGTTTTTTTTTTCGTTGGAGGTCTCATACCTGAATTGCTCAGGGCTTTCTCCTGCTTCTGTGCTCAAGGATCACAGTGCTGGGTTGTCCACATGCAAAGCGAGTACCAACCCCCGTCCTTCCTCTCTGACCCTCTGGGGGTCTTTACCTTCCACTCCTCTCCTCTACCCTGCTGATTCTTTTTTTTTCTTTTTGGGTCACACTTGGCGATGCTCAGGGCTGACTCCTGGCTCTGCACTCAGGAATTACTCCTGGCGGTGCTCGGGGGACCCTTTGGGTTGCTGGGGATCGAACTTGGGTCGGCCACGTGCAAAGCAAATGCTGTCCCCGCTGTGCTATCACTCCAGCCCTACCCTGTTGCTCTTGAATCACCCCTACTTCCTCTGTCTCAGAGCGCTCATTAAAATAGCGTCCCAAAGAGTCTTTTTGGGCTGGAACAATAACACAGCGGGGAGGGCGTTTGCCTTGCAAGCGGCTGACCCGGGTTTGATCCCTGACATCCCATAGGGTCCCCGGAGCACCGCCAGGAGTGATTCCTGAGTGCAGAGCCAGGAGTCGGCCCTGAGCATCGCCGGGTGGGACCCCAAAAGAAAAAAAATAAATTATGTTTTGAAAAAAAAAAGAGCCCTTCGTTGGGGAGTGTTTGAGTAGCAAATCGGGTCAAGAATGTGCCCTCCCGAAGAACAGAGGGCACGGGGCGGGGGGTAATGACATTGTTATCAGAGCCAGCGGGAGTTTGAAGCCCCCCAGAGCAGAAAGGAGCTTACCAGCTGCTCGGGCCTAGCCGGTTCCCTTTCCTGTGTCTGAGTCGCAGGTTCCTGACCGGCCCTCTCTCATGGGTCCTAGGGGACAGTTTTATTTCTTCCTCTCTAACACCTCCGCCCTGCCCAAATGTTTGCTCTACAGCTTCCTGGCACTGGTGGCCTCTGCCAAGTGGCCTTCCGGGACTCTGGTTTCCTCCCCTCCTTGTAACATCTTAGAAACGCTATTGTACACCGGCAATGCCCAAATGACACGGGGTGCTTCGCGCTTTCCTGGTGACGCGTTTTCTTTGGAGAAAAGGATTCTGAAAGAACTATGTGGGTTGGGGGTGGGTGTACGCAGGATAACATTGGTTTGTCCTTTCTGCCTTGCCACAGGGAGCTTAGGTTTATTGGGCTGCTCCCATCACAGTGCTCCCGTTCATCTGTGTTTGTCTGTAACCTCTTCTCTGTGCTCTGTGCTCTCTTCCCCAACCAGTTAATCACCATTTTCCCCTAAGTAGTACCTGTGTGATTTGTAAAGGTCAAATTCCTCAGAAATCTCTGATTTTGCAAATATTGCTTTTCTCTGCCCTTTAAGTCCTTGGCACACTTAATTCAGAGCAATGTCCTTTTTGTATAGACACAGGAATACATACATGAAGCTTGTACAGGGTGGCTCTCCTGGGGGCATCTCGTTATAAATCTCAGACTACAGTGCTCAGGCCAGATTAATCTTTCCTAACCCTAGCAGGGTCCTATTCTAGATGTTACTTTCTGGATCATGACCGAATTTGTCCAGGACCGTGCTCTTTTTTTCCCCCAATTTTTATTAGTGAAACACCATGGGGTACAGTTGTAAAGGTAAAGGTAAAGGCCCTCCCGTTGATCGTCGATTTGCTCGAGCGGGCCCAGTAACGTCTCCACTGGAGACTTTGTTGTTACTGTGTCTGGCATATCGAATACTCTCGGTAGCTTGCCGGGCTCTCCGAGAGGGGCGGGGGAATCGAACTCGGGTCGGCCATGTTGGCCGCGTGTAAGGCGAACGCCCTACCCGCTGTGCTATCGCTCCAGCCCCAGGGTACAGTTGTAGACGTACAAATTTTTGTGCTTGGGTTTTGATTATAAAATGATCAAATACCCATCCCTCCACCAGTGCCCATTTTCCATCACCATGGATCCCAGTATCCCTCCCACCCCCATCCCCCCATCCCACCCTGCCTCTGTGGCAGGGCATTCCCTGTTCTCTCTCTCCTTTTGGATGTTGTGGCCAGGACCATGCTCTTAACTTATAGTTAAGTATTAAGGCGCTGTGGCCAGGCCCATTTCAATGCCAGGGTCACTCACAGCTTGCCCTGGGTCCATCCAATCCCTCGTCAGACCCTGCTTTTGGGGTACAAGGAAGTAAGGGCAACTGAAGCTTAAGTCGGGAGAACAGATGCCCAGGGGTGAATATCACTGGGAGTCAGTCAACTCCCAAGTTACAAAGCATAGTGGTAACTGTCTACCTGCGTCTGGTGGTGCTCCCGGGAGCCTTATGCAGTGTCAGGGATGGGGCTGACCTTCCCCACAGTACTCTCTCTCCAAACCCTTCCTAACTGTGGAGCTGGAACACCGACATCTGCATCTGCCTCAACCCAGGCCCCCCACCCCACCCCCGAGCCAGGCAGAGCGAAACGTTTACCTGAGATCAGGGCCGTGAAACAGAGGGCTTGAACAGCTCTGAAGAACACCCGCTGCTGTCTCTGGTTCCAGAAGGTTCTCAGACAGCTTGCCTGCAACAAAGAAGGCGTCCTAGGAAGTATCCCTGCGCAATCACGGTGGCCTGGAATATTCTAGTCACTGTGCTTGAGTTCACTGAGGTCCTCCCTGGCCTCTCTCCATGGGGAGAAGAGGGAACCCAATGTTTTAGCTTTCTCATGGAAAGACTCCCCTTCTGGGACCCTGGCTGCAAAGGACAGGGGTTTGTGTCTTCATGCTGCCAGTGAATAATTATTGAATGAATACTTAGGGCCACTGGTATTTTCTTTTTTCATACAATTTATTTTATTCTTATAAAAAGATTTTTAGAAATTGAGGCTGGAGCAATAGCACAGCAGGTAGCGCGTTTGCCTTGCATGTGGCTGACCCGGGTTCAATTCCCAGCATCCCATAGGGTCCCCTGAGCACCGCCAGGAGTAATTGCTGAGTGCAGAGAGCCAGGAGTAATCCCTGTGCATTGCCAGGCATGACCCATAAAGCCAAAAAAAATTAGAACTTTTAAAATTTATTAATTGGGCTGGAGAGATAGCACAGTGGGCAGGGCGTTTGCCTTACGTGCGGCCGACCCAGGTTCGATTCCCAGCATCCCATATGGTCCCCTGAGCACCGCCAGGAGTAACTCCTGAGTACAGAGCCAGGAGGAACCCCTGTGCACCGCCAGGTGTGACCCAAAAAAGCAAAAAAATAAATAAATAAAAGTAAAAGTAAAATAAAATTTATTAATTTATTTTGTTTTTTTGGGGACCCACACCCAGCAATGCTCAGGGGTTCCTCCTGGCTCTGCAGAAGTTACTCCTGGCAGTGCTTGGGACCAGCTGGGATACCAGGGATCAAATTCTGGTTGGCTGCATGCAAGGCAAATGCCCTCCTTGCTGTGCTATTGCTCCAGCCCCTGATCCAATATATTTTATGCAAGAAAAATGCCAAGCACATGCATATTCTGCCCTTATTATTTTGCAACAACCTTCCTCAGAAAGCTGATATACCAGACCCAACAACATAAATTGGCTCATGAAAATGTCTCGATATACACTTGTTATATATATACACCAGAATATGGGGGTTGGGTTTTTTTGGGGGTCACACCCAGCAATGATCAGGGGTTATTCCTGCTCTTCACTCAGGAATTACCCCTGGCGGTGCTCAGGGGACCCTATGGGATGCTGGGTGTCGAACCCGGGTCAGCTGCGTGCAAGGCAAACGCCCTCCCCGCTGTGCTATGGCTCCGGCCCCACATTTTTGCATTTTCATCTGGGAAGAGAAGCTGTATCTTTCCTCAGAACCACCCAGATTTTCCCTCCTGTAGTATGTCAAACATAGCCTGACATGAAGGGGTCTCACCAAAGGGAAGAGGAACCAGGGAGAGAAATCCAGAAGTTGGCCAATTCGGAAGAAGTAGGAGATGCAAAAGATAAGACGGGGATCGATTCTTGTTCTTGGGACACAGGGTTCAAACTCAGGACAAGCTCAGAGACTTTGCTCCTCCCACCCTCCCATCCCTTCTCCCCAGCACAGATCAGCCTACCCCCGAGCACTGCAATGACCACTCCGGAGAGTGACACGTGGCTGACTTCCTTCTCCCATCCGGTCCCTCCTAGGGACTCTGCATCTAGCGAGAGGGTGGGATTCTGAAGCCTGCATCCCCGTGAGATATTCCCGGAACAAGCAGCATGCACTGTTTCTAGAATATCGTCCACGAGTTCAAGAGTGCCTAATTTCCCAAGTCTGTCCCCTGGTTCCAAAATCCCATGGAACCCCAGGAAGCTTCTCTTTCTCATGGCCATAATAACTGACACAGACTGATACCCCCTGTGCTTAGACCCAAATGCCATCTTTCTTTCAATGCCACTTTTTATCTGTTTTCTTTAATTTTTTTTTATTTTAACGAATCACTGTGAGATACAGTTATAGACTTCCAAATTTTCATGATTACGTTCTAGTACCATCCCTCCACCAGTGCCCATTCTCTACCACCAAGGTTTCCAGTATCCCTCCCATCACCCCCACCCCATCCCACCCCCTGCCTCTGTGGCAGACATATTCCCTCTTACTCTCTCTCTCTCTCTCTCTCTCTCTCTCTCTCTCTCTCTCTCTCTCTCTCTATCCTTTTGGGTGTTATTGTTTGCAATATAGGCACTAAACAGCCATCATGTTTGGTCCTTCATCTACTTTCAGCACACATCTCCCATCCCGAGCGAGCCCTCCAAGCATCATTGACTTAGTGGTCCCTTCTCCATCCCAGCTGCCTTTCCCCCCAGCACATGAGATCGGCTTCCAAGCCGTGGGACAATCCTCCTGACAGAGCGACTTTCTACAAATGTGTCCCAGGGACACTCAGGGTCAAAATCTCTCCATTTGGCAGGTAAGAAAACGGAGTCCTTAATAGTACCAGGACGGAGGGCAGAGATGAGAACCTCAGTGTCCCGGTGTGCCCCATCAGAGATCTGGGGGAGATAAATGGGAGCCCCAAGTTCTCTGCCTTAGAATTCAACCCAAGAGAAGAGAAATCGGGCAGAAGAAGGACGTTTTACCATCATCTGAAGAGACGGCGATGGATGGAGTTCTCAGAGGAAAAAGGTCAAAGAGATGAGGTCCCCCAAACAGCAAACCTAGAAGAGCGACCCATCCCCATCCCCTTGGCCCCCCAAAACACAGTTTCTGTGTCGCAAAAGCGAAGAGAGAGAATTCAATGCACACGGTGATTGGGGAGATTCCAGCAAAGCTGGGGTTAGGGGTATCCCAAACTCCCCGGGCTGCCTGGCATCCCCACCTGCGTCTCCACCTGCCCCAACTCTGCCATGTCCCTGAGAAGAGAGAGAAAGTCACACTCACCATCTCTGCCCCGGGTTGGTCCTTCTCACCTCCTGTCCTGGTGTGCTTATATGTGTAGCTGTCGGGGGCATTTGGAAAGGTCACTTCCTCTCCGTTTCCCAGAAAGCCACCAGGACACTGATAATCAGGCATGAAACTGGTTGAGGAGGAGAACTGTGTCGCTGAAGGATCGCAGGGCAGTGGCTTCCAAGGGTCCCTGCTGGAGCCTGGTTGGTGAATCACTCCTGGACTTTCCAGGCTGAGCGGGTGGCAGACAAGCTTCCTGCAAGTGGGCTGAGAGGCTGGGGTGGTGGGATCCGGCCGCTGGAAATGGGTTGAGTCTTAATCACTTCTTTGCAGCATTGTGAAACGTCCCTGAATAAACACTTAACTAGGGAACAGACGAAGGAAAGGGGGTGGGGTCGGGGCTGTACTTTTTGCTCCTGGAGACAAATGGCCAAAAAAAGCCACACACACACCAAAATGGGGCTGGAGTGATAGCACAGTGGGGAGGGTGTTGGCCTGGCATGCAGCTGACCTGGGTTTGATCCCCGGCATTTTATAGGGTCCCCGGAGCCCAGCCAGGAGTGATCCCTGAGGGCAGAGGCAGGAGTCAGCCCTGAGCATTGCCAGGTTTGGAGCAAAAAGCGCCCCCCGCCAAAGAAAAATATATATAGCCGTGAAAAATAATTAGGGAGGCCAGGACAAAAGCTATGGGTAGAGAGGTGTCTGTGGTGAAGGGGAAGGGATCGTGAAGTGATTTGGAAGTGATGACTCACAGAAAGAGAGGGACAGACATAGAAAGATTGCATCCATCTGGGGAACATAAAGTAACAAAATAGGAGACTAACATCCAAGAGTGGCCGAGATTAGTACCAGAAGGTTCACTGCATGGCTTGGAGGCCAGCCGCACACGCTAGGGGAAAAGGCAGCTCAGATAGAGAAGGGAGCACCAAATTAAGGGTGTTGGGAGGATCCTCCCAGGATGAGAGAAGCATGCTGAAAGTAGACTATAGACCCAACATGATTGCCACTCAATGCCTCTTTTGCAAACCACAATACCCCAAAGGAGAGAGAGAACAAAAGGGAATGCCCTGCCACAGAGGCAGGGTGGGATGGGGGGATGGGGGGTGGTAGGGATACTGGGACCCGTGGTGGTGGAAAATGGGCACTGGTGGAGGGATGGTACTTGATCATTGTATAATTGAAACCCAAGCACAAAAATTTGTAAGTCTACAACTGTACCTCATGGTGTTTCACTAATAAAAATTTTTTTTAAAAAAGTGATGACTCAAACCGACTTAGTTTGTTAAGAGCAAGAAGGGCTTTATGGACCGGAGCGATAGCACAGCAGGGAGGGCGTTTGCCTTGTACAAGGCTGACCCGGGTTCAATCCCCGGCATTCCATAGGGTCCCCTGAGCACCGCCAGGAGTGAATCCTGAGTGCAGAGCCGGGAGTAACCCCTGAGCATCGCCGGGTGTGACCCAAAAAGAAAAAAAAAACAGTTATGTTGTGGAATCTAATAGGAACACCAGAGAATGAGGCAGAGTGTCCCTTTGTGATGAGGCCGGGTTGTAAAAAGAGAGAAAACATAGACCCTTTCCTCCCATTGTTAGTCTGTGTTTGCAAGGAAATGAAATAGAGAGTTTGTATGCGCACAAGAGGAGGGGAAAATGCCTCGGGTGAGGAAATAGTCCCCCACCCCTCATCATCTGGCCTTTCCCTTCACGATGCCGTTGTTCATTGATTTGCTCCAGCGGGCACCAGTAACGTCTCCATGGTGAGACGTGTTGTGACTGTTTTTGGCATATTGAATACGCCATGGGGATCTTTCCAGGCTCTGCTGTGCGGGCGGGATACTCTTAGTAGCTTGCCGGGCTCTCCGAGCAGGACGGAGGAATCGAACCCAGGTCGGCCACATGCAAGGCAAACGCCCTACCCACTGTGCTAATGAAGGTGAAAACCAGCCTCGCCACAGCTTACATGGCCCTCTCCGAACCTTCAAGACCAGGGGCACCGGGGCGTAAGCGTCTGGCCCAGAACTGATGGGCACAGGATGGAGATGTTTGTTTGTGACCCCTGCAAGCTTCGGGAACTGTTTGTGGGGTGACGCTCTGCTGTTGTTCCTCTCTGTCTCGGCACTCCAGGGATCTGCAGGGAGGAAAAGCCAAGGAAATTTGTCATTTTGGCAAAGATTTCAGAAGGTAAACACAGACTTTCAGAAAACCTAATCGAAGGAGAAGGCACGAATAATTCAAAATCACTGCTTGACTGCACCGTCTCAGGATGGACCTCACCAAGATAAGATGTGCTGAAAATTTGGGTATGTGGGTTTTGTGACTGAAATCTCCAGGCTTTCTTGGGGTTGGAATGGGCTACCTCCCCCCACCTCCCTGTACTTCCCGAAGCCTGGGCAGTCACATCCACACCCCAATGAGGCCACCCAATTGAAAAGCTACTCCAGCCTTATGGTCCAGATAAAAATACCAAATGCCAGGGCTGGAGTGATAGCACAGTGGGGAGGGCGTTTGCCTTGCACGCGGCCGACCTGGGTTCGACTCCCACAGCATCCCGTAGGGTCCCCCAAGCACTGCCAGGGGTGATTCCTGAGTGCAGAGCCAGGAGAAACCCCTAAGCATCACTGGGTGTGACCCAAAGAGAAAAAAAATGTACCGAATGCCCCAGACAAACACCATGACCTCCTAGCACCTGTATTACAAATTATAATGCACAAAGAGAGAGAGCAACCAAGAAAAGTGTCTCCCACTGAGGGAGGCTGGAAGGTGGGGGTGGGCGGGGACTTGGGGGATGGTGGGAATACTGGGTGGGGATATTGGTGATGGGAAATGTGTACTGGTGGAAGGGTGGGTGCTGGATCATTCTATGACTGGAACCCGATTATGAACAGTTTTGTAATGATCTCTCTCATGGATATTCAATTAAAAAATTAAAAATAAATTTTTTAAAAAGTGAAAAAATAGAGAAGGCATGGGCATCACATATACACGTGCACACACTCATACACACACACACACACACACACACACACACACACACACACACCGTGACCCTACCTATGACCATGTACCACCACCTCCAGCCCACCCCACTCCCAGATCGCCGGATTTCTCCTTTCCATTCGAGGCGCACCCACTCAAAGCTGTTGGCTGAGCCGTGCTGTGGGCCCCAGAGGTGAGTCAAAGTGGACCTGTCCCCAAGAGAGCTGGTGACGAGCGTGTGGGCATGGAAGGACACTCCTTCTCGAAGACAGGTGACCGGCTCAGACTGATGGCCAAGGGCTGTCATAGCTTCGACCCAACAGCTGCCTTCAGGATGACTTGTTTATTTGCTGTAGTGATTTTTGTTTCCGTAGCGGAGAAATCATTCCTCCAGGATCTTCGTTTTTTTTTGGGGGGGGGTAGGAGGCATTGCTCAGAGATTCCTCCCAGCTCTGCACTCAGGAATCACTCCTGGCGGGGCTTGGGAGACCCTATGGGATGCTGGAGATCGAACCCGTGTCAGCCACATGATAGGCAAATGCCCTCCCTGCTGGACAATTGCTGTGATCCGACCTTTGGATTTTGGACTTATTTCCTGTAACTTAATCCTATCCAGTTCTGGCCATGTTCTTGCCCAAGAACCATTTCCTCTCTGTCTTCACTCTGTGGCTTTCCTCGGAGTTCACCAACCCTTCATTCCCTTGTCCTCAGAGGGCACCAGATCCAATCCGTGTCTGTTGCTGTGACCCAAGGGCACTTTTCAAATGAGCATTTTTTAAAATTTATTTATTTATTTATTTATTTTATTAGTGAAACACCATGAGGTACAGTTGTAGACTTACAAATTTTGGTGCTTGGGTTTCAGTTATACAATGATCAAGTACCCATCCCTCCACCAGCGCCCATCCTCCACCACCACGGGTCCCAGCATCCCTCCCACCCCCCATCCCCCCGTCCCACCCTGCCTCTGTGGCAAGGCATTCCCCCTTGTTCTCTCTCTCTTCTTTTGGGTACTGTGTTTTGCAAGAGAGGCACTGAGTGGCAATCATGTTTGGTCTATAGACTACTTTTAGCAGAGCATTTTCTTTTTTTGGGGGGGGAAGGGGCATCACACCGGGCTAGGCATAGGGATTACTCCTGGCTCTGCACTCAGGAATTACTCCTGGAGGTACTCGGGGGACCTTATGGGATACTGGGAATTGAACCAGGGTCAGCCGCGTGCAAGGCAAATGCCCTACCCCACTGTGCTATCGCTCCAGGCCCTCAAATGAGCATTTTCGTCGTCCTCAAATCAATTCCGAGGAGTGATACTGTTGGAGCGTAGAGCATTTCTAGTTGCGGCTAAAAAAATTAAGTATCTCCAGGCACAAGCAATTGTGGTATAGTTGGTAGGGTGCTTGCCTTGCCTGCGGCCGACCCAGATTCAATCCCCAGCATCCCATATGGTCCCCCGAGCACTGCCAGGAGTAATTCCTGAGTGCAGAGCCAGGTGTAACCTCTGAACATTGCCGGGTGTGACCCAAAAAGCAAAAAAAAAAAAAAAAAAAAAAAAGCAAAATAACGAAAATACCTACTTTGTTCTGGAAAGTGAAAGTGGCCAAAGGGTTTGGGAGTTGGGGGCCAGCAGGGTCCTCATGGGGTCAGGAGTGGTATTCCAGGTGTTGGGGTCCACTGCGTGAAAGAAGAATGACATTTCTGGGGTGATGGGAGGGATATTGGGAACATTGGTGGTGGAGAATGGGCACTTGGTGGAGGGATGGGTGCTCAATCATTGTGTGACTAAAATGTATGCACGAAAGTTTGTAAGTCTGTAACTGCATCTCAGGGTGATTCACTAAAAAATCTTTAAAAAATAATAATAATAGCATTGTAGCACTGTCCTCCCATTGTTCATCAATTTGCTCCAGCGGGCACCAGTAACGTCTCCATGGTGAGACTTGTTGTGACTGTTTTTGGCATATCGAATACGTCACGGGGAGCTTGCCAGGCTCTGCCGTGCGGGTGGGATACTCTCGGTAGCTTGCCGGACTCTCGGAGAGGGGCGGAGGAATCAAACCCAGGTCGGCCACGTGCAAAGGCAAACGCTCTACCGGTTGTGCTATCACTCAAGCTATAATAATAACAATTATAACTAAACCCTGAAACAGAAACTTAATAAAGTAGGAATTAGCATGACATCAGATAAAAAAAAGAATGGTATTTCTGGTAGAACCTGACACACAGGCATAAGACAGAGACATGGGGACAGAGGGAACTGCCCACTGGCTTTTGCTTCGGAGCCACGGCCTGCTGGACTGACCAGCACCG